TCCCTCTGGGTCTCCTGCGTGGGTGCAGGAATCCAAGGATTTGGGCATCCTCTGCTATGGTCCCAGGCCAGTAGTAGTGAGGTGGATCTGAGGTAGAATAGCCAGAATCAGAACTGGTTTCCATATGAGATGCTAGCAGGCTTAACTCACTATGCCTTGGTCCTGACTCCAATTTTTGTGTTACTGTTTGTTTGTTTGTTTGCTTGCTTGTTTTTTAAACTAGACAACAGCATGTTGGCAAGAATATGAAGACATATGAGTACATGGTTGGTAAGAATACAAAACAGGGGACCCTGTGCAGTAGCCTAGTGGCTGAAGTCCTTGCCTTGTATGTGCAGGGATCCCATGTGGGCATTGGTTCTAATCTTGGCAGCTCCATTTCCCTTCTAGCTCCCTGCTTGTGGCATGGGAAAGCAGTCGAGGACGGCCCAAAGCCTTGGGACCCTGCACCCGCGTGGGAGACCTGGAAGAGGTTCCTGGCTGTTGGCTTTGGATCGGCTCAGCTCTGGCCATTGCAGTCACCCTTTCCAATAATAAATAAATCTTAAAAAACATTTCCAGCTCCTTTGGAAAACAGTTTGGCAGTGCCACAAAGGGTTACATATAGTTACTGTTTTCCAAAAATTCTACTCCTAGTTATGCATCCAAAAGAATTAAAAACGCATCCCCAATTAAAAAAAATATGTATATACACATGACTGTTACAGCAGCATTCTTCCTAAGAGCTGACAGTGGAAATAACCTAAATATCCACCACCTGATGATGAATACACAACAGAATGCTCCTCTGCAGCAGAAAGGGAGGAAGGACGGTGCAGCTGCGACATGGACAGAGCTTCCTAACATCACAGGAAGCCAAGCAGCGCCTCACAGAGAGTACACACTCGGTGATTCCGTCTGTACCAAATGTCCAGAACAGACAGAACCACAGAGACCAGAGCAGAAGGAGTAAGGTTGTCAGGGGTTGAGGAAAATAAGGTAGAGGAAAGACAAACAGATGGGAAGTGACTGCTACTGCGTAGGGCATTTCTTTTATGGGAGATGAAAAGATTTTAAAATTAGAGGTACAGGACCTGGCGCTGTGGCAACCTAGCTGCTAAAGTTCTCACCTTGAACACACCAGTATCCCATATGGGAACCAGTTCTAATCCTGGCAGCTCCACTTTCCATCCAGCTCCCTGCTTGTGGCATGGGAAAAGCAGTCTAGGACAGCCCAAAGCCTTGGGACCCTGCACCCGTGTAGGAGACCTGGAAGAGGTTCCGGGCTGCTGGCTTTGGATCGGCTCAGCTCTGGCCATTGTGGTCACTTGGGGAGTGAATCATCAGACGGAAGATCTTCCTCTCTGTGTCTTCTCCTCTCTGTATATCTGACTTTCCAATAAAAATAAATCTTTTTTAAAAAATGGGAATTATTATTTTTTAAAAATTAGAGGTATAGGACCATGAATATACTAATAAACATTGAATTAATCAGGTGAATCACATAATATGTGAATTATACCTTGATATAGTAGCTAAAAAGAGGGAGACATGCCTCCCCAAGTCAGGTTCTGGCCTACACTGAGGGATTTTTTGTTTTGTTTTTAGATTTATTGATTTATTTAAAAGACAAGAGACAGAAAAGCACATCTTCCTTCCACTGGTTCATTTCTCAAACTGCTGCAGTAGCTGGGCTGGGCCAGGCTGAGCCCAGGAGCCGGGAACTTCATCTAGATCTTCCACGTGTGTGGCAGGAACCCAACGACCTGAGGCAATATCTGCTGCTTCCCAGGTGGATTAGCAGGGAGCTGGAGCAGAAGCGGAGTGGCTGGGACACAAGCCAGCACTCCGACAAGGGAGCTTCATGCACTGTGCCACACCTGTTCCCCATTCTGTGCTTTATTTACAAGCTACTGGGCAGACCTAAGAGTCTAGACACAGCACGACTTTTGGAACAGCACCATGGCTTAGTGGGCTGGGCCTCCACTTGCAGCACTGGCATTCCATGTGAGTGTTGGTTTAAGTCTCAGCTGCTCCACTGTTTTTTTTTTTTTTAGGATTTATTTATTCTTAATGCAAAGGCAGATATACAGAGAGGAGGAGAGACAGAGGGCAAGATTTTTGGTCCAATGATTTACTCCCCAAGTGGCCACAATGACTAGAGCTGAGCCAATGCGAAGCCGGAAGCCAGGAACTTCCTCTAGGTCTCCCACATGGGTGCAGGAACCCAATGCTTTGGGCTGTCCTCCACTGCTTTCCCAGGCCACAAGCAGAGAGCTGGATGAGAAGCGGGGCTGCCAGAATTAGAGCCAGTGCCCATTTGGGATCCTGGCACATTCAAGGCAAGGACCTTAGCAGCTAGGCCACGGCACCAGGCCCCTCCACTTTTTTTTTTTTTTAATGCTTTTCTTTTTATTTAAAACACAGAATTTCAGACAAAAGGAGAGACAGAGACAAAGATCTTCCAACTGCTGGTTCACTACACAAGCAGCTCCAATGGCTAGAGGTAAGCCAATTCGAAGCCAGGAGCCAGGAGCTTCTTCCAGGAATCCCAGGCAGGTGCAGAGTCCCAAGGGCTTGAGCCACTCACTGTTGCTTTCCCATGCCACATGCAGGGACCTGAATGGGAAGTGGAACAGCTGGGACATGGTGTCCATACAGAATGCTGGTGTTTGCAGGTGGAGGATTAGCCAGTTGAGACACTGTACTAGCCCACAGGAGGCTGTTCCACCTATGACCCACTATGTGTCTCTAGGCCAAAAGCTCTCAAGGCTGTTCACTCTCAACTCTCTCAAGATGACCACAGCTGGCTCCCTTTGGGTTAGCCACAAACTAGAATGGTTTTTCTAGAATAGTCCCATTCAAAAGAAGTATGAAATGAGCAAATATCAAATTTTACATATTTGGAGCTAGTATCATCATGCAACACAGCCACTTGCAACACCAGCATTTCCTATCAGTGTCCATTCCCACGTCACCTACCCACTTCCAATCCAACTTCCTGATAGTATATTCTGGGAAGCAGTGGATGATGACCCTTGCCAACCATATGGAGATCTACATGGAATTTCCTGGTTCCTGGCCTGACTGGCCCAGCTCTGGCTAGGTTACGGCCATTTGGGGAGTGGACCAGCAACATAAGATTGATCTCATTCCCTGTAGATTTGCTTTTCAAATAAGAGAAATAAAACTTAGATCATTTTAAAAATATGTTCTAGTAGGCAAATGAAAAAAAGAGACAGATTAGGGCCAGTGTTGTGTCCCTAACAGTGGCTTGAGCCGCCACCTCACTCCCAGCTGATAACACTTCTGATTAGTTCCCTGCTAATGTACCTAAGAAAGCAGCAGAATATGGTCCAAGGCCCTGGGCCCTTGAACCCGCACAGGAGACCCAGAAGAAGTTCCTGCCTCCCGGCTTCAGCCCAGCCGAATCCTGGCTATTAAGGACATTTGGGGAGTGAAGCAGTGGGTGGAAGACCTCTGTCCTTCCCTCTCTCTGTAACTCTGTCATTCAGAGAAATCATGTTGAAAAAGGTAGAGAGACAGATGGACCTAATTTTATTTATTTTTTTTTTTTAAAAATGGCCGATGCTATGCCTAGCCGAAGCCAGGAGCCTCTTCAGGGTCTCCCACGCGGGTGCAGGGTCCCAAGGCTTTGGGCCGTCCTCGACTGCTTTCCCGGGCCACAGGCAGGGAGCTGGAAGGGAAGCGGGGCTGCTGGCATTAGAACAGGCGCCCATATGGGATCCCGGGCGTGCAAGGCGTGGACCTTAACCATTGCGCCACCATGCCGGGCCCGGACCCAATTTTAATATCTTACATATACTCATCCAAAACTTTCAATAGGTAACTAATAAAAAATATTAATGAAAGGTTTCATATTCTTTTCAAACTAAAGTGTCAAGATCCAGTGCTTGATTTTTTTTCTACAGATTTATTTATTTTTATTGGAAAGTCAGATATACAGAGAGGAGAAGACACAGAGAGGAAGATCTTCCGTCTGATGATTCACTCCCCAAGTGACCACAATGGCCAGAGCTGAGCCGATCCAAAGCCAGCAGCCCGGAACCTCTTCCAGGTCTCCTACACGGGTGCAGGGTCCCAAGGCTTTGGGCTTTCCTAGACTGTTTTTCCCATGCCACAAGCAGGGAGCTGGATGGAAAGTGGAGCTGCCAGGATTAGAACTGGTTCCCATATGGGATACTGGTGTGTTCAAGGTGAGGATTTTAGCAGCTAGGCTACCATGCCGGGCCCTCCAGTGCTTGTTTTATACAGCATATCTGAATTGGAACTAGACATATCTTAAATGATTAGCCATATGCAGTCATTGTACAGTAGTTCTGAAAGCAGAATCACACTGAACAATGAGTATTTCTAAAGTCTGGCACTTTGTAAAACTGTTGAATGACAACAAGTACCCCGGAGGAAACTAACGTGCAAGGAAGTGAAGTGAGCAGTCCAGGGCCTCACTGGTGACTGGTAGAGGTTAGGAGCTAAGCCTGCTCAGATGAACTTAACCTTCTCCACAACCAGAAGTACAGATGCAGGAGACCCCCGGGAAATGGTCTGCACCAGGCCTGGCTCATCTGCACCACTCACACCAAGAAATGTTAATTCCACATCATGGCACCCCCCAATGCGATCGCCAAAGAGCCAGGCAGGCAGAGACCACTCACATTCTACTTGGGACCACCACAGTCAAGCTGAGACATTGCCCCAGGACCTCTTTAGAATAACATGAGCCATTGATTGGGATGATATTCTGCCAGCTCTACCTTTAGACCAGAGATGGTCTCCCCAAGAAACTGTTGAACTTATCTGGACAATAAGATGCTGGACTCTATGCTTGGTAAATGTTTGCAAAGAAAGAATCAGAACTTAATTTGATCTTTAATACTACAACAAGGTGGAAGAATCCACCATGGGGAGAGGTTGGGGGAATCCCAGAGCCTATCAAACTGTGTCACATAATGCAACAAAATTAAAAAAAAAAAAAAAAAAGAATAACATGAGCCACTCACCGGACTGGTAGGGGAAGAAACCATCGGCTTTAGTCCAGCTCCACCATCCTCCAGGGCCTTCCGTGGGCCAGTCTCTTGACTGCCTGCTCCAGTCATCGCTCTCACAGTCCCATCAGGCTGCTGGCTTGAAGCAGTTCCTGCAGGGACAGCTTGGGCAGAGTCAAGCTGTGGCAAGTCCAGGATGCCTGGTGTCTGGAAAAGTGATTCCTGCTTGTGGCCACCATCATGGGTCCCAGAAGATGCTTGAGCAGGAGGAGGCTCTGCAGGTACATCAAAGTGCAGGTGTGTGCTGGTGGCAAGGCTGTGCAGGAAGGGCGAGGCCTGGAGAGTGGGGATCTCCGATTCTTGGCTCGGTCCCCTGGTTGGCACAGAGTTTACCTGGGCTTTGCTGAACTCTGACAACACCCTAAAAGTTTTTAAACAAAGAAACCCGTGTGACAGGTTGTCAACAACAATGGCCAAGGCCACTGGAACAGTGAGAATAGGAAACAAGCAAAAGTCTCTTAGCCATCCACTGCAGCCTAGCACCCACTGTCCCTCCTCTGACACTCTCCACCAAAGATTCTTTGTAGCCCCAGACGAGCAGGTGAGTTGTGGAACCCAGGAGATCAGCAGAAATAAGGGCTTGATATGAGAAACGGGACCTGACTGCCATTCTCAACAGGCTGACTGTGGGCCAGGAGAGTTTATTCAACCAAAGGGTTGTGTGGGTGGGCAATCATTTCTCCAGTGCTGTGTATGGCAGGGCCTCTCAGAGCAGTCTACGTGAGATGTCCTAAAGCACAAACACCTAGAGTACCAAGAGTTCTGTTCCCTGGAACAGAGACAAAGTAAGGATGAAATCTGTCCCTGGGTATGATTTTGAATGCTAATGAAGACCCAAATTTTAGTTATCAGTTCCCCCAAATCAGCCATTGTAAGTCACTGTATCTACTCTCTGTGAAGTTTTTTTCTTTTTCTTTGCATGACAGGAGCAACAATTACCAGAAAATGTACTGCTGTTATAATACAGTTGACTTAAAAAAAACGAAAACAAAAACAAAAAACAGCCATTGGACAGCACTGGACTGGGTGCAGACTCAGAGAAACCTTACATCCCCAGCAACTGTGGCTAGAGTTTGGGACACATGAGGTGTGAGCCTATTCCCTTCTCAGGGTGAGACTGCCACTCCCTGTGCCTTCAGGGATGCTTCCAGGGGCCTCAGGAAGCCAGTGTTACTGCCATGTACATACACTGCAAACGAAAAACACTTTTCAGCCTTCTGGAATGTGCCTTGGCTACTGACTGCTCTGCCCCCTGAGGCTTCTCAGAACCTAAATTCTATTTCTAAAGTAAACTCATCTGCATTCTCTTCTGCTGCTTATGAACTGAGAGGAGAGTGCAAGCCCAAACAGGAGTCCCGAGGGGTACAACACTGGCTAGAGTTTGAAAGGCTGCACACATGAAACCTGATGGCTTCATGTGGGTCCAGTAGCCTCTGAAACCACCCTGTAGTTGTCTGATGGGAAGGAGGATCTTAGAATGCAGAGTCCTAACCCAGACAGCCCATGGTGCCCTGTTCTCACTTAGACCATCATAACCCCAAACACTGCAAGACATGATTGTCAAGAACAGGTGAAGACCGACTGGCTTTCAACAAGCACAACAAGATATCACACTGGGGAAAGGATTTTTCCCCCCAACAAATGGTGTAGGGATAAGTGAATAGTCACATGAAAAGGATTACAATAGGACTGTTATGCCACACCCAAAGCTAACTCAAAATGTACCAACCACCCAAAAGCTAAAACTGTAACAATTTCAAAAGAAATACAGATGTAGATTCCAAATCTTTTGATTAGGAAGTTGTTCCTTAGATATGCAATACCTTAATTGTATACAATTACTAAAAATCTATACTTCATCAAAATTAAAAATATTTTTGTGCTTCACAGCATATTATTAGTAAGCAATTGAAAAGACAACCCACAGAATGGGAGGCAACATTATTTTCAGATCATATATACTGTCTAAGAGTGTATAACCAGAATAAAGGATTCTTACAATTCTATGCCAAAAATATAGCCACATTTTAAATTGGAAAAATAATTGAATAGCTTTTTCTTCAACAAAAAAAGACAAATTGTTAGTAATTTCATGAAAAGATTTCAGAATCATTAGCCATTCAGGAAATGTAAATCAAAATCAGAATGAGATGCATGCTGCAATGGCTATAACCAAGCAGACAAGTGATTAACACGTTACCAAGAATGTGGACATTGCCTGGCAAATATAAGTGATGGGAATGTAAATTACTGCAGATATTATGTATCACTGAATTATGGTCTTGAAAATGGTGACTCTGTGGCATACCAATCCTATCTCATAACAAAAAAAGTGACTAGTCAATAGTATGGCATAGCAGGCTAAGCATTGCCAGATTCTCAAATCAGAACACCAATTCAACTGGATGCTCTGTTTGCATTTCAGCCTCCTGCTAATATACCTGGAAAAGAAACAGAATAAGATCCAAATACTTGGACCACTGACACCCATGAGGGACACGTGGATAGAGCTTCTGGTTTGTGGCTTCAGCATACTCAAGACCTGACTGTTACAAGTCATTTAGGGAGCAAACTAGACAATGAAATATTTTTTAAAGATTTATTTATTTTTATTGCAAAGTCAGATATGCAGAGAGAAGGAGAGACAGAACGGAAGATCTTCCATCAGCTGATCCACTGCCCAAGTGGCTGCAACAGCCAGAGCTGAGTCAATCTGAAGCCTGGTCTCCCACATGGGTGCAGGGTCCCAAAGCTTTGGGCCGTCCTCGACTGCTTTCCCATGCCACAAGCAGGGAGCTGGATGGGAAGCAGGGCTGCTGGAATTAGAACTGGTGTCCATATGTGATTCCTGCGCATGCTAGGAGAGGACTTTAGCCACTAGGATAATCTGTTGGGCTCCCAAATCATCTTTTTATGTAGCTTCCTATTGAAAATATTTAAGAGTATTTTCATTTAGAAAATAATTTGAAGCATAGTCTTTTAAAAGATTTTTATGTATTATATTGCAAGGTTGGGGAGGCAGGGAGGGAGCTCGAAAGAGAAGGAGGGGGAGAGGAATAGAGGAAGGGAGAGATGGATGCAGGGAGTGAGAGAAGCATTACATTTTCCAGAATGGCCACAATAGTTTGGGGCTGGACTAGGCTAAAGCCAGGAGCTTCACCCAGGTCTTCCATGTGGGTACAGGGACTCAAGCACTTGATAACCCTCTACTTCATTCCCATTTCATTAGCAGGGAGCTGGACCAGAAGTGGAGAAGCCAGGACACGAATCAGTGCCTACATAGGATGTTGGTGTTGCAAGTGGCAGCTTAACGCACTGCATCACAGCAAGGCACCCTGTCCCAGTCTGTATTTTATATCCGCATGTATGTTTGTGTGCATACATGGGGGTGTGCTCATGTGTATTGTAACTAAAAATCATGGCCTGCAGCACTTCTTTACAGAGTGGCACTGCCATGTTGGCCAGTACCTGTGGTTTTCCTGAACACGGTACTGTTGGGCAGCCAAGGGCCACTGAGAAATGCACAGAGAGCTGCATTTGCAAGAATCCTCTGCCCCAAATCAAGGTTTCACGGCAATAACATTGATAAACATTAGCAGCCAAAGCTTCTCCAGTAGTTACAAACGGACAAGTAACAAGACACCTGATGACACAAGGTGTCTAGTTAGAAAATGACAATAATGCCACCCACCGAGCACTAACTACATCCTAAAAGACTGTCTTAAGTACTTCACACACCTTAATGCATTCACTCTTTCCTTGGAAGAACAAGATCTTACTCTCATCTTACAGATGAGGATACCAAGATCAGAAGATTGAGCACTTGCCCGAAACTGCCACACTGGCAAACGAACACAGGGCATCCGGCTCCCAAGTCTACCCTCTGGACTTGCAGACTGCATCTCAGTAACTGCTACTGAAGTTATCGAGGATAATTAGCCCTCTGTCCAGAAAGCACAATGCACGGACTTAGTTAATAAACTTCATTTTGAATGTTAGGTATTTTACACTTTTAATTGTATTGTTTAAGGTTTATTTTTATTGGAAAGGCATATTAACAGAGAGAAGGAGAGACAAAATATTCCCATCTGCTGGTTCACTCCCCAAATGGCTGAAATGGCCAGAGCTGAGCCCATTCAAAGCCAGGAGCCAGGAGTTTCTCACCAGTTTCCCACATGGCTGAAGGTTTTGGGCCATCCTCTACTGTTTTCCCAGGCCACAAGCAGAGCTGGATGGGAAGTGGAGCGGTTGGGACATGAACCAGTGCCAATATGGGATGCCGCACTAAGAGGTGGAGTATTAGCGAGTTGAGCCATTGCACTGGCCCCAGAAAGGCAGATTTACAGAGTGAAAGAGAGACAGAAAGATCTTTCACCTGCTGGTTCACTACAGAAATTGTCACAATAGCCACAGCTGGGCAGCTCTAAAGCAAGGAGTTTCTTTCCTCTACGTCTCCCACACGGGTGTAAGGTGCTAAAGCTTTGGGCCATCCTCCACTACCTCCTAGGCCAAAGCACAAAGCTGGATGGAAAGTGGAGTATTAGGGACATGAGCTGGCACCCACATGGTATCATGACACTTGCAGAGTAGGATTAGGCAAATGAGCCATCATGCTGAGCCCAAGATATTTTGTATTTGATATTTATGTTTAACTTTAGACATTTTATACTTGTACAATAACCATAATTATTTTAATTTTATATACTAAGTACTGGTGAAAATCTTCTGCCTTTAAAGTGTACATATATACATGATAATCTTCTGCCTTTAAAACGTTAAATATATAAAAACAAAGTTTCCGTGGATGCTCAGAAACTAACTTCAGGGCCCAGCTCTCAGAATGGTTTGCTGCACATGTGTGTAAAATGGTGGCCAGCCTGGCATGTAACTGTCCTGGGTTTGTCAGCACATAGTGACTCCCATCCTTAGAGAGTCCCTCAATGCCCAGGAGAACGCTTTTAACACCGGGCACAAGGTGACTCATCCAACAACCTTATGCTGGAATTTCCCAGTCACGAGATTCATGAGATAAAGACAAGGCACATGATGGAGAAAGGGCTGGCTGGCTCAAGGAGGCAGAGACACAGGGGGGCCAAGACAAGTGAGTAAGCCCAAGTCATTCCATGGGCCTTGCTATCCCTGGGAGCAGGAACTGCTTCTCCCAATGACTTTGAGCTAAATTCTTCCACTGACATCTTCAAACTTCCTAAAGTGTTCAGGAGTCACTTCTGGGGCCTACCAGACATTCTCCTGTGTACAAACAGAGGCATCCGATTTGACCGGCAAATAGCCTTGTGAAGAAACACAACCTGGGGGTCAGTAATTTGTCTGCTTTCCTTGGACTTGCGGGGTGGTGCAAGAGGACAGGAAGCTCACCCTGCTCTGAGCCCTGTCCACAGCACCACCCAGTTCTGCAGCTATTGCCACACGGAGTGGGGACCTTGGAGGAATCTGAACTGAGGTAGAGTGGAGGATGCGGGTGTGGAAAAGGAAGTCCTAATGGGGTTCATCTGAAGGAGGCCCTTACTAAGGTTACAATTTTTAATCTACCAGTAAAGTAAATGCCCAAAGTCTGAGAACACATTCTGCTGGCCAGGTGGGAAGACAGAGGTGCTTCCTGGCGGAGCATCAACAGCAGCTGTCTGTGACAATGATCAAGACATCTATCCTTTGTCTCAGCAACCTTCTTCCTGGGAGTTCACAGAACACAGATACTTAAAGACCAAGAACTACAAGACCAAGATTATTTACAGAAATACTCAACTTCAACACCTACTAAACATGGGCTGAGGAAATTCCTCAAGGTGCACACTCATACAACAGAATAATTTGCAAAAGATTGAAAAAAAAAAAAGGAAGAAGCTCTGATATAAAAGATCCCCTTCATATCAAAGTCCTGAAGAGTGAGGAGAATCTGAGAGTATTTCCCAAGGTTCATGTAAAAATGGAATTTGAAGACTCCTCATACATATTGCCTTTTGTGGGATATAGGATGATGGAAAACAATTTTAAAATTGGACTTCACTGCCTTGGTTGTGAGTGGGGAATACACTGTGAACTCTGTTTCCTAATTCCCTTGCCAGGGCCTCACAACCCATCTAAATCCATTCCTCCACTACACCCAGGTTTCTCAATTAGAGTTCCTCACAACTCTGGCCTCTGAAGAAAACAGTATGTCTCCTTCGGCCTTCCTTATACTGTAATGGCAGTCAGCGCAACAGGAAGGAAAGATGGGCAGAGAGCAGAAGGAGGGGTACTCACTCTTGCAGAGACGGGTCCGAGTCATCCGCATTTGTGGGGCCCAGGTCTGAGTCATAGGACATAGGCTCCTCAGAATGGTCTGGACTCTTAGGGCCATGCTCTTGGAGTAGGCAACTATCAGAGTTTAGGCTGCAGGATAGCTGGGATGAACTGGCTGTGTCTAGGCTGAGGGAGGAGGCAGTGAGCTTTCTGTTCCGCTGGATCTTGTGACCCGAATGCTGTACTTCGATGTCCTCTGAGCCCGAGGAGTGTGAAACTGAATCCAGAGACTCCTTCCGCTGAAGTTCCACACCAGAGGTAGTGAGAGGTTCAAGCTCAGAGAGTGGGCAGAGCCCCGAGAGGGCCAATGGGGTAAGCGTCCACTCGTTTAAGATGGCAGACTTATAGGACAGTTCGAAGGACAAGGACGTCAGGCCCTGCAGGAAGCTGAGGAGGAACTCGGCCTCCTCGGCATCTCGGAGCAAGGCGGATGGCTGATAGTACTCCGCCAGCCGAGCCTGCTCCTGGAGCAGCAGCTTCAGGTAGCACTCCATCAGGCCGTCATTGAGTGCCAGCCGCAGCCAGGCCCGGCAGCGGCCCACATCCGTGTTGACAAAGGCCAGGTGCTCCAATTCTGAGATGACGTGTCTGGGAAGGAGAGGACAGACTGTTTCAGGAAAACTGAGGTGCTGTTTTAGCCCATGGTTAACCATAATGACCACCTGATGATTTCTCAGATAACAGTGTTTTCAGCAGTCTACAGGAAAATTAAGCTATCACCCTATGCTGTGAGGCTGGAATTACAAAGAATAATTGCCACTCTGATTACAACAACCCTTGAACCTGTGACATCATCTGTTCACCTTAGTAATGAGGTCAGTGAAGCTGGGAAATGACAGGGTAATGACAGGAGCCCTGTCTTCAGTCTAGCCAACTGCCTTTTCCAGCATGTGGGGGAGAGCTCCTTTTGTCAGTGGAGCTGCAATGTAATTACTTCTAGGTCGCAAAAAGAAAAAATGTCACAGTTAGGGCAGTGTCTGGGCTATGCCCTTAGGGCTTTCAAGAGGTAAAAGCCAGAGAACCTTCTAGATACAAGGAACTGACAGAAAGAAGGCATCAAGTACAGGAAAGACCATTCTGTGCAGGAAGAAGAGCATAGCAATTACAGCACACAGAAGGAGAGCTGCTGACTGAGTTGTAGCCAAGGCAGGTCATGGAGGGACTAGAATGTCAAGCTGATAAGGCAGGCAGGAGCAACGAGGCACTGGGATTCCCTGGAGAACAGGATAGGCTATAGATCTGGGGACCAGGTTAGGGACTCACACTCTGGGCTTGTAGGTGGGATATAGGAAAACGAACTGTCCACCAACTGTGATTATTTTAGGGTAGACTGATTTAGGCAGGCAGATTCTACTCTGGTTACTAAATTCAGCTGACTCCTTCGAGGTGTGGCTGAGGCCTCCCCTCAAAGGCACAGCTGCTGCTCCACCTGGGTTCCATTGTCCTGAAACACAAAGGTGTTCAAATCGCCTGATAGCAGGCTCACCAACTTTTCCTATAAGGGAAATTGCTTTAAGTTTGCAGGCCCCACCACCTTTGTTGCTAAAGCCCAGGGGCACCAAGCAGTTCCAAGCTCTGGCCTCAAGGCCCAAGTGGGCAGGCATAGTGCAGATAAAACTTTCTATGAACTATTCTGTCCCCTGCCTCTCCCTGACTCTACACAGAACACAGGCAGCTTTTCTGGCAAGAGCTGCATTCCACAGCTCCTACCCGAAGCAGGAAATCTCCCACTGAGCTCACTTGTGGGTGACAGCCTTCAAAAGGGACCAGAAGACAGGCTGTGGCAAATGCTTCTGGTGGGTATTTTTCTTCCTTTTTCCCCCAGCCTCAGCTCGGATGTGCTTAGCGTGCAGGCCGTGGATGAACACTGCCTCCAGGGCGCTGCACATGGTGTTGGCATCGGCATCTTCACTGGTTACCGCAGTGTCCAGGGACACATATTGCTTCTGCAGGGCCTTCACGGATCCCACCAGCTTCTTCTTGATGACCTAGACAGAACCAAACAGAACATAGGCCTTTAGAGGAAAGCCCCGGGAGAGTACCTGTTGCCAAGCACATGTGCAATCACACATGCATACCCTTCTGTAGATTATGTACGGGTTTTTCCACAAAATTGGCATATTCATGGTGACAGATAAACACAAACTGCAGAGAAGCAAAGGAAAATCACACTTCTACAGCCTAGAGATAAAAATAATATTGTTGCTTAGTACATGCCTCATTGTGGATCTTTTTGATTTTTGAAATCAAACTACTTACATCTTGTTTAAATATAGGTCCCAGGGCTAGTGTTGTGGCACAGTACATTAAGCCACTACCTGCAATGTTGGCATTTCATATGGGCAGCCATTTTGTGTCCCAGTTACTCTACTTCCAATCCAGCTTCCTACAAGTGTGCCTGGGAAGGCAGCTGATGGTGGCCCAAGTACCCATGTGGGAGACCCAGACAATGTTCCAGGCCTGTCTTTGATCTAGTCCAGTCCTGGAAATTGAGTTCTTTTGGCGAGTGAACTAGCAGATAGATTTTTCTCTCTCTCCTCCTCTTTCTCCATAACTATGCCTCTTAAATAAATGGACAGAATGGGTCCAGGCTGAACACAGGATCAAGAAGCTCCATTCAGATCTCCCACATGGACAGCAGGGGCCCAAATACCTGGTACTATACTATTCCTTCAGTGGCTAGAGAAATAAATAAATCTTTAAAAATATATATAGTAAATATAAATTTGGCTCTATCACAGTTATAGCTACAGGAGTTAGGATCAATAAACTTAGTACTGGGGTGAGGCTTCACACCTCATTTGCATGATCAAGATCCCACAGAATAGATAAACTGAGAGGAAAAAAAAGTGCTTTACAACAATTTTAAAAACACCAAGAATATAGGAACATGATGACATTAAGAAAGTTTTAGACCTGGCAGCCAGGGTTTGAGGCTCAGGCGTGGCCCTGACATGACTTGTTGTATCATCTCATTCCTCTGACTTAACTTCCCTGATTTCCTCATCTTTTAAATGGACACACCGTTTCCTGTCCACAGGACTCGGGCTGCTGCTCAGGGGCAGAACTAGTTTATTCATCTTGGGAGCTTCAATATTTGGCATCGAGCTGAACACTCAAATTACTCATGAAATGGGAAACAAACACATCAGAAAATGTCTGTCAGTAGTCTGGAAGTAGAGTCTAACAGCTGTTTAATCTGAATTTTAAATATCTCAAATTCATCTAAGTGTTTGGAAAAGGCTGAAAAGGGATCACAAAAACTGACTTAAATGGTTCAGAGAAAGATTGCAAGTTTTCTACTCTTTTAATTCCTTCCAAACAGTAAATGTTTATATTCTTTGAAAAATTAATTTTAAAAAAGATTTAATGAGACATAATTCACACACCCAAAGTTAATTCATTTAAACTATATACTGATAATGCAACAATTTTTAGTGCATTCATGGAATTATGCAACCATCACCACTATATAATTTTAAAACATTATCATCACCTCTAATAGATACTGTGTATTAGGGGTTGCCATGAGCTGGGAGAGGGAGCTTGGGAGTGACTGTGGTCACCAATCTGCTTTGCTTTTATCTGTTCATTCTGGATATCTCACTTGAACAGAAAATACATGTAATTTTTGTTTCTGGTTTCATTCATACCTTGTAATATTCTTAAGGTTCATATACATTTACTAGTACTCCTTTCCTTTTTGTTTTTAAGTACTTAAGAGGCAAACAGATGGAGAAAGAGGGAAAGATACACAAGGGTGGAAGGTCTCTCACCCACTGGTTAACTCACCCAAAGGCCTGCAAAAGCCAGCAGTCCAAAGCCAGGAGCCAGGAGCTCACTCTATGTCTCTCATGTGGGTAACAGGAACTGAACTACCTGAGTCATTACTGCAGCCTCTCAGGGCCACATCAGCATAAAGCTGGAATCAGGAGCTGGGGTTGGCATTGACCCCACATAATACTCTACTCCAAAGATATATTTATCTATTCATCAGTGAATAGACATTTGGGCTGTTTCCACTTCTTGGTTACAAGAGGGCCTGGCATGATGGCTAAAGCCTTGCCTTGCATGTGACAGGATCCAGGGTACTAGTTCAAGTCCCAGCTGCTCCACTTCCAATCCAGCTCCCTGCTTGTGGCTTGAGAAAGCAGTGGAGGACGGCCCAAGGCCTTTGGATCCCGCACCTGTATAGGAGACCTGGAAGAGGTTCCTGGCTCCACGCTGGCTCAGCACTGGCCACTGTGGTCACTTGGGGATTGAACCATTGGACGGAATATCTTTCTGTGTCTTTTTATCTCTAAATCTGTCTTTGCAATAAAAATCAATAAGTCTTTCTTAACAAAAGTTTCTGTGCAGCCATGTTTGCAGTTCTCTTGGGTATATACCTAAAAGTGGAATTTCTGTGCCATATAAAAACTATTTTAACTGATAAATTGGGAAATTATTTGCCAAAGTGACCACACTGTTTTACATTCTGGCCAGAAATGGCCATATTCTTGATTATAGCCATCCTGACTGGTGATGCTGATTTGCATTCCTGAATGTTTAATGACAACATCCTTGTAGGCCCTTATGGGTCATTTGCATATCTGTTTTGGATAATACACATTCAAATCTTTTATTGTTTTTACAACTGGATTGTCTGTCTTTTTACTGTGGAGTTGTGGGAGTTCTTTTTTAAAAAAGACTTATAAAAGACAGAATGACAGAGAGATCTTCTACCTGGTACTGCACTGTCCAACCTGAACATCTCTAACAGCTGTGGCTGAGCTTGGCCAAAGCCAGGGGGCTGCAACTACATTTAAGCCTCCTCTGTGGAGGGCAGGGACTTCGTATTCGAGACAGTATTTGCTGCTTTCCAGGAGCTTCAGCAGGAAGTTGGCTAGCAAGCAGGTATCCCAAGCAGCAGCTGAACCTATGGTGCCACAATGCCACCCCGAGTTCCTCATGAATTCTGCACACTAGATTCTCAACACACACCTGAATGCAAATCATTCACTCTGTGAGTTATCTTTGCACTTTCTTGATAGCATCTTAGAAGCACAAAATTTCTCATCTTCAACAGGTCCCAATTTTAAATGTTATTTTAGAGGTAGGCAAATGGTACAGCACATTAAATTGCCACCCAGAATACCCACATCCACATCTGAGTGGCAGGTCATGCTCTGGTACCTTCACCTCTGATCCAACTTCCTGCTAGTGTATCCTGAGAGGCAATAGATGATGGCTCAAGTCCTTGGGTCCCTCAACTCATCTGGAAGGAGCTCTAGGCTCCTGGCTGTAGTTTGTACCAGCCCTGGCTGTTGAGAGCATTTAAGCAAAGATTCAGCAGATACAAAATCTTTCTCTGTTGCCCTGCCTTTTATTAAAAAACAAACATTAAAACAAACATTAAAAGTTTTTTACAAACCAGAGTTACTAGTATATTACATATAAAGTATAATGCTTCATTTAGCTCAGGGCCTAAACTAGATGCTGGATGAGGTGATATAGATATTACATAAATCTTACCCCAAGAAACTCATACCTTTGAGGTCAGTGTTGTGGCACGGTGCATTAAGCCACCACATGTGAAGCCAGCATTCTTTCTGGAGCACAGGTTCAAGTCCCAGCTGCTCCATTTCCAATCCAGCTTACTGTGAATGTGCTTGGAAAAGTGGATGATAATGACCCAAGACATTTGTCCATGACACCATTGGGAGATGTCAATAGAGCTCTAGTTCCTGTTTCGACCAGTCCTGGCTGCTGTGGCCTTTTGGGGAATGACCTAGTGAACGGAAGCTCTTTCTGTCTGTCTCTCTTTCACTTTGCCTTTATATAAATAAGTCTTGAGACAAATAAGCAAGTCAAAATATATATATATATATATATATATATGCAGCCCTTGCTGGATGGTAATCCAGCTCAGGGTTCTGTCACCTACAGAGGGGCAGAGGCTAGGATGGGGAAGGGCTTTGCATTAAAGCCAGCTACAAGACAGATGGAACCCTCCAGCAGCCAGGAGAGAGGAGGGCATATCGCTGAAGACTACAGTTCCTTTTAAACAGGCAAGTTCTCTGAATTGGGGGACAGCAGTGAGGAGCAAAGGGAAAATCTGGCTTTTCCCAGAAAGTCACCTCAGAAATCCAGCAAGGGACCACCAAACACAACACGACTTCTTGCCTCTCCCAGGGAATTGAGAAAGCTGCGCCAGGATGCAAAGGTATCTCCCAAGAGAGGGAGTCTGAGAGTTCTGGTAAAGTGGTCACAAATAATTGCTTGCAAAATTCTGGAAAATGGTGAATGTTCCAAAACATATAAGGAAGTTACCAGCTTACTCCAATAATGAAATAACAAACCAGCACCCACTACCATTTTTTTGGGTGGGTGGGGGGGGGCATTTCAATGCATTGGCCCAACTGACCAAGAAGCTGAAAATTTTACTGCAAATCCTTATCTCCAATTCCCACTATTTTCTGGGTAAACTCCCATTTTATAACCAGTAAGACTCTTTAAAACCTGTCTCTGCCATGGACTGTTCTCAGCTGGAGGCCTCACTAGACAGTGTCCATGTCAAAGTGAGAAAACAGAGTTTCAGCAGTCTTCCCCCCCAACCACCTTGCCTCCCCAATTTGCCCACCTACCGGGATGGCAGCCCGGGGGTCCAGTGCACTCTCTCCCACTGAGAGCATCTCCACTCAAGCTAGCAGCTCCTGCGGAGAATCACATGGGACCTGCAGGGAAGATGGCAGCCAGATGAGCAAGCTCCAAGGCTTGAACAACACTAAAGGAGAAACAGAATAGATTTTAAGGAAGGAATCCAAGAGGGAAAAGGCCAGAGGGTGAGGCCAGAGGGTGGGTCAGCCCCAGAGGCAGGGGTGGGGGTGGGGAGGTGGGGGAAGGGAGTGGTAAAAGCGCTTCACATCAAAAGTGTCACAGCAACCAGGACCCAGTGGGATCAAGGGGTGAGGAACAAAAGGCTGATCTGAGGTGCAAGGGGGCCGGTAGTCATGGTGCTGAGAACCTGAAGGGACCTTGGTGATTGGGCTCACAATTCAAACTCAGGGTTGGGGCCTGTGACTCCTGTCCTAGTCCAGTATCTTCTGTTCAGTGGTGCAAAACCAAGTGGAGCAGCTTTGAAAGGGCAGCGTTCTCCCACAACACTACTGCTTTGGGGCTCTGAATTCTCTGTTGGAGCACCACAGGGATGGTTGGTGTAAGCTGCAAACTGGCCCTAATCAGCTGGGCATACTGGGGTGCAGCCTCGCACACTGCCTGATGTGCTGCAGAGATATCTGTAATCCCGGTGGACGTGGCTACCCAAATCAATAACAAAAACTGCTACTGTCCATCCAGGGCATGTAGAAGTAGTATAAGTCAACACAGTTAAACTACTAAATCCCACAAGACATCTGGTTTCCTCCCTTGGCCTCAAGAGAAGGGTGCTACTGGATGGCCTGGTTCCACCCCTGCAACTTGGGTTGGGCAGATCAGGGCGAGACAAGGAATTTTCCATCTCTGCAACATCGGAGAGACACCAAAACTAAACAAAATGTCTCTTTTATAGGATGAATAGCAGCCTGACAATTTTCACTGGCATTATTAAAGACTAGTTGCCCAAGTAATAGTTTTCTAGTACTATCTCCTCGGACTTGTTTTTATGTGGAGTCAGTCAAGCATCTTATAAAATCACCATAAGCTTCACCAGCACCCTGGATGACTCTTGTATAACTGCCTGCATATTCAGATCCAGTTTCAATTTTTTCCCAGGCCCATGGCGCTGTGTCCTGTATATGGGTAAGCCCAGGATGATAGTTGTATTTGCTGCTCTATAATTGCCCACTGCCCATCTCCAACTAACAAATCATAAATGAATCACTGCCCACCCCCAACACACACCTGCCTTGGGAAGTTGTTACCCTGCTGGTCCTAAAGATCACAAGTTTTCCTTAGCCATATCACTCTTCCACATTTTCCATTGTAAATACTGAGGAGAAAGCCTTATTTTTGCTATTTCTGCAAAATTATTGGGAATCCAGCTTGCTCCCTGGCTCCAGTTATTTAATAACATTCCCACACATATGAAGAAGTGGGTTCAGAGGATGCACATGCTTTCTTAGAAGTCCGGATGGTGTTAAAGTCTAGATTCTAATATACAGCTTGATTATATTCTTAAGTATCATTGGAAAAAGCAGTCTCCAGGGAATTTTATTCCACCTTCATTTTCCTCACTAGAACATTCAGAGAAGTCCTGGGATTTTGCTGTTTTAACACGGAAGTGTTACGGGGTGTGAAGGAGATCACACCAGACATGTTTAAGGTTTATTACACTTGATCTTAGCCAAAAGGCCGAGAAGTGATATGTTTAAGGTGTATTAAGGAGTCCTCATTAACCATCATGGTGATAATAGAGCATACTAGAAATAGCAAATCACAAGTCCATATGGCAATCCAACCAATCATAATCCAACCAAACATAATACCAAAAGGAACAAATGGTCATTAATTACCCTTACAGCCATCCATTAAGCTGAAGACCTATGTCCCAGCTTTCCCAACAATATGTTATCCTAAGAGACATGCAACGAATAACAGTTTGGACACACTTCCAAAGCTGCAGACATTCACTTCCCTGGCTTCTCTGCCCACATTCCACTACTGCTAGGCCTCACCCCTCCTGGAATTCCTGACAATACACAAACCAGAAACAACATTATTACAACCATTGCCCCATCTAAGCAGTACACAGGGACCATGCTCAGGAGATTACCTGTCCTGGGTCAGCCAAGAGTCGAGGTGCCAGAGTAACGGAAGCACCTGGCCAGAAACAGAGTGAGAGTCCTGCTTCACAGCCCTTTTAAAGGGGCTTGTGAGGGGAGTGGCTACACAACAAAGCAATGCTGTCCCCCTCAGAGGATAGGTGAGTCAGAGGGTGGGCAGAGGCAAATATCTAAGTGGTGGGTGGAGTGGTTGAGGATGGAATTAACATTCCATTGCTGTTAGGATCCACCTTCAGGACAGAGGGTAGGGGACACTGCCACATTTCATTTGCCCAATGTCAATGAGTGCTGGCTATCACTGGCTACACCGCATAACAGGAAGTTTTAGTCTCTTTTCCAGCCACATTACAGTGGATTAGGGGAGTCTCTCTTGAGTTGTCCTTTTCTGTCTTCCTCATCTGTAGTACAAGGCCTTTCTCTTTTACTTGCATTATGATGGCAATATCTTGTTAGGAGGGTCTCTCATGCATTCCCCTTTTTCATCTTCCTTATCTGTAGTATAAAGCATTTCTTTCTTTCTTAGCCAAATTATTGTGGTATGTCCTATTAGGGGAGTCTTTCACACATTCCCCTTTCCATCAGTATTATGAGGCATTTCTTTTTTAGCCATATTATGCCAGTCTCTCCTATTAGGGGGATCGCTCACGGGTTCCCTTTCTCTTTCTACCTCATCCGTACTACAAGGCATTTCCTTTTTAGCCAGATTCGGCAGCGTCTCCTTTAGAGGAGGTTTTTGCAGGTTCCCTTTCTAAAATTATAATAATGTCCTTAATTAAAGCCCATGTAATCCAAAAAGCTAACATGAATATCTTCTATCCTTTGGGCCTTTTCACCATTTTTCTGGGTAAAAGTCTTAAATTCAATTTCTATATTTTTAAAATTCTTTCAAGTAATTTTTCTATTGTACTTCCATTGCACACCTGGGGGTCAAAAACAAAAACAAAAACAGATTCCACAGTTGCTCAGTAAACCAAAATGCTTATATTGTAGGCCCTGTCTTTCTATCTTAGGACCTTGTTTACCTCCTTGCTACTTGGCTTGGATTCTTATTTGGAGGTGTGTGATCCATTACCATTCTTCAGTATAGACAGGCAGACAGATAAGAGGGTGTTTACTATGTAAACTGTCTCCTATGATTATGGAGGCTGGAGAATCAAAGAAGAGCTGGAAATGTTAACTTAGTCCAAGTTCAAAGCCTGAGAACTAGGAGGGTGTAACTCTTAGTTGAGGCCAAAAACTTGGGAAATGGGAGGACCTCTGACATAAGCCCTGGAGGCTGAGGACTGTACAGTGTGGCGTTCTGATGTCAACTTTACAAGTGGGGGCCAATGTGCTTCTCCTCTGTCTTGATATTCTATCCAGGCCTCCTACTGACTGAGAGGTTCCTATCCATGCTGGGTGAGGACCTTACTCAGTGCACTGCTTCAAATGCATCTCTTCTGGAAGCACCCTCCCAGCCTAATCCAGACACGATGCTTCATCAGGTATCAGGTGTCCCTTAGTCAAATTAGTCTTCACAATTTGTGTATTTGGAATTTTTGTTTGTTCGTTTTTCTGCATATTTTGTTTTATGATATAGCTCCATAAGTTCTGGGGCTGCCTGTGCCCTTCCCCAAGGTCCTTACCCTTCACCCCCATGTTGATTCCCCCTCTAGTTTTACAATGGATGTCCTTCATCAACAGTCACAAGTCACCAGTTTTTTGGGTAAAAGTCTTAAATTCAGTTTCTAGTGTCCCTTCATCCAGGCACCAAGGGTTATATTCGCGAATAACATCTAAGCAAGAATGCAACTGCTGCCTTTGCTCCGCTTTTCACTCAAAAGTTCTACATAAGAGAGCTAAAAGACTGTGTTCTCCACTGATTCTGGCCCATTATTTCCACTTACCTCTTTCTGTAGGGGGTCTCTGACGCACGTTCTGTTTGTTTTTAGGTCCCTGTTCAGGTGCCACTTGTTCACTATCCACACTTTCTATCTGCTTTCAAGTTCCTGTTCAGGCACCATTTGTTCACTCTCCAACAGCAATGAACTTGGTGCACGGAGCCGATAATCACACATATGGACTACTGACTAATGATCAATAGTTCATCAATCACAGGATAAGGGAGGAGTCTTTGAAGAATTTACATATCAACAACAAGGAGTTGACTTGAGATTATGGGAGTTCCCATCAGTCTGTCTATGGAACCCATCAATTGTTTCCACACCCTTGCCTGGAAGTATTTCTGTTTTGTATGTCCAATTAATTGTTCTCATACAGATATCCAATCAATTGTCCTCCTACAAAGATATCCAATCAATTGTCTTCCTGCACCAAGGCATCACAAAAACATGTAGGCCACAATCGGGACACATCTTCCTTCACAGGCAGCCAAAGCACCCTGCCCACTCACATCTGTCCCACAGTCAGCAATCTGTTCAGTGACCTGAGCGCTCACCAGGGGACAGGAAGGAGGTTTTGGGGTTCCTATTGGATGTTCCTGTTGGCAACCTTGGGTGGGTCAGACACAATATGTCATGGAATGGGATTGGTTTCCCTTCTGGCCCTCAAAACACTATTTCTTAACTCCAAGAACCAAACCAGAGAGGTATGGCTTCAAGAACTACACAGGAAGGAGTGCAGACAGAACTTGGGCAATGCTACCAAAGGGCATTTCAAACACCCCTGGTGAAGTTTGGCAGGCGGGAGGTTGTTTCTGTTGTGTAGGAAACACCACAGGGTCTCCTTCTATCTGTGAGTACTGATTCTCTCTCACAACAGCCTTCCAGAATGAACAAAGCAGGCTTTCCTGAGCATGTTCTCTAACTTTGATTTTTACAATAGTCCTGGGAAAGGAGGAAGACCATCCCTGGGGTCCGTGGAAGTGGGCCTTAGGTAACACAGAATCCCACATTCTAACCCTGCTTGTGGCCTGGGAAAAGCAGTATAGGACGCCCCAACCTTGGGACCCTTGCACCCGTGTGGGAGACCCGGAAGAGGCTCCTGGATCCTGGCTTTGGATCAGCATAGCATCAGCCGTTGCGCTCACTTGGGGAGTGACTCATCCAACTGAAGATCTTCCTCTCTGTCTATCCTCCTCTGTGTATATCTGACTTTCCAATAAATAAATCTTAAAGAAAAAAAAAAAAAGAAATAAGAAACAGGCTTACTGAGAGATGGCCAGACCCGATCAGCTGAGCCTGGGTCCTCCAAGGTCCCCAGGTTTCAGAGCTCTCCTTTCCTAAATGTCCTAGCACACAGTCACAACATTAAGACTTGTTTTTGTTGTTTGTCTTCATTAAAATGCTTGTCTCTCTGCATACAGCAAGTCCAATTTACAACCTCCAGACACCAAGGAAGAGAAAAAAGAATAGCTGAGACTTACATTGAAAGAAGAAATGGACACCCCTGGCTTCACAGCTCTCAAAACGCAGCCCCGCCAAGAAACAGCCACTTGGAAAAGACTTGTCAGCCAACTCCCAAAGCCCTTTCCTCCACTGCCTAGTGCTGAACCTGGCAGTTCCCAGAAACAGCCTGGTGCTTAAGGCTGTCCTGCCGCGCTGCACCAATCAGGGAGTCACACATTTTGGGTTGGGAAAGAATGACAGACATCTTCTGATTCAGAAAAGCAGATGATCCTTCAGACATGTGAGAGCCGCAGTAAACAGTACTTCCTCCTAGCTGCGGCTAGCTGGATCTCTGGACGAGAGGGGTGGGATATGAGGGGGCAGAAGGCTTCAGGCACAATTGCTTCCATTAAACACCCACTGCAGCGGGAATTCCTAGCCTGTGGTTTTTTTTTACAAGAGGGCAGAGTGGGTGAGATCAGCAGAAATGTGATTTTGGAAAACACTGGCTACCTTTCCTGGCCCCTTCCTTCTGCCCAGTGTCAGGCGTCTCCCGGATATTCCCGGTCTAAATCCCATAGGATTCCAACAGGGCGCAACTCTGAAGGAATGAAGCTAGACTTTGCCTGACTCATTCACCACTGACTGCATCTCTGGTACCCAGAACAGTGCCTGGCACACAGCAGTGCTCCTAAAGATACTTGAAGGAATTAATCAAACTAAAGAACAAAAGCAGAGGACAGTTCTCTTTAGCGGACGGACGTCCTGTGTGGAGCTTTGGGGTCACCTGAGCGGCTGACAGGCAAGAGCGAGGTCGCCAGAGTCGTGGCCTCTACGGGGCTTGGCAGGGGACTAACGTGGGGTCATGAGACCCCTGGTGCGGCGATGGGGTAAGGCAGAGATCGGGTCACGAGTGGGAGCAGCTGTCCAAGCCAGCAGCAGTAGGGCGGGCGCAAACTGAGGGGCAGAGCTGAGGCGCGGGCAAGGACGGGCGAGGGTTCCGAGGGCCACAGACTCACTCCCGCGCCGGCACTGCAGGATCACAGGGAGGGCTGTAGGCCCACCACACCCGCTCCTGCGCTGCCCTCCTCGCTCCCGGAGTCCTGACTCACCCAGGGCAGCGGGCGCAGGAGCAGCGGGCATTTTCGGCCACGGGCGCCGCTCGACTCCCAGCCGACGCCGCGACATTCCGGACACCAACAACAGGAAGTAGCACCCACGCCGCCTGACGTCATCACGCTGGCTCGCGTTAGCCCCGCCCCCCGGCACGGGCAGCCAATCGCAGGGCCGCCTGAGAGACCCGCCGCCACCAGGGGCGCTCCCAGCGCAGACGTCCGGGACTGTGCCAGCTGGCTTGGGGACGTGAGACTCGGGGGCGCAACCGGGAACCTTTGGTGCTGACCCTGCCTGAGTGTCTGCGAGAGACCGGGCTCTGGCTTCAGGTTGCTGCCCTCGTTCGCCCTCGGTGCCATCTACGCAAAGTTGGGGCTGCCGCTTCTCCCTCAGCTGACGGTCGCACCGCCCTTGTGAGCGGTGTCGGAAACGCCGACCCCGTCCGAGTCTCCCAGGGCGCAGGAGGGCAGCCCCGCGGGGCAGAGCCACATGGGAGCCTCCCACCGGGATCTCCGGAGCCAGGAAAACATGAATGCACCCTGGAGCCCGGGAGCGGTGAAGGACCCCCTTGGGCGCTGTCCTCTGGGTACCTCGCCCAGCATCCCTTTCTTGCCTCTTTTGGCTCATGGTGGCCCTTTGCTTTCCAGCTAGCAGGGACGTTTCATTTTCAGATGGATTCAGCACAATATGTCGCGTTTAGGGACCACGACCAGTGAGGTGCAGGGCTGGAAAGCCAACACGAACTCTGTTCTGGGTACGTGACTTGCAGGCCGGCCTAAGCCAAATGGAAACTTGGGGTCTAGAGGGAGCGGTTTCAGGGGGGCTGCCAGGTGCAAATGCCAAGAGGGCATCAGGACGGCTGAGGTACAGGCTGGTTTTTGTAGCCAAGCACCCCTTACCTTGACCAGGAGTCCTGTGTTTCTTTGCTTCTTCCTGGACAATCTCGAACATGCAAAAGGGTTGTGGGCCCAGGTCTTACATCCTTTTATAAAGTCGGCTGTTAGAAAATATATTAAAAAAAAAAAAAAAAGCTGGCTGTTGTAGTTGGGACTGCCCTTTGGATAATACCTCTCTGAGAATGCTATCTTCCCATATTTGGATTTAACCCACAGTTAGAATCCTGGGGTAGGGGAGGGGGGCATATCCAATATAGTAATATAGTTAATGGTTGAGTACTATGGCATTTTTTTAAGGATTTATTTTTACTGGAAAGGTAGATTTACAGGGAGGGCAGAGAAAAATCTTCCACATGCCCATTCACTTTGCAAGTAATTGCAACAGCTGGAGTTGAGCTGATCCAAAACCGGGAGCCTTCCATGTGGGTGCAGAGTTTCAAGACTTTGAGCCATCCTCCACTGCCTTCCCAGGTCACAGGCAGAAAGGCAGGTGGAAAATGGAGTAGCTGGGACACAAACTGGCACTCATATGGGATCCAGTGCTTGTAAAGTAAGGATTAGCTAATTGAGCCATTGTACCAGACCCAGCACTGTGGTTTTCAGAATAAGGATATAGAGACAGGCTGCCATTCAGAGTGAGTAGCTAGGAATTTTTCCATTCCTGGAAAATCCAGTTACTGTGGTAAAAAAAAAAAATTTTTTTTCTTTCCCAAATTGGCACAGCAAGAGTGTTGGTGATTTGTTACAGGATGCCTTGCCCCAGATTGAGCAAACAATGTGCTTAAGTGCTTTGTGCACAGCTGCCATCTCCTGGTGCTGTGGGGACCCCTTGAAGTAATCTTGTCTGCTCTTAAGGAGTCTCTTGGTCTTCTTTCCCAGGCCTTCAACCTTGCAGGTGAAGGCCTGCAGGTTTATCTCTCTTCTCATGGCACACTGCAGGTACTTGTGAAGCCACAAAACAGCCCAGGTCCTGGGAGGGGTTGGGAGATGGGTGAGAAGGAAATGCACACCCAAGTGCAAATTTTCACTAAATCACTCACTTTTCACTCATATCAGGACCATGAGCCCACCGGGGAGACCAGATGGAAAGTAAGGCTTGAACAATAATGGCGGTGGCCAATTGCTCTGGGACCAGAAGGGGAACCTGAAGGGTGTCTTGGATGGTCCTGGCATCTGGAAGCACGTGAGCTGCTGGGAAGGTTTACATCAATCTGATATCTAGTTCCGACGCACCTGGCTCATCTCACTCCCTTGGTGTCTGGTATTAGCACATCTCTCTTGTTTTACTGTTGTGACGTGCCTACTCTATTTCATATAAGTCTACTGGAGTTAAGTTACTGATTAATCATTGCCATCCCAAGATGTATATGTGACCTTGGCTGGCTAGTCTCCACATCCTTGACCACCGTCCCATGAGTTGCAATGAGAAGCTTTGGGAGGTCTGACTTTTCTCTGAGCATTGTGGGTCAGAGCAATTTGTGTTCTTTGAAGATCACCCAACTTTAGAGATTTTGTTGCTGTAACCAAAAAACAGCCCAAGACAGTAGCAGACTTTACATACCACACTCCATATTGTTTTGTTCACTTAACAGCCCTTTTTTATGTTGGAGATACACTGTGGACCTCTACCTCATTTTGTGTAAGTGCTGAAAAATGTTCTTGTATAATGCATAAAGGCCATCCTGTACCCTGCCTGGGAGAGCCATGGGCCATCATTTCATAACGGGCTCTAAAACCTTCCAAAAATATCATAATCAAGACACTAAAGCCGAGGTTCCCCGCCCTTCTGTAAGTCATTAACCCAGGCCTCAGATACCTGCACACTGACTTAAGGAACTCAGGGAAAATTTGCCATGATTTACTACTTTGAAATACATTTGAGATTCATGTGGCCTGTTCCCTGAATTCAAGCATTTTGGGGGTTCAGTTCTTTTAAGCGGTTCTCCTTTAAAGGACCAGGCTTGCTGGGAAAGGCAGCAGTAGTTGAGATGGGGTGGGAGGTTGGTACCTTGTTGTGGGCTACGGAGTTAATTAGCACTCCTTAAGCTGAGCAGGAACAGGAACTGGGCTTGTGGCTAAACACACCTAGACTAATTGGACTCAGCTGTATCCAATTGCTTAGCTAGAGGACTTGGTGGGGGGAAGAGTATATAAGGAGAGGTGAAGGAGTAATAGACACTTCAGAGAGACTTCTACCATCACTGGTCTCCTGTCAGTACTTCATCCCCACACACTCTCCCTGTCCATGTTATTGGTTCCACTGGCTTAACGTTTGCCCTGATGAGGGGGGCTAAGAGGAATTGTTTAGCAGTAGGGGGCTCTGGTGTTGGGTCCCACTGCCTTACTATTGTCCTGAAGCCAGGAGCATGCTACCCAGGATTGTGACTTTAGACAAGCCTTCCTCTTAGGATGTTTTAAGTGATGAGAAGTTTTGGAACTCCCAGTTTAAAATGGCTTCTAAAGAAATTGCATTAACCAGTTTCAATGTCTGCCTCTTTCTTCTGGAGGTCACAGCATTTGGTGTCAGGTGCATCTGGGTACAGATTTCAGCTGCACATGATACAGTCCTCACAGCATCAGGGGGTGGCTACTTGACACAGTGTGTGGAGCTTCAGGAAGTCAGTCCTTATTGCCCAACTGATCACATGTGGAAATGAAGGAACTGTCTATAATGCACTCAGTAATAGTGCTGAGCCATCCCCGAGGGCAGGGCTGGATGCTGGGCCCTGGGGGAAGAATGTGGGAGCGGTGAGGAGTAGGAGATGGGGTCTTACCCTGTCAGCATTCCAGTTAAACTATCAAAACCTAAGAAAGAACTGGGTTTGAGACAGACACTGACTTTGTAGGCAGCAACTCAAAAAGAGACCCTGGGATAGCTAGGATTGTTGGCTCTAGTTCTCTGCCCCTGTCTGATCCACACACTGCCCTGATCTCATTGTGGGTGGACCATCCTCTGCTGCCCCCTGGCTTTGGGCTTGCCCATGTAGCCAGTCTTGGCTCATGGAATGAAGAAGCAATTAAAGGGGTCCAGAGCGGTAGCCTAGTGCCTGAAGTCCTCAGCTTGCAAGCACTGGGATCCTGTATGGGTGCCGGTTCATATCCTAAAGGCCCCACTTCCCATCCAGCTCCCTGCTTGTGGCCTGGGAAAACATTGAAGGATGGCCCAAAGGCTTGGGACCCTGCACCCATGTGGGAGACTTGGAAGAGGCTCCAGGCTCCTGGCTTCGGGTTGGTGCAGCTCTGGCTGTTATGGCTACTTGGGGAGTGAATCAACGGACAGAAGATCTTCTTCTCTGTACATCTGACTTTCTAATAAAAACAAATCTTTAAAACAGCAATGAAAGTTGCTGGTTCTGCCTCTAGTCTTAAAGAGGTCTTGTGAGTTTCTGTTCCCTTATGCACTTCCACCTTCTCTGTGGGTAGCAGCTGGCTCTTCAGCCTGGACCCAGAGTGGACACCCTAGGACCAGCCCCTGCCCTGACCTTCCAAGTGTGCAGACCTGTAGGAAAAGCAGAGCCAATCTTAGTTGCAGAGCCTTCTGGTATGATGATACCATCCACCTGCAGATCAGTGGAAATCCTGATTGTAATCCACTCTATGTGTTAGTATGGTGGATCACATAGCATTCTTGTGGCCACAGCTAACTTTGATGAGGTGATAAGCTCAGGGGGCTCCAATAGAGGCTCAATACAATAGCAGGTTAAGTTAAAAAGCCGTTTATTGGGCTCTTGTGTAATCTTAGGATATCCGGGATTAGTTTGATGGCTCAGGTGTCACAAGTAACTTTGTTTCAGTGATTTTTATTTGCTCCATTAGTTTAATATTAATTTTATTTTTGATGATTACATAATTGAGAAGGGTGCATGCCCATGTGCACCACTGATTAGGATGGGAAGGGGTCAAGGAATAGTAGGTAGATGAGACCACTGCTTCCAATTTTGTTTTCCTTCTTCCTGTATCGGGGAAGAAAGGAGAAAACAGGGTGGGGAAGCCACACCCAGCATCCTAACCGTATTAGTACCAGGTAAGGGGGGGATAGCCAATGTCATCCCAGGGTCCTGAATGTGGAGCATGCTCCAAGGGCACTGCTCGAGCAGTTTTGATAGTTCTGAAATGCTTGCTGATTTCATTGCTCCAAGGATGAGAAATCCTTTCAAGGTCCACTGGCTGACATACTCCATCTCAATTTTCATTCACCCATATACTTCCTGGCAATCCTTGGCTGGGAGAGTTGTCCAATTTGTTCTGCCCTCCATCCTCTGCTGTGGTACTAGATGTCCTCTGCAGGCCCCAGTGAATTTCCACACCCTCCATGTACATCTGGGCATGCCGTCGCTGCTCCATCTTCAGCAGCTTAAGGTCAATTCTGACACATGCAGCCCATGATCAGACCGTAGATCCTGTGTTTTTTCCCCCCATGATTGGTGTTCTCAGTCCAGTGGTCCAGTTGGGGGGGTCCCCAGAGAAACCTCACCAGAAGTGACCTCAGACATGACTTATGGGAAGCCAGGGTGGGGTCTGGTTCAGTCCATCACCCACATCAGCCTACACGCACACTGGTGGTTGCAGTTGTTGGGTCAGTTCTGTCCCCCCCAGACCCATCTTACACAAACCAATGGATAGTGTGGCCCAGCCCAACCCTACCCACAACACATTAGGCACTCATGCATACCAGTGGTAATAGCAACCCTGTCAGAGCGACTTCCAATTACCCCCACCAGGCCACCCCCCAGCTATGGTTCCTGTGCAGGCAAGATACGCCAACAGACTGGTCCAGTCTGTCCCATATACCATTTGGCTTTTCTACACACCACTGGGTGCTGCAGGCTAGCTCAGCCTAAACAACCCTACTACCCAGCCCACAGTTATGCTGGTGGGTGCTACTGCCTGTCCAACCAGGTCCACCCCCAGCCCTAATTCTTATTCTTACTGGTGGGAGCTGCAGCACATCAGAGAGGTGCCAAGTTTCCCTACTAGGCCCATTCCAAGCCCTGATCTTACACTTTTCAGGTGGTTCTGTAGTCTAGCTGGACGAGACTTGCCCCTAGTTCCAGCACTTGCCAGCTGATACCGTGGTGAAGCCTGACCAGCTTGCACTTACTCTGGCTCATAAATGCACCAGTGGCTATGTTCACTTAGCCCAACCTGGCTCACATGAACGCCAATGGGTGTTGTAACCCTGCCTATCCTGTTCTGCTCCTGCTGGTCCCAGGTCTCATGCTCAGCAGCAGTAACACTGGCCCAGCAGGGGAGGCCCCACTGGCCCCCTGCCAAGTATATCCCCTCAAGTGTTACTTGTGCTGGTAGGTCCTGCAGCCCAGTCTGGCATACCTGGCTTCAGGTTGGCATTTACCAGTGGATGTTGCAGCCTGGTCCAACCTGGACAACACTCAGTCCTGGCCCTAACGTGAACTGGTAGGTGGTGCAGTCCAACCATACTTGTCCTGCACCCTGTCCTGGTTTTCACATCTGCCAGTGGGTGCTATGAACTGGCCCAGCCTGGCCCAACTCCAGACTTGACCCACATGAATGCCAGTGGGTACTGTAACCTGGCCTGGGATGGGCTGATCTCTGCCTTGGTTCTTATGCTCATCTGCAGGGACTGAATCCTGACAGAATTTCCCTGAGTTTCTCTATCAGGTCAATTCCCAGTGGTAGATCTCACGTACGCTGGTGGGTCCTTGGCCCAATCTGACTGGGCCCACCTCCTATCCTAGTAGGAATAGTGGCCTTGCCCAAACAGCCCACAGTCAATCTGGCTCTTACTGTTGCATGTTACAGCCCAAGCTCATATGGTCCACCCCAAGATCCAATCAATCTGGCACAACCCAGACCCAATCTACACCCATGCTGAGGTATACTATAGTCATGTCCAGGACAGTTCGCCAACCCATCCCAGTTCTCGTGCTTACCATTTGGAACCATAACCTCCAGGGCATCGCCCTTAGCTCCCCAACCAGACCTGATCCCAACCACAGATCTTGTGTGTGCCATTGATTGTTCTGGCACAGCCTAGCATAGCCCACCAGTCTTGGCTTTTGCCAATTCATGCTGTAGCCTGACCTGTCTCAGTGCACTCGCAGTTCCAACTCTTGCTGGTGAGTGCTTCATCCTAGCCCTGCCCAACCTCTCACCATCCCTGGCTTTCACACAAACTGATGATGTAATTAGCCTAGACCAGCATAGCCTGCATTCCACCCTAGCTCCTACACATGCCAATGTGCTAGTTTGGCTCGGCCCTGCCCAAAACCAACCCATACATCTGCTGACAAGTGGAGCACCTTGCCAGGCCTGACCAACACCCAGACCTGAATCATATGCTTACTAATGGGAGCTATGGCCCACCAGGAAGTTCTCCAAGTTCCCCCACCGTGTCTTGGCCTCTAGGTGAGTTGGTGGATGTTGTGGCCAGGCCCACCCAGCTTATTCTTGGGTGTTCTTGTGAGTGGTGCAGCCTGGACCAGCCCAGCCTGTTTCAACCCCAGTGCCCATAAGTGTCAGGGGATGCCACGATCATGCGTAGCTCAGGCCATCACCACCTCCCAGCTCTTGAGCAAACCAGCAGATATTACAGTTCCACAGGAGAAAGCCCATGTATCCCCCACAGAATCTGCCCCCAGACCTGGTTCTCTCATGTGTTGGTTAATGTCATGGCCTAGCCTAACATTACCAGCTCCCTGTTTGGACACTCACTGGTAGGTACTATGATCAAGCCCTGCCAGGAAGAACCACAGTGCTAGCTTTAGTGTGAGCTGGTGTTTGCCGGTTAGCAGTGGTCAAGGTTCACTAGCCCAGCTAGGGTCTCCCACATGGGTAGGTGCATTGGTCTGACCCAGAAAGGTCCTCTAGCTTCCCTCCTCCAACTGCTCAGCCTCAGCTCCCTCACTGACCTGCCAAGTATAGTGGTGGTCTTGATTGAGATCCCCCAGAAGTCATTCCTCACTTGCAACATACTTCCTCAGCAGTCCTCCCTCCCACACATCCCCATACCCTCTTCCCTGAGCAATCCACAGTCCCTGCGCCAGGAACACATGGGTTCCCCAGCCCAGTCTTCCAATGGGGTGGTGGTGTGCTGGTGTTGAGCTCTGCCGGCCCACCAGGGACCCAGGCTCCAGGCATGCATACCGGCCTGTTTCCTACTCCTCTGCCCACCCAAGATCCAAGCATGTTCACAGTTCCCCTAGCCCAGTCCACCAGCATGCCACCCCAGCATGCTAACCTAGGGCTCTCCCCTCCACATTCTATACCCCGAGCCCCTGCCTGGGATCAAGTACATGCAGAAATCCTCAGGCTCACTCTGTTTTTCTGGACACAAGTCCCAGGTTCCTGTATTCACCTGCTGGCACCACTCCCAGGCTCCCTGAAATCCCACACCCTGAGGCCCCCAGCCTACCAGTGCTGGCAGAAGCCAGGTGCTCTACCACAGGTAACTTCTATCTTACTGCTAAAGCTTCCCTAAGGTGTGGCCATCCGCATGAATTTTCTTATCCTTTACGTGTTCAGCTCCTCTTTATATCCTACACTCTCGTTAAAATGAACATCCCCCAGGGATGCAGTGGGAGCTGGCATGGGGAGAGTTGATGTCCTTGTGACTTACTGATGCGACACAACTGTCCAGGATGGTACCTGGCCATGCTGGTGTTTAGTAAATAGCAGTGGTCCCTGTCTTTCCATCTGTGTGGCTACCAAGGTTACTGACCTGGATGGCAGCCCTTTATCCCTGCATCCTAGAGTGGAGGAGCAGAATGGTGTAGGAAACTTGGGAGTCTGACAGCCTTGGGTTAAGTCCTCCCTTGTGGATGTGTGGCCTAGGGCGGGTCACCTCTGTTCCTTGGGCTCTGTTTCCTTCTCTAGGAAATGATGTCTAAAGACCAAACAGAAAACTCTAGTCCATGGATTCCTGGGATAGATACAAGACTGAGAAATGCCTGTTCCAGGGCTAGACCCCAAGTAAACAAATCAGAAATGGTGGTCCCCATAGCCACCCACTGCCACCACTGCTTAGTCTTGTGTTTCACACTCAGGAATGTTAGCTGGCTCACTGAAGTCAGCGGGCGAGAACAATGTGTTTTTCCTTCTTAGCAAGGAACGTTGTGAGGTAACTTGGGCCAGCATGCAGAGAAAGCCAGACCAGAGAACTTTCCCACTGACTTGTAAGGACAAGTGCCCCTTCCGACAGCATGAGACACATTCACATTTGAGGCTGTGGGCTTGGGGAAAAGGCAGGACAGGTCGCCACAGGGCACGAGGCTTCAACATCCAAATATCCAGGCAACCTGAAAGACCTCAGAGGGGCCAGTGTGGCAGGTCTTCTGTGGTAAATGACTGGTTCTTAAATAAGCCAGGGGAGAAGGCACTGGAATGCCCGGTGTTTGACATGTTCATGTCCTAGAACCTGACAGTTGGGGGCATGTGGTGGGACCCCTGTTCGTCCTGTGCCCATGGTGCCGCCACGGGAGGATTTTTCTACCTCGGAGGCTTCTAGATGCAGACCAGCCTTTCTTGCCTGTGGCCTTGTGATTTGTATAAAACGTAGACTTTCACTTCTTATCCTCTTGGCTGGGATGGCTTATGAATACCACACACACGAATATTAGAAGGGAAGTGCTTTTATAAATGGAGGCAGCCCCAGCAAAAGGGCTTACTCGGTGAGCACCTCCTCAGGGGCTTCACTTTCTCCTTCGGCAGTCGACTCAGCGGCCGCCATCTCGCCCGGGCCTTCGCTCATGCTGTGGGGAACAGAACAGGCCACTTTTCCTCTCTGCCCGCCCCGTTTGCTCCCGTTAGGTAACGTGGGGAAGGCAGTCTGTCATTTACCTTGCCCCTCTCACGAAGATTGCTTCCTCGTCAGAGGTTTCATTAAATAATTTTTTACCTAATTCCTTCCGGCTCATTGCCCGGCGGGGTTTGCGCTCACCCCTCAGCCAGCGCAGCCACCTCACCAAGAAGCCCACCTAGGAAAATGCAGGAGGTTTAGCACCCTTAGGAATGGGGAGGGGAATGCATGTTTTGCCCCTACTCCCACCATCCCTCCCTCCAGCGACACACTGTGTCCCTCAGTTTACCTGCTTCTTCTCCCGTCTTTCCTTGAGGGAATCTTCGTAAAGGTCCCTGGGGGAAGGGGAAAACAAATGCCCAAGCCAATCAGAGACTGGTGTCACTCTCCATGGCCCGCACATCTCTGGTGTGCCCGGGACAAAACGTGTCCCTGTCCCACATATACCACAAAGCAAAATCACCACAGACCTGGGATCTGGGCTTCTGGGAGCTCTCCGATCTGCCTGAAGGTGCCCCAGTGGCTAAGGGCCAACTTGAACCACTGCTTTGTGTGAGGTCGTCAGCCCCAACCACTGCCTTCCCCAAGCGCCCTTGTGCAGTGACAGACCGCACAACCACATGGGGCACGTGCACTGTCTCCCTCCTTTAGCATCTGGCACCAGCCCCACCTGGACTGAGTCTCACATGCCTCCTTCACCTGGGGGTGAGGGAGAAGGTGCCTCTATGTGCACAGTCCCTGACCCCTGTAAACTAAATCACATCAGGCAGGGCCTGAGTCTGACAGCAGTTACCTAGCTCATGCAGCCTCACACTGCAGGTGTCACTGATGGGAGAGTGATTAGTGAAATTAGTTAAAGGATGAGGCTCGCACTGACACCAAGATACCCCTTATGAATCCAGCAGAACAGGAGAGTGCATTGTTTTCAGCAACTGTGCCTGTGTGGTACATGGGTGCTGATTTCTGACAGAAAACATAGCTCACAGGCCCAAACCCTTACAAGCCAGGGAGGAGCCCCAGCTGGGAAGAGACCCTCCTCTGATGTTAACAGTATGACCCTGGGGCCAAGATGCTGCCTCTTTCTCGTTTCCTTGTCATACAATGAAGAGACAGACTTCTCTTTAGTTTGAAGATCTCTTCCAGTTAAAGCTCTTAGAAGCTTGGTTAGAAGAGAGAAGACATGACCAGTGTGATGGCTCATTGGCTAAATCCTCGACTTGCATTTGCGGGGATTCCAGATGGGTACAAGTTTGTATCCTGGCAGCTCCACTTCCCATCCAGCTCCCTGCCTGTGGCCTGGGAATGCAGTGGAGGATGGCCCAAGGTCTTGGGACCCTGTACCTTCACGGGAGACCCATAAGATCCTTCTCTGTTTCTCCTTCTCTTTGTAAATCTGTCTTTCTAATAAAAATAGAGTAAATCTTAAAGAAAAAAAAAAAAGAAAAACAGATAAAAAAAAAATAAAGACAAGCAGGATGAGAAGAACTTTTCCTGCCTTCTTTAAGGAGACCAGCTCCTCCCACAGTGCAACACAGACTCCCCTAGCCCTTGCTGGAAGCCTTCAGGAAGCCCTCTGGTATGGTCAAAGTACTGTCAGCTGCAGGGATGGCACAGCTGGAGTCCCTCCCCAGCCCCTGCATCCAAGAAGGACTGGGGACAGCAGAGGTGCCATGGTGGTGCTGTCTACCCCAGCTGTGAAGTATGCTTCCTGTCTGTGGAGATCTCACTAAGCAATGAGGTGACTGGAATCCATGTGTTCTCTTCTAGTTCTCGAGTTTCATTTCACACATTACTGGGCTGGTACTTACCTTAGACCTTTTCCTATGTCCTCCTCCTCGGCGTTGGCTCTTGCCCTGTGAGAGTAAATCTGTTTTGGAAGAAGACACAGCCATTATTATGCAACACAGTGACCACAATGTCCAGATCATTTGCATGCCTTTCTTTTTGTATGCATCTGGCGCCTAATACATTTTACTGGCTGTTTAGATAACTTTCAGCAGACAATTCTCCATGAAACCTCTTTGAAGAGGAAAAGATGAAGCATCTTTAATTGGATCAGAAAAGTAAACAGAGAAGTCAAGGAGACTTTGCCTTCTTAGTAGGATTGCTACTATTTACCACTGTTGAGGAGGCCCTAAAATAAGGACTAGTGCAATGGTGTTTAGGTTTAGTTCTACCTGTAGTGCAGTATCCCATTTGTGCAATGGCTCGAGTCCCAGCTGCTGTACTTCTGATTCAGCTGTCAGCCAACAGCCTGAGTAAAGCAGCAGAGGATGATCCAAGTGCTTGGGCTCCTGTGCCTGTGTGGGAGACCCACAGCAACTCCAGGCTCCTGACTTCAGACCAGCTCTGGCTGTTGCAGACATTTAGAGTGAACCAATGGGTGGAACAGCACTGTCTCTCCAATAAGAATAGGTAAATCTTGAGTATCAATTTTTCAAAAAGACAAATACAGTATTGTGTCACAAAGGAAGACAAAACAGATGTCATCTGAATGTGAAATGATGGACAACTCGGAAAACCCAAGAAAATCAACTACCATTTTTGTGGAAAGTAATATGCGAGTCCAGAAAGTTGGCCAGACACCAGGTCAAGAGATCAACATACATGCTGTGGTAGCTTTCCTGTGTGCTGCCAACAACTAATGGGAAAACGCAAGAAGGATCCCGTTTGTAACCAACAGAAAGGATTAAAGCTTATCCTGGAATATGCTCAACAAAAGATGTGTAAGATTGTGTAATGAAAACACTAAAGCCCTTTTGAAAGCTGTGAGACTTGCATTCCTATAATGTTGTGATTATGTCAATTCTCCTCAAATTAATCAATTAATCAAAATAATTCAATTCAGCTTTATACAAATCCGAAGATACATTTTTACAAAACTGACCGGCTGCCATTCAGTGGGGAATGATGGGCAAGAATAGTGCAAGAAACATGAGAGAGCAGGAGCTCGCTCTAACAAATATAAAACTCAGAACTAAGCCATAAAGTGACTGGAGTTTACCTGTGTGATACAGGTATGGGTGGAAGAAAAGACCACAGAGTCGATGGAAAGAGCAGAGTCCAGATCAGGATATTTTAGATTGGTAAGGAATGAGTGAACTGTTCAAAGAAAAATTATTTTAGAAGATTTAGAAACTCATGTAGAGAAAGATAAGCTAGATTCCCTACTTCAATCATATTGAAAAATAACTCGAGGGATTACAAAATAGAAATTAGAACAAAATGTTACAAGAGTCCTAGAAGAAAATATGCTACTACTCTATCAGTTTCAAGAACCTAACAAAACTCAGATCCCATCAGCAAAATGTGAGACTGGCAGGTGCAGGGATGTGTGCTAGCAACTCCCTATCCATCCCAGAGTGCGCCCCCTTCTGTTGGGATGTTAGCTTTTATTTTGCTGTTGTTGGTTTAGAAACCTTTTTTTTTTTTTTAATACAATAAATATATTAATCTCTTTGGTGGCCTTTTTCTTGTTCAAGTCTTTCCAGTATTTCTCAGTGTGTTTGTAAGGAAGGGAAAGAGAACAAAGGGAATGAGGAATGCATTCTTTTCAGTCAGGAGATCTGGGTCTGACGTTGGCTTTGTCATTTGGGCCCATAGCTTGATTGCCATGACCTGTGAAAGGGGAACTGCTGCAAGGGCTAAGTTGAGAACACAGGGGAGACTCTGCCCCAAGCCTGACCTCCCCAAGTGCTGAGTCAGCTAGCAGTGTCACACACAGGCAGACAAATCTTTCAAAGGTTTCTCCTATGCCACTGGGCTTAGAAAGCTCTTTTCCATCCCAAGACTGAAAAATACTGCTTGAAATTTATTCTCAGTATCTTTTTGTCTTTTTTTTTTTAAAGGCATTAACTGAAATACATTTAGGATGAGAAGTATCCATCTATCACTGTCTGCCATTCACCCTAAGTTCTTAGGCAGCTAGGCAGCGTTTTCTCAAACTGATTAGGCTAGAGGCAACACTGCAGAAGTTTTAGGAACACACATGTCTATGTATTACTGAACTCTCAACTCTGTATGCTGCTTCAAATGAATATTATATTGCATTCTTCTTCACCGTAAACTTGACATTGTACCTAACTCTGATCCTCTGAACACTTACTATCTTTCTAATACAGGCAAAACTCTGCATACTCCCTGACCTCACAAACCTTCTCATCTAACTGGGGAGAGGAACGCAGGAAAACATGAATGAATACAAAGAGAAGTAAGCCAGAACTAAACATACACATTAAAATAACGCAGAACTTGATCAAAATTTCAGCCATTTCCCCGAAGGCAAAGACCAGGGGCCACCTGGAGATATCCAGGATACTGTCTCCACCGACCCCTTGGCAGTTGACCCCATGTGGCTCCCAGCTCCTGGGTTCAGAAATCAGACTGTTTTCACAAACAGCAAACTCACTGGAAACAACCTCACCTGATCAGCACCACAGCCTGAGTGAAAAGACAGAACAGCTGTGACTGCATGACCAGGGAGCTGCCTCTGCAGGGGCAGGCCTCCATGGCACACTCAAGCACCATCAGAAGGCAACTTGGGAAGGACAAAGATGCAAAGGAATCAGCTGAACCCAGCGTTTAATGGAAAGCTCTGGAGTGGCCAGATTTGTCCCTCTCCTGCAGAGGCGCAGCCTCACCAGGGGGCTGCCTCCACATCTGCCTGGGGCTGTCCCTCTGCCCTAGTGCAATGTCAGGATGGCCACTAGCATGCTGGTGGGCTCTCATCTTTCTGTGCTCCTGTCACCATCCCCTGCTGTGGCTGGCATGTCTGCCTTTAGAAACAGTGATACACTAGGCAGGTGTTACCGGAGGCCAATAGACCTGGGAAGCTCTTTAGTCCTTATATACCTTTGCTGTGCTCCCTCGCGTGTTGACCTTGGCACTTCCCTTTGTGAAAACTGCCACATTTTTAAAGTTCTCAGGGGAGAGGAAATACCTCCCTGGGGTTTCACAGAAACGATGATCCATCTCACAGAAGGTTTAGTCCCAAGAGAGTTGGAGGAGTCAAGGCATGCCATGAAGTGAGGGAATTTTAGGTAGAAAAGGCACAGGTGAAAGTAGGAATGGCCATGGTGTGGCTGGGGTATGGTAAGGGGCCACTTAGGCAGGAACACAGACAGGGCTGACATCACAGGAAGAGTGTCAGTGAAGTAAACTGGGTTGGACTGCTAGGGTAGAGTCAAGACTGTCAGATCTTTCAATGACTTCATATTGAAGCCCTTTCCTGTTGGGAAAAGTAATGCACTTTATGTAACTGAACAATAGGTGAACAGAGTCAGGCTCCAGGAATGGGATAGGATAAATACAGCACACCTCAGGGTTCAGCTTAGGAAGCAGGATTCAGTTACATTCAGGTACATAAACAACCTGTCTTTAGACCTGCCTTATGTATTAGAACAGGTAGAATCTTTAACATGTTTTCTGGTAGTGTCCTGAGGACAGTAACCATTCTGTGAGGTGAGGGTGCTGATACAGCGCTCATCCTTTCAACAACGAGAAGAGAGACCAACAGGAGCAGAGAGGGAAGTGGTAAGCACATCAAACAGTTGACATAGCTGTGGGGAAATCTTGTTATCTATGAAGTCTGGTCTTCCACCTCTCACAATAGCCAGTGGCTTGGCTTGCTACCTAGTTTCCAGTTGCACTGAGATTTCCTGGGAGTAGGGTCTATTCAAAATCTCAAGCATATGCTTTTCAGGAGAGTATGTCTTTGTGACCATAGAAGAACGTCAACTGGCAGTATGTGGGCAAGTGGCTTTGATGTTCACTCTGCATTCAAATCTGTTGTAAAAAAAAAAAAAAAAAAAAAAGGATGTTCTAGAAACCTAAGTGAATCGTTGTCCTTACCCCAACGAGACAGGCTCCCGTTATTAATATTATCACAGCTACAGTGACAGATATTGCCATGATGAGTATTTTGTACCTTGGGACTTCTTTGAGCTAAAAGAAAAAGAGCAATGAAAAGAGATCAAATAAAGAGATAGCATGAACACTTAACTATTCCAGCCCGTATTCTTCCAGGTGAGTGGCTTATAGGATCTTCAAGACCACATAAGATCCAATGTTACATGATCTAATTATCACACGGGTACTCTACAGTTCATCTAGCTTGCCGGGTCTGCTTCATTCTCTAAAGGAGCAAAGTGGGAAATTGCCACCTTGGCCAAAGTTATGTGCCCAATGCAAGATATGGACTGGGAGCCCCTGTTCTTCCTCCTTGGTGCTTTAATGACACTTCCTAAACGACAGGAAAGGGCAGCTCTCCTGTCTCGTGGCCGTCCTCACCTCACTTGGCTCGATCATTCCTGCATCAGTCTGGCCTCCTGGGCTCTCGCTGATGTAGTCCTCTTCTTTCCAGCGGTCTGTGTCCCATTCTGCCTTGGCCTTCACTTGCTGCTGCTCACTGAGGAGCTTCATGAGGAAGCCCGTTCTGGAGATGAGCTTGGCACAGGACAGCTGCACCTGGGGGTCCGCACAGTCCATCTGCAGAGTCCTGATAACTATTAAAATGAAGTTTCTCACGTCATTATTGGGGATGAGGGACCGAAGCTGCTGGTTCAGTTGGTCCCCTGGGGATGACTGCAAGGGGTAAGTACTGCCTGTAGGCATGGAGGGGATGTCCCTGCCCATGTTAGGGTTCCCCCATTGCATTTTTTTCTCAGTGGGGGCAATCTCAGGGGAACCAGTGGCCAATGGATGCCCCTGGGCTGTGCTGGCAGGGGGAGATTCTTCTGGCACAGTGTTTCCTAAGTTATTTGCTGCAGCAAGGCTGGCTTCAAGAATATCTTCTGCATGTGGTACTGGAAGAGCCATCGCTTTCGGAAAAGGAAATTCCTGAGAACTCGAGTCTCCAGAAGAGGGAGAAGGCTCTTGGGGAGGGGAATCAATGAGACTTTGTAGGGCAAGGAACGCAGGCCTCTTTACAGAGCTCCATGTGTTGATGGGATTTTTCCTTTTCATCTTCAGTCTCCGTTTCACTGGAGAGAGATCATTCAATGTTTTTTCCGGTTCAGAGAGAGACTTTGCACGGGCTGCAGCAGATGGCTTGCCCACGATGTACCTCTTCAGGGAAGAGGCGTCCCTGGCATTGTGCTCCTCTGTGAGTGGGGGCTCTGGGTAGAAGGAGTTGGCCACCAGGTGCCAGGGCCTCTGGGCCACATGAAGCTCCTCCTGCTCCCTGGCTCCTGCGCTCCCCAGCCGGCCTTGCACGGTGCCCTCCACAAGGGGGCGCGCGTTCTCTCTCCTCCTGATTGTCTCCTGCTGCATCAGCATGGCAGCTTTTTGTGTTTTTTTAATGTCATCCATTTTTTGTTGAATTTTGTAGTTTATCAAATTTTTCAGAAAGTGGATCTTTCTCATTTTACGTTCAGTAGATTTTAAAGACAAGTCTTTTGCTTTGGTTTTCAAGTGATCCACAGATCTATCTTCTTGTGGACTGGAAAAGAACAATTTAATGTAGGGTAGTAACACCGACTCTATGTCTTCTACACTGCTGCCTGAGAAATAAGGCAATACGTAATTTAGTGAACTGATAACATCTTTTTCATTTAAGTCTAGTCGCTCACTTGTAGAGTCTAGAATGCCAAACTTATGTTTCTTTGAACTCTCTGTTTCAATAATTAATTTCGTGCTAGTGTTCCTCTTCCGGGCCTGCAGTATCTTCAGGAATTCCGCTTTGGGATTCCCCGTCGTTGGTTCTGGTACTGTCAGAAAGGAAGAGAATGCTTTCGTTACCAGGAAACTGAGTGTCAGTGTACAGATATACATCCCCAGCAGTTTAGGCTCGGAATCACCAAGATTTGGTTACCACATAGGAAGAAAAATTAACCCAAGCTTAAGTCTATGAAATGGCAGCAACAGAAAGGAAGAAAAAAGTGATTTTTAAAAAGAGTGTAATCAGAAGAGTCCTGAGTATGAAAAAGCAGTCACTGTTTAGGGTTGTTCCTTGTCTCCCCAGTGGCCAACTGCCCAGCACCCAGTAAAAGCCCATGGCCGGGAGACAGTCTCCATGCAGCTGGCCCCTGTGGAAGTGCCTGCCTCACAGACACATCCTGCACCGTCCTGCCTCAGACACCCAGGGGGCACAAGGCTTCCTCTCTCCCCCTCTCCAGCGACCTTGCCTTCTTGCTGCTGTCAACAGGTGACCATGGCCAGACACATTCACATGAGGGGAGTGAAGGCACAGATGCTAAAACAGGGGCCTACTCCTCCTCTGGATGTGTCCTTTTCCACCAAGGCAACAGTTACTTGGTCTCTGCTCAATGTTTCCTAGCCCTTATCACAGAAGGTTCCTCATACAGAAAACCACCGCATCAACCCTTGGTCTTTAAATATGGGCAGGGGTCTGGGATGTAGGTGGAGTGGTCTGTGGGTTGCTAGGTGGTACGTATGCACAGATTGTTCTGTGAGCTCTCTGGGATGGTAGCAGTGTCTGGGTAAATGTTGCTCAATGCCCTAAAATGTAAAAGGGAAAGAGGCTGGAGCCCTGGTGTGGTAGCCTAGTGGCTAAAGTCCTCACCCGGTATGCACCAGGATCCCATATGGGCACCAGCTTGTATCCCAGGTGTTCCACTTCTCATTGAGCTCCCTGATTGTTGCCTGGGAATGTAATCAAGGATAGCCCAAACCCTTGGGACCCTGTACCCAGGTGGGAGACTAGAAACTCATGGCTCCTGGCTTCAGATCAACTCAGTTCTGGCCATGGCTTCCACTTGGGGAGTGATCCAGTGGATAGAAGTTTTTCTCTCTGTCTCCCTTTCTCATTGTAAATTTGAGTTTCCAATAAAAATAAATAAGTCTTTAAAAAAAGGGGGGGGGAAGAAGCTGCTTTTGCAAATGCCAGTTTTTGCTTTTATTTCTAGTATTTCCAGCTTGACTTGCGGAAGCCTTCAAACTTCCAAGTGCAGGAAGGTCAAGTGTGCTGTTGTGTGGCTGGGCTTCTCTCCCAGGCCCTGCTGTGATAGTGAGAGGAGGAGGTGAGCGTCATGACAAAGAAGGAACATGAGTGCGTGGAGAGTCAACGGTGGACAGAAGACCGGGTGTCTGGCTTCATCCCTTCATGCCTCCATCTTGTTTCTCCTCTCTGTGAGTCCATTAAATTGTTTGTTCTGCCCCCTCTTGGAGAGAAGGGGTTAATAGGTGGAAAAGTGTGCTCGACAACAAACAGCACTGTTTGGCATTCACTAGTATGCTGAAGTCCTGGATCCTGACAGAGATGTGTATCCAAGCTCTAGGGAGAATAGAGCAGTCTTGTCTGGAATCCCAACATTAGTGGGACTTCAAGTTAGTTGGTGGAGTTTAGTTACTTACTTAGTGGGACTCCAGATATCCGGAAAACCACAGCAAAGTCCCTGGGTGACTGCCCAATGAGAAGCCTGAGCCTCGGAGCAGGTTCAGAGCTGGGCTGTCCACTGGTGGATGGCATTCCACTCCATCAGAGGAGCCAGGCAGCCATGCCTGTCTTGGAACCACCAACTCCCAGGCTCAGAATAAAGCAGTGTCACTTATACTCTTCTCCACAATTGCAAAAACAAGCCAACAACAATGTTCTACACCTGTTCTCTAGGGCAGAGGCACTGGAGGCCTACTGTGTATAAAAGCAGGCTACACACTGTGGTGCAGTGCACAAATGAGTGCTCATGGAAGCAAAGCACCAAGCTGAGAGCACAGTGCACCATGTGGCCCTCAGCGTTAATTCCTTCCCTTCCATTTCTTTCCTGTGATTCTTTATGCACAAGGAACAGTTAGAGCATCAAATTTCCTATCAGTCACTGGGAGCCTGATGTTCATTGAGAGAGTAGTTCAGAAATTGAGAGTTTTACTCTGAAGGAATGAACTAAAATAATTACATAATAGCTTTAAGCGTTTATCCCTAATTTACAAATAAGAAATTAAAATCACCAGGCATTTGAGACTCACCACAAGATTGAGTGTTTGTCAGACACTCACTGCAACAGTGCAGCTTGACTGTCTTGCAGACAGCCTCAATATCCTTTTTAAATTGGCAGAGGCAGCAGGCCATGGAGTTCGGTAAGATCCTGTTAAAAGGAAACACAGAAAATTCAGCTAATAATTAAAGGATTATCTGAGTAGGTCAAGAGGCAGGCCAAGGCTGTGAAAAAGGTAATCTTGAGATGTGGCATCAGGCTATGTGGCTGGGAACCTGATGACCAAGTGCTGCTCTTAAATGTTGCAAATATGGGAAGGATGCAGAGGTGCCCAACAGAAAGGTAAGCAAGGCAGGGGGTGTGGTATGCTCGGGATAAAGGTGACAGGGGCTGGAAGCGAGTGCCACTGGTCAGTACTGTCACTCAGGAGTATCTCCTCCCAGCTCACAAGTCTCACTCTGGAATAATGTCAGACTTGTGAGAAGGAGTCAGAGCCCCCAGCCTTTCTCATCTGCTGTTCGAAGGATCTAATATTAGAAATTACTCTAGCTGCAGAAAAGACTGACTCTAGCAATTGCTGAAGAAAGATACAGAGTAAAAGGATCTCTCAGTCAATGTTGGGGTTTACAAAAAGTTTGCCAGGGGTAGGCATTTAGCCCAATGGTGAATATGTTGCTTAGCAACCCACATTCCATGCACCTGGGTTTGAATCCTGTCTCCCCTTCCTCCAGTGAACACCCTGGGAGGTGTCAGGTAAAGCTTAATAAATACTCAGAAGTAGAATAGCTGGAACATATGGTAGGTCTTAAAGTTTTTATGAATACTCTGAAACTAATTTGATTAAAAGCTTTTCTTGAGACATATTTTTAAAAATTATTTGAAAGGTGGAGAGAAAAACAGAAACGTTCCATCAGCTGGTTCACTCCAAATATCTACCACAGTCAGGGCTGGCCAGGCTGACGTTGGGAGCCCAGAACTCAACTTGGGTCTCCCCCCCATAGGAGGCAAGAACCCAATAAATTGGGCCATCAGCTACTGCCTCCCAGGGTGCACATTAGCAGGAAGCCAGAGTTGGAAATGAATCCGGCACTTGAATTCAATCACTTTGATGTGAGTATGCGTGTCCCAGGTGGTGGCTTACTGCTGCTCTTGTAACAGCTTCATTTGGGATAGCCAAAAATGGAAAGAACCCAAGTGTCCGGCTGCAGATGAGTGGATAAATGATACTGAGTTCACATAATGAGATGTTGTTCCACTAGAAAAAGAAATGAGCTATTTCAACAGACAACAGTCGTGTCTTAATCGTATTACATAAATAAAGATGATTAGAAAGAGTGCATAGCATATAATTCCATTCATATAAAATTCTAGAAAATGCATATGATAGTAACAGAAAGATGCTGAGACTTACACAGGCACCGGGGAGAGCAAGAGTGATGGAACAGAGGGTTCCAAAGAGATATAAGGACCTGTTGATGTGGTAGACATTTGGAGTTGGGTGATGACTTCATTGTATATACATATATCTATACCGTATTTATGGTCTCAATTATGCTTTCATCTCTGGCATTATTGTGAAACTGTCTGAAGGAAGAAGGAAGGGAAGGCGGGAAGAAGAGAATAAGGAAGGGAAGAAGACAGGCTACTCCAAATCTATGTGACAGGTATATGGGCAACCATTATATTCTGTCTAGTAAGTTTGAATTTGTAAAAATATTTACTTGAGGGTGCCGCTGAGTGTGTGGAGAGATAGGGACAGAATTAAGCAGAAGAGAGAGCAGGAAGCGCAGAATTGCAGGAAAAGATGTCCGAAGCTCCCTGGAATTGGCGAAACTGAGGCAACTTTCACACAGGCAAGAGAGAACCGGGAAGAACTCTCAGGATGGCAACCTGCCGCTTGAGCTTGTGGAGACGGATACCAGGATACCATCCGGGACAGGCAAGGACTCAGTCAAAACCTGGTGAGTCATGAATCGATGCAGGGAAGACACCAGCAGGAGCCTTAGCCTGCCCATAAGAGACAGAGGGAGTCAGAAGGACTCTCAGATCAGGACACTGGTGGGATTTAAAAAAATGGCCCAATGAGGAAGCTATAGGCACAGATATGAGCAGCCTCTCCCAGAGGAGGGAACGGCATTGGAGAAAGGATAGTTGGGAAGTGAAAGGTGCAGTTTGGAGACACAGTCGGCAAGACCTGAGACCACCCCCACCCAAGGTTTCTCAGACTTGGGCCACCCAGAGGGATGCCAGAATCCCCCAACACAGAGATGTGGGAGCCCCAGGGTCAGAGGTTTCTCTCAGTGACCCAGCAGCGTAAGAGCAGACTCCAAAAGTGCATGAGGGTAGGTTAGTGCCAATACCCAGCAGACCGCAGGAGAACCCAGCGGTGCAGGTACAAATTCCAGGGCAAACCAAAGCCACATAACCCCGAGCCGGCGCTTGCCCATTGGAGATGAGGAGTGGTGCACCCCAGAGTGCGGAGATCCCAGCCACTGATTGCACACTGTGTAGCAAAGGCTGGGTCATTTCCACTCTCGGCAACTGCACAGCGGGCAGAGGCTGTGAAGGTGCCGGGCAGCAGGGGCTTGCACACAGAACTGGAATTTGCAGGCTTTCCGTCGCAAAGCTCCACACCCTGCCTGAAACTGGGAAACGCAAATGATGAGGAGAGTGAAAGCACTGGTCGCCCACAAGGTGGCAGCAGCTGACAAACATCCTAGTTACCTGGCTGGCTGAGAGGCCTCACAACCCACAGAGCAGCTGACAGATTCAGTGCTCCCAGAAGCCCCCAAAGCACACCAGAGCTAAAATCGCAAAACGACAAGAAAGCACAAAACAATGGGAAGAAGTACCAGAAAAACTATTCAGATGAAAGAGCCAGTACTCCCCCCAAAAATGACCAAAAAATAACCTGTCTCAGAGTTGCAAGAAAAAGACATTGAGGAACTACCGGAAAAGGAATATTAAAAAATGAACATGAAACTCTTCATAGACAATGAGAAGTATGGGGAAGAGCTCAAAGAGTTCTCACAGAAATTAAACGGGTCCAAAATGAAATTTCAGAACTGAAAAATATGGCAGCAAGCTTGACAACAGATTCAGTGCTGCAGAGGAAAGAATTTCAGAATAGAAGGTAACCAAAATGAGAATACACAACAGAGAAGAAAATGAAACACCTGGGAATAAAGTTAACAAAGGATGTGGAAGATCTCCATGAGGAAAACTACAAAACATTAAGAGAAGAAATAGAAGACTTCAAAAAAGTGGAGATAAATACCATGTTCCTGGATGGGCAAAGTCAACATCATCAAAATGTTCACATTCCCAAAAGCAAAATATGCATTCAATGTGATTCCAATCAAAATACCAAAAACATTCTTCACAGAGCTGGAAAAGATGATACAAAGGTTCATTTGGAAACACAAAAAAAAACACGAATAGCCAGAACCATCCTGAAGAATAAGAGCCTAGCGGGAGGGATCACAATCCCAGATCTTTGGACATATTATAGGGTGGTAGTTATCACAACAGCCTGGTACTGGTACAGAAACAGAGTGGTAGTTCAATGGAGCAGAATAGAAAATCCAGAAGGGAAGCCACACATGCACAACTATCTAATCTTCAGCAAGAAAACAGAAAACAATCTGGGAAAAAGGAAGGTCTCTTCAATAGATGCTGTTGGGATAACTGGTAATAGTCTGCAAGACCCACACCTTTCACCACACACAAAGATCAAACCTAAATGGATAAAATCTAAATCTACACCCAGAAACCATCAAACGTTTGGAAGAAAAAGTTGGAAATACTCTACAAGATATAGGTGTATGTACTGACTTCCTGGAAAAATCATCAAAAGCAAAGGAAGCCAAGACCAAAATAAACGAATGGGACTTTCATTAAGCTAAGAAGCTTCTGCACAGCAAAGGAAACAGTCAGCAAAGTAAAAAGGCAATCAACAGAATGGGAGAAGATCTCTGCACACTACATGGGAGACAAAGGGAGAACTCCAGAACAATAATACAAACCAACCAGTCAAGAAATGGGCAGGGGTAAATGGGCAGACCTTTACAAAGGAACAAATTCAAATGGCTTACAGACACATGAAGAAATGCTCAAGCTCTCTGGCAATAGGGGAAATTCCAATTAAAAACAACACTGAGGTTCCACTTAACACCAGAAAGAATTGCCCACATGCAGAAAACTACCAACACCACCTGCTGGCAAGGTTGCGGAGAAAAAGGAACCCTACTTCCACTGCTGGTGGGAATGCAGGCTGGTGCAGCCACTGTGGAGGTCAGTATGGAGAACACTTAGGCAATTAAAAATCCACCTACCATATGACCCAGCAATACCACTACTACTAGGAATATATCCAAAAGACTTGTTACATGAGAAAGCAACACACACGCCAATGTTCACTGCAGCACAATCTACTATTGCAAGAACATGGAAACAACCTAAATGCCCACCAACAGTGGACTGGATAAAAAAACTGTGGTTCATCTACACTATGCAATACTACTTGGGTGTTAAAAAATGAAATACAATATTTTGTGGACAAATGGGCCAAACTAGAGACCATTATGCTAAGGGAAATGAGTCAATCCCAAAAGGTCAGGTATCATATATTTGCTCTAATATAGTATGATGTCAAATCTAGGGATATTATATGTGAATCTTACTCTATGTCACTTCATACTTACCTGTACTTTGAGTAATAAGATCTTCACTCACTCTTAGACAAAAGGTGGAGAAGCGATTGTGTAATAAGATCTTGTGATGTAATCCATTAATCAAACATCCATAAGAGACTGATTATTTATAATTAAAAAAATACAGTGGTAAAAATATTTACTTGACAAGTAGAGTGTTAGAGACAGACACACACATACCACAAGAGAGAGAGGAAGAGAGTTAATCTTCCATCCTCCGATGGGGCTGGGCCAGGCTGAAGCCAGGAGCCAGGAGCTCCATCTGAGTCTCCTACCCCCGGCACTTTGGTCTTCTTCTGTTGCCTTCCCAATCACATTAGTAGAAAACTGGGTTAGAAGCAGAGAAGCCAGGATTTAAACCAGCACTCCTAATCTGCTGTGCCACAACCCTGGGCCCCATGTAGGTATGAATTTTCTCACAACAAAATCTTGCAGTGAAAGATAGCCAAGCTGATTGTCTTATGAGTTAAGGCTTCCTGCAGACAGTTTCAGGGAGAGAACAGCCGTCTCTAACTGCTGTGCCACACTGCCCACTCACTATAAAATAAATTGAAATGGAAACACACAGATTGCAACCAGAAGAGGAGCAATCACAACTCCCATAACCTGCTGGTGACAATGCAAATAGCACTGTCACTTTAGGAAACAGTTGAATGGTTTCTTAAGGAGGAAAAAATGCAGTTAGTAGTTGCTGCAGCGACCCTAGCCTTGTGTTTATCACCTAGGAAGGGAAAACATGTTTACACAAAGGTCTGCCTAGGAGTGCTTTTAGCAGCTTTATTCATTATTGCAAAAATTGAGAAAGTCCAGATATGCAAACTGATGAGTGACTGAAACAAACTGGCCTATTCACACAACTGGGATATTGCTCAGCAACAGCACTGCTGCTGGAGCCAATGGCAGGGCAATAGCGTAATCTCACAAAGATTGTGCTCAGTTAAACAAGCCCAACACTAAAGCCTACTACATACACTGCATGACTTAAAAGACACTGACGAGGGCCTATCACAATAGCTCAATTGCCTAATTCGCCTCCTCCAAGCACCAGTTGCTCTATGGGTGCCATTTCATGTCCTGGCTGCTCCACTTCCCATCCATCTCCCTGTTTACAGCCTGGGAAGATAGCAGAGGATGGCACAAAGTCTTGGGATCCTGCACCCACATGGGAGACTCAGAAGAAGCTCCTGGCTCTTGTCTTCAGATTGGCTCAGTTCTGATCACTGCAGCCACTTCAGGAGTGAACCATTAAATAGATTTTTGTCTCTCCCTCTCTGTATATCTGCTATTAAATAAAAATAAATCTTTCTAACATTAAAAAAAAAAACAGCAATGTTGAAAAGGCAAAAGCAACAGGTGTCTGGGTTGGAAAGGGTTGACTGCAAAGGGTCCAGAGGGCCCATTTTGGCATGTCAGAAGCAATCTAGGAATTTAGTGGTGGTTTTATAACGATACAAGGATGAAATTTATCACACTGCATACTTAAGTTTTATTATGAGCAAATTATTCCTGAATAACTCTGATGTAAGAAAGCAATGAAATCTTCAAAATGACAAAAACATAAGCCTAAGAGAACAACTTACAGTTTTTCCAGTTCGAGAGACTTCATGAGGATGTTCTCAACTGTGCTGATTGACACCAGTGTTCTTCCGAGGTCTCTGAGGGAGAAAGCCCAAACAGTCATGATGTGACCCCCCAAGAAAAAGTTCTGTCCTTAAAAAGATGATTTCAAGGAACAAAATCTAATAAAATTGAAATGAAACAAAAAACTAGGATATTTTAAAAAGTAAAAAGAGTTAAGAGCATGCAGTTGCATTAACTTCTGGCTACTCTATAAAACAAGACAGCTTAAGAGTCTGTCAGGGCAGATCCTTCCAGGAAGTTCTCATGGAAGAAATTTAAGTTACTCTGCACTGTCAAGTCAGTGACCTTGGCACTGAGGGACAGAACCTGTACCGTTTGGTTTGTTGCCATTATCTTCCTCTTCATTTGCCTATTTCACTCCTTGGTTACTTGATATCTTTTCATCTGCTTTGTATATCTACATGTATCTGAATATGCTCAACAACACTGTCTGCTGGGGCTGTTTTACACATTGTACATCTTTTCTTAATCCAGGAGCCCAGTTCAACTTAAATTGCAACTTTTTAGCCTCAATGCAAAATACTTAAATTTTGATCAAAGTAAAAACAAGGAGTATAAATCACCCCATGATTCATGCGGTTTATTTTTCATACTTACAGATATTTTAATGCTGGCAAATTAAAAAGATAGGGATCTTCGACAGTTGTCAATGGATTCTGATCAAGATTTCTGAAAAATGCAATGGGATAAAAATTATACACCTCTTCTCTATGTATAAACATGTGCAAAAGTTTATATACATATACATATATATGACAGAGAATTTATAAATTAACAAAAATAATTTAATGGGCCTTCCCAGTAGCCTGGTAACTGAAGTCCTTGGCTTGACCATGCTGGGATCCCATACGGACACTGGTTCTAATCCTGGCAGCCCTGCTTCCCATCCGGCTCCATGCTCGTGGCCTGAGAGGGCAGTGAAGGATGGCCCAAGGCTTGGGACCCTGCACCACATGAATGGAGGGAGGGAGGAGGCCATACAGCCAGGATCTGCAACAAGTATTGGTCCACTCACTCCCAGCACATCTTAAACCCCTCCCTCGAATGCAAATGGAACTGTGAAATCATGAACCACAGGACAGGTGGCTATCTTGTCCAAGGTCAGGCTTGGAAGAAAATCTCTATCTCAAATCTCAATTCCCCTGGCCGTGGACCATCACAGAATTGTTAAGCAGGGAGGGAATAAAACTGCAACATTTCATTCAAGTGTGCCCTGGATGTACACAAAATCAGGCTAGAGCAATGCTTTCCTATTACTTTTCACATCATAGCTTAAAATAAACACCACCTTTGCTACTTCAAAAGTTCCCTTGCCCACAGATGGTTTATAACTTCACTTGTCAAAACACACCATGAGCTGGGTGACTGTGTTGAATTTTCAGTTGTTCTTTCTGCTTTATCATTTAGAAGAAAGTGACCCTGAGAAAGCACCAGCACCTCGGCTCCCCAGACTGAGCAGCAATCCCAGTTAAATTCGGGGTGGAATCTCAAGGAGCACTGGGAATCCGAGCAGCACTGTGGGGACTCTGGCAGCAGTGCTAACTGGAGTAGTACTTGCTTGCTATGCTCTCTTGCCCAAGGCCAAGATCAGCACTAGGAAAAGCAGAGCATGTCAGCTGTCACACAAAGTCCTGAGCCTCAATGCACCTTGGTGTCCTCATTGGAAAAAAAAAAAAAAAAGAGTGGAACTTAAGCCATACTTTGCAGAATTTGTTCATGACTTACACTCAGCTAAAGATAACTATATAGATTTTACATATACACAGCTCTTTAATATGTGTTTATCTTGTATTTCACTTACATCACATGCAAAAAATGCATTCCATGCCATGCCTGAAATGTGCCAAAACTCACTTCTGTGAGTAAATTGCAACCAAGATTTCTGTGAAAAGACACAAATTAAGAAGAAAGTTACTCTTTTAGAACATTCATCTTTCAGCAGTGATCCTAATTTGTACAGGTGAAACATCGCCTCCACACACTCAAGACTTCCCAGTTGGAAGACTCTGGCTTCTGACTTAACACTTTCACATTTACACAGGCGGTGCATTAGGTACACCAAACCACATGCGACAAATATTTGTGCTCAGTGATTTTCATTTCCTCTCTCTGGAACAAGGTTTCACAACTTGAGCACTTTAGAGTTTTGAGCTGGGTAATTCTTCTTTGTGGAGGTCTGTCCTGTACATGGCAGTTGTTCTAGAACAATTCATGGCAGGTGATTTCGCAGCACCCTGACATTGGCCCAAAATATCTCTGGAGATTAGAAAGATTTGCTACATAATTCTAGCTAACTTTCTACAAGTAAGAATTATAATGATATTGCGAAATCTGATTGACTACCAAGGGGGGTTACAATTAAGACTTACTGTAATTCCAAAGATGACATTATAACTTACATAGATGTCAAAAAGGGGAGTGACTCAAACGTCCTCCGTTCAATAAATTTTAATTTGTTACAGGATAAGTCCCTGGGAAAAGAAAAAAGAAAATGTCTATTAGATCTCTAGTGAGTAGGAATGAACAGAATTTGTATTTCTTAATGTTGAATATGCAGTTTTTGTCTAAACTACACCTTTGGGCATCTGTCTGAACATTCCAGAGCTCCTAATCAAACTTATAACCTCTCCTAACAGTCTCACCTTCTGGGTCTTTATAAATAAAATATACAGCATGGCTATAGCTCTTGATAAGACTCTGAAGGGAAAATTTCCTGGCAGCAAGAGATATGATCAGATGACCTTTAGTAGTCTCATCAAATTCAAGATAATGAGATCAAAGTTTGTACCTCTATCTGTAATTTCTAATATTCAGACGAATATTCTACTTTTATACCTGCCTGGTGTGGTTCTCTTTTTGGAACTAGTTCAGTTCCAGAATAAACCAGAGAACCTTTCAAATCATTTGAAGGGAAGCTACTCCTCAGATGAACTCATCATTTTGAATTAATTCAGAATTATATTATCCTTAGTAGGAATTCTTTTCTGATTTCACGTCATCTTGACATTGCGTAAAAGCAGATTTGTTTCAGCTGCGCAGTGGCAGCAGAACAGAAAACAGCATGAACTGGATTCTTGTTGGAAAACACTCACTTGTGACCATAGTAACATGGATCCCAGCTTGCCTCACTTTTCACCCGCATGGCTGCCAACTGCCCGCTGTGGCTGTCTCCATCTCTAGTCTCTCTTCTGGAACTCTCCAGAAGTGGTTCTCAAACACTGGCTTCACTTAGGCACCGAAGATGCAAATTCTCGGCCCGGATCTAGAACTCAATCAGGAACTCGGCAGGGCTGGGGTGGTAGAGACAGAACCTAGTTCTGCAAGCCCCTGGATGACGTTGATGCAGGCTCGGTTTTGCTTCAGACCGCTGCCAGGAACACGTGGCTCTCCTGGCTGGTGACTTTTGCATGACAGTCAAAGCCCTGGAGGCTGTGGCCCCACACTCCTTACGGCTTTCCTCCGTGGACTCCACAGGTACTCATGGCGTTCCTCAGACACTCTCCCGTGTTTTGCCCTTCTCTCACTTTCCTTCTGCGGTCTGAGGGTATCGCCCCACACTGTCCTCCCAATGATGCCCAGTGGCTCTACACAGTGTCCTTCCAATGATGCCCTGTTTAACCAATATCACTCTCGCTACAGCCCCCTGATCCAACTTGGAGTCTCTTTTCCCTGTTCGGTTCTCCAGAAGCAATTTGCACATCATGTCTGTGCCCTTTTCTTTTTCACATTGTTACCCTTGCCTCTCCCCTTCCTTCAAAGCATAAACACCTTGAAAGCATGGACTTGGCTTTGCTGATGCGCACTGCTTATCATGTTTCCACCTGGCTCATGGAAACAAAGCAAACTCAGATACTTAGGAAATAAAGGAATAGCTAAGGAGTGAGTGAACGGAAGGAGGAACAAGTTACTAGTTTTTTTTTCTTTTAATTTTTTTTTCTAAATCACTAGTGTTTAAGGAATGTGGTTGCATTACTCCACTGACCCTCTGCAGTGTGTTGTCATCGACCTGTTTGTTGGATCATGTTTGATTTCTGTGCGTGTTTCCCCTGCAAGCGATCTTGCAGCTCCTAGGAGGGTAGGAAGCCTGCCTTACACATTTTAGAGCCTCAAACTAGACTAAGTGCTTAGCATTCTCTTTCAGTTATGAAAAATGATGGCATTTTAAAAAGGGATGACAATATAGATGCTGACAGAGAATAACTAGCTTGCAAAGGACTTCCCACTAAAAGCAAGGAAGGGCCTGTTGTACTGGACAGTTATTATCTCTTCTGTTTTTCTCCAGATCAGGTCTATAAGGTTTGGGAGTCCAGAAGAAAAAGATGGAAGCAATTGTCCCCTTCAGGCCTAGAGAGCTTGGTCATTCAAAGGATTATTGTTAGTGTCAGATAAGGCTGTTTCTACCCACTGTCCTTCAGCTGTATAAATTGGAAAGAAGAATCTATTTCCTAAGAGTAGCAATAATCGGCCTAATAAAGATGCATGGCATTTGGAGCCCATTGTGGTATAGTAGGTAAAACAGCCCTGCCATGCCAACATCCCATATGGGCCCTGGTTTGAGTTCACTGCTCCACTTTCCATCTACATTCCTGCTCTATGCCTGGAAAGGCAGTGGAAGATGGCCAAATCCTTGGCATTCCTCCCCCTGACCAACCCCTCCAAATACCCAGCTATTACGCTTGAAGAATTCAAAATGAATAGTATGGATTCAATGCATGAGACCCTATACATACTTACAGAATTGTTATTTTAATACTAGAAGAAACTTTAGAGATTATTGAAACACCTTATTCATTTGATAGAAAACAACTAAAATCTCAGAAATAAATGTGCTTAACTAACTTACAAGTGCTGCAGGAATAGCAAGCCTTCAAATGAATCCTTATGTAATTCAGTCACATAATTTCCACTGAGAATCCTGGATCAAAATGAAGAATAACAACAATTTTTATTCAGGAATAACTCTGATGTGGAGGAACCCTCAGTAGGGTGCCACTTAAATGCAAGTTAGAACTTTCTCCCTTTCTCTGTAACTCTAATGAGTTTCAAGTAAAACAATTACATCTTAAAAAAAAAAAAGCCCACATATCACACTAGTTTTCCTGTGTCTAAATGATGTGCAGAAAAACATAAGAGAAGGTCTGGAGCGATGTATATCACAGTCACAGCAGCTTACTTCAGGGATGGAATGTTACACTACAAGAAGATTTTTACTGTATCAGTTTTTAGTCTCTTAAGAACGTAATCATGGAGCCCAGCATGAAAGCTCAATGGCTAAATCCTCATCTTGCAAGAGCTGGGATCCAATGTGGGCACCAGTGCACGTCCCGGCTGCTCCACTTTCCATCCAACTCCCTACCTTAGGGCCTGGAAGAGCAGTAGAAGATGGCCTAAAGCCTTAGGACCCTGAACCCATAAGAGAGAGCCAGCAGAGGCTCTTGGCTCCTGGCTTCACCTCGGCTCAGTTCTGCCTGTGGAGGCCACTTGGAAAGTGAGCCAACAGATACAGAATCTTTCTGTCTCTCCTCTTTGTAAGAATAATTTGTCCAACAAAAGCAAAGAAATCTTAAATAAAAAATAATATAATCATGTATTACTTACAAGATGAAAAATAAACTTCAGTGGTCTCATTGCAAATACTGTGTTTTAGAACTGTAATAAGTAGAGGTTGATTTGTTAACATGAAGGGGTAAATACCTTTTCCAAGACATTCTGACCTCTAATACTGGACCAAAGAGTTTAAGATGCAGTTACTTTTTTTTTGTATCCATATTTAGAGAGAATATACTCACAAAGTCTCAGCCCAGCGATATGCTTTCCACACATTTTGGTCAATGTAGGATATAGCGTTTCCTTGGAAATTTCTGTAAAGAAGCACAGTTCATATCCTTGAATAGATAGGAACACAATGAACAGAACAAGGAAAACACTCGTAGCAACTTCATGGGGATATTGAATATGGATATTACTACCAGCTTTCTAGTTTCTAGAGCTTCACCTGATGGCAGGCACAATTAAGAAAGAAGAACATGGGGTCCTGGCACAAACGTTGAGGTGTCCCTTCAGATGCTTAACTTCCTCTTTGTGCAATCTCTTTGATAGATAATGCCAATCAGTTGCATTTGAGGGACATACTGCCTCCAAAATTCCCTGGGTGTCTAAACTGGTCCTTTTGCAAATCAGTAAGAAAATAATTCAGCTGAGAACAATGGATCAATTTATCTTCAGCAGCAAATAAGAATAAAGAAACTCCAACGTACAGTAATTCTAACACTTTGGCCAAGTACCTTCTACTGCAATTATTCTACCTACGTGAATGGACATGGACAATGCAAAATCAGATGGACTAATGTGTTGACATGAATGGGTCACTGGCCATAGCCATGGTGAGGGATGGAAAAATCAAATGACTGAGCCAGGAGCAAAACATCACCTCCCTCAGGGAAAAGTGCAAGGGAGAGAAACTGGGAGGAGGGACACATATCCTCATGGAGATGGGAGTGTCTTATGGATAGTGGAGTAGAGAGGATAGGATGATAAAGGGTGTGGGGGTGTAGATTCTGATATTTTTTTCTCTTTGTTCCATGATCCTTTGGCAAAGTAAGAATGTACCCATGAATCATCCACATTCCAAAGCAATCTTAAATACTGTAAGTTTCAAGTCTGGGTAACTTTGAGTCTTTACCTGTGCTTCTGTCTTCACTCCATCATCAACAGTGCTCCTGCATGGCTTATGTACAACACGGTTGTACCTGCGTGTTCTGCCTGGTGGACATTCCCATTCAACCAGAAGGCTTTGTGTGCATTATGTTCACCAACATAAAGTATTAAAACTGAACACACCTCCCTCAGATTGTCTCTCCTTTCTGATTGCTGTCTGCATCTGTGAGGCCACTCACTCTCACCAGCACCCAGGACAAAGCTTGCAGTCATATTTTTTCTTCTGTGCATACATCCACCCACCAGCCTTTGATCAGTTTCTAGGTCCATCCGGCCTTTTTCATCTCAGGGACTTTCTTTTCATTCCTATCATAGCTGGTGACTTGGTCTCATTCTCATTTTATTCCTTGATTTTACTAGAGGTCTTTTTTTTTAATGTCCCTGAAGTAAGCTTTCCTCTCTAGATGACTCTCCATATAGTGTCTAAAATCATATTTCTGAAACAGGCTTTTGGCCTAGTAACTAAAACACATCTCACGTCAGAGTGCCTGGGCTCCTACCCGGCTCCAGTTACTGACTTCAGCTTTCTGCCCACACACACCCAGAAGGTAGTGGAGCTGGCTCCAATAGCTGCCCTCCTGCCACCCTCATGGCAGACCTGGGTTGGGTTCTTAGCCCACTTTGACCAACCCAGTGCCTGTTGTTCAGGCATTTAGAGAATGAACTAGCAAATGGAAACTCTCTGAATCTGTCTCTCTGCCTTTTGAATAAATGCATAGAAAAAAATTAAGACAATGATCAATTTCTTTTAAAATTTTTAAAAATAATCTTTCTGTTGGGCCCGGCGCCGTGGTGCAGTGGTTAAGGTCCTCACCTAGCATGCCCGGGATCCCATATGGGCGCCGGTTCTAATCCCGGCAGCCCCGCTTCCCTTCCAGCTCCCTGCTTGTGGCCCGGGAAAGCAGTCGAGGACGGCCCAAAGCTTTGGGACCCTGCACCCGTGTGGGAGACCCAGAAGAGGCTCCTGGCTTCGGATCGGCATAGCACTGGCCGTTGCGCTCACTTGGGGAGTGAGTCATCGGCCGGAAGATCTTCCTCTCTGTCTCTCCTCTCTGTATATCCACCTTTCCAATAAAAAATAATAATAATAAATCTTTAAAAAAATAATCTTTCTGTTTTGATCACCTCTCTCTTGCTTGAAAACTTTCAGGGTTTTCTGCAGCTCATAGTATAACTCTGAAACCCCTGTAGCTGATATTCAAGGTTGTTCATTTAATATCTTTCATTGCTTTGTAAGTCAGTTCTTGGCAGACAAGCTGTCTACTAAGCCTTGCTGATTCCAACAGTCAAGGGTAACAGGTCAGGCTGTCAGGATGCTGGCATCCCATACATATGGGTACCGGTTTGATGACCAGCTTCTCCACTTCCTATCCAGCTCCCCACTAATGTGCCTGGGAATACAGTGGAAAATGGCTCAAGTGCTTGGGCCCCTGAACCCACACAGGAGACCCAGAAGAAGCTCTTGCTCCTTACCTTTGGCCTGGCCCAGCCCCAGCCATTGTGGCAATATGAGGAGTAAAGCAGCAGAAGTAAGATCACTTTTTCTAGATCTCTCTTCTTGCTGTAATTCTGCCTTTCCAGTAAATCTAATTTTTTTTTTTAAGAGAAGGAGAAGGAAAGGTGACAAGAAAAATGTCACGATAGGAAGTCAGGAAATACAGGTTGAGTCAGGAGGAAGGCCCAGCAAGGTATTGAGCAAAAGGCTACTGTGACAGACAAGATCTAGAGAACTCTGAGGAAGGGTAGTTCTTACAAGATGGTGAAGGTGTCATTGTGGGCACTGAAGGATCCTGGCACAGGCACTTGGTGGAGCTTCTGCCACGGGCTGAGATTGGTACATGACAGCATTCCATTTTTGCAGGTACAGAGCTCGCAGATGTCCGTGCTGTTGGGGGTGCTTTCTTTTGACTCAATGAAAGTAGTTAGCTGGGTAGCATACTCAGCAGCCTTGACTTCAGGATACAAAGTTGGAAACTGCCCTGCAGGTGGAGCTGTAGTCTTCAGGATTTTAGAAGGGCCAACCTCTGGAGCAGGGACTGGAGCTTTGATAGGCTCCAACTCTGAAAGCAGACCAGTGACTCGGGAATCTGAAGGCTGACCCGTGACTCGGGAATCTGAAGGCTGACCCGTGACTCGGGAATCTGAAGGCTGGCCCGTGACTCGGGAATCTGAAGGCTGACCCGTGACTCGGGAATCTGAAGGCTGACCCGTGACTCGGGAATCTGAAGGTTGACCCGTGACTCGGGAATCTGAAGGCTGGCCCGTGACTCGGGAATCTGAAGGCTGACCCGTGACTCGGGAATCTGAAGGTTGACCCGTGACTCGGGTTGATGTTGCTACAGTTACTATATCACTAGTTGGCTCTGGTGGCCGAGTTAGAGTAACCGAAATAGTTGTAGGCTTGACCTCTGTAGATAAATTGAGAGGATTGCCTGTGACTTGCTGAGTCTGGCTCTGGTCTGTATATGTAGGTGGCACCTCAGAATGCCTTGGAGGTGCTGCTGATGTAGTCTCCAGGGCTGTAGACTGTTCAGCCAACGTGGTGGGTTCTGGGATTTTGAAAATTTCTGTCTTCACAGCTTCAACTGTGACACTGACTGGCACTATATGCTGAATTGGAGCTACAACCTCCAATGGAGGCTCTGGAGGCTGAGCTGAGGTCTTCTGCAGGGCTGGAGATGATTCAACTTCCGCAATTCTGGATTGAAAAGCCAGCTGAATATCAAACGCCTGAACTGTGACTTCAGTCAGGTTTGGATGCTGCGCCTGAACCAGCTCTGCCTGTGGAAGTGTCACCTCAGGGACACCTGGAGGTGGTGTTTTGGCACTCCTCGGGGCTGTAGAATGTTCGACCTCCACAGCAGGACTCGGGTTTAGATGCTGAGTCAGAATTGCATCTGGACTCGTTCCTGTAGGTTCTTTCAGGGCGGTTTCGTGCTCAGCCTCTGCAGTGGGTTCTGGACCATTGGTAGGTGTAGGTGGTAGGTTCAAGGTCTGATCTGTGACACTGGGTGTCACTGGAGGTTGAGGTGGAGCTGGCGTTGGAACGGCCACCTCTTGCAACACTGGAGGTTGAGCTGCCACCTCTGTAGATGGCTCTGTAAGCTGCACAGGGGTCTCCTGAGTGGTTGGAGCCTGGTCAACCTCTATATTGAGTTCTGGAGTTGGGGTATTTCCCAGGTCCCAGTGTGCAACTGTGACCTTGGGCAGGGCTGCATGGTGAGTCTGGACCTGGTCTGGATGTGAAATCTCAGAGTCCAGAGTTGTTGTGGTCTTCAGGGCTGTAGAATGTTCAGCCTCCACACTGGGTCCTGGAGTTATAGTCAGCTGCAGCTTCAAAGGCTGAAAGGTGACCCTGGGTAATATTAAATACGGAGCCTGCTCCTGAGCTGGTTTGGGGACTATTGCCTCCTCATCTACAGATTCTTGAAGTGGCTCTGGAGGTTGGGTTAGGGGCTCCGAAGAAATGACACCCTCTGTAGTAGGAGATGGAGTCAGGTAATATACTTGGGGTTGGGTTTTGGAACCCACAGTCATTTCCGGATGTTGAGCGGACACTTTCAGCCGTGGTGGAGATGGAAGGGTGATCGGAAGGGCCTCCAGGGGTTCAGCTGGAGATTCCCATTCTGTAGGGATAGGCTCTATCTCCTTAGGGGAAGCTGCAGTCTCATCCATGGCCTTTGGCTCAGCTAAAGAAGGTAAGGCTGGGTAAGGCTCAACCTCTGAAGGTGAAGTGAAGGTGACCTCAGGATCTCCTGACTCAACAATACTTGTGGAAACTGTTGAGTGGTCACCTCCTTTCAGGAGTGTCAGGTCCAGCTCAGTGTTCCCCGAGGCCTGAGCTGCAACTTCCTGTTGGCTTGAAGTTATAGCCTCAGTCATGATCTCTACAGGGTTAACCGACACACTCGGCAATGTTGGAGACTGACCTTCAGGAGGAACTGCCGCCTCATGAGACTCTGCAGGTGGAGATTTCACTTCTTCGGTCTCTGACACTGGAGCTGGAGCTTCCTGCTGGGCTGGAGACAGTCTGATTTCCTCAGATGAGGGTTCCTCTTCCTGAGGTATTTCTGGCGAAGATATAGACTCAACCTCTTCAACAGCTTTCTGTTCCTGCTGGCCTGGAGAAGGTTCTGCCTCCAACGAAGGCTCAGCATCCTGAGTTGGCTGTTCCAGCTGGGTGGGAGGAGATGTGACCTCCACAGAAGGACGTGCACTCTGAGCTGGGGTCACCTGGTGGCCTGGAAGAGATTCTGTTCCCACAGATGGGCCTGGAGCAGGAGGAATTGGGGCCACCTGCTGGCCTAGAGGTTCCACCTCCACTGAAGGCTCAGCATACTGAGCAGACTCCTCTTGATTACTCGGGAAAGGCTCTAGGTCTACAGAAGGGCCTGGAGTCTGAGCTGGAGCCTCTTGTGGGATTGAGGGAGGGGATTCCCCTTGCGAGATCCCCGCAGGCTGAACTGGGGCCTGCAGCTGGCCCAGAGTACTTTGAACTTCACCACCTGGCTGTAGTGTAATTGTGAGCATCACATCCGCTGGCCTCCCTGTGATGCTTGGCAAAGTAGATTGCAGCGGTGGACGTGGAACACTGATCTCATTTTGAACAAGCTGCCGGACAGCTTCTTCAGCAGCAGAGATCTGAACTGGAGATCCCTGCAGCATTGGAGAAGGTGTAGTCTCCTTGAGAGGCTGTGGAACCTGGGCTAAGCCTTCTTTTTGGAGCAATGAAAGCTGGCCCTCCTCAAGAGTCTCGGGGCTTTGAGGTATGTCCTCCGGCTGAAGTTCAGATGGTTCTGCCCCATCAAAGGTCTCCAGGAGCTCACCTGGGTGTTCCTCTAATTCCATCGGGAAGCCACCAGGATAGACGACATTGTCATCTAGAACATTTGTAGACCCCAGGTCATCAAAGCCACTGGGGTCTATTTCAGTTGTCAGTGCACTGAACTCATCTAGTCCACCCATAGATTGGGTAGACCAGGCCTCGGGAGTCAGCTGGACCAAGTTCTGGTCCCACACCTGAGGAGGTGGTGCCTGTACTAACTGCAGCAGCAGTATAAGCCAAAGGCTCATTTTGGTAGCGGGCAGGGAGGGGTCAGGGTAGATCAAACTACCAAGGGAAAAGCAATCCACCTTATTCAAAGGTGTGAAGCATATGTGAGTCCCTTGGCACCTGTTCCTTAGTAACCTTGCCTTCTGCCCCGCCCTTTATTGATGACATCTTCATTACACAGCCTTTGTTGGTCTCTGCTGCTCTGAACTTGGGCAGCTTTTTCTCACAGTCACTGCTGCCCTTCTCCTGCAGGAAAGACAGCTGTTCCCACCAGATCCCCTCTATCTGCAAGGCAGGCTGAGGATCACAACCCCAGGTGGCCCCAGGACACTAGCAGACCATTGTAGTGGGGGGAAGGGAGGCAAAGCTTCCCAAGGAAGTCACAAGGCCTGGCTTCTTGGAGTATTCAGAATGGCTAGTCGGAATCTGGTAGCCAGAACTCTGCCTCCTCTTGAGTTGAAATCCAAGAGATGCTCTTTCTCTCACCAGAGCCAGCTAGGAAAGGGGCAGAATGCTTCTTATGGCTACTTACTTAAAAGTGTGTCCACTTCCTCTAGAGCCTCAGTATCCTTTCTGTCCATGTTTGATCATTCACTCACTCTATTTGGTAGGAATTACCATGAAATCAGGGACGACTCCAAGATTTTTGTAGGAGGGATTTGGGATGAATAGGCAATGTAGAAGAGAGAGTTTAAATGATTCACCCTTTAAATTGGCTTAGGAGTATTTGCCCCATCCCACCCTGAAAAAGTACTACTTTTCAGAGGCCTAGCTCATGTGACACTCAGAGAAGACACCTGCAGTGTTAAATTGGCAAGTTTAAGAAGTTTCTTAAAATTCTGGTGGATGAGGACCCACTGACTTCTTCCAGACCCTTCCTATATGGCATACACTGTTTATTGTCTGGCACAGCCCCTAGCACAGAACCTCCAGGGTGAGGGCTTCATCTTCCTCCCAATGCCAAGCATGTGGTTTGGCACATACTGATTTCTAAATTCGTTTCTCTTTTGAAATTGAAAATACTACTTAGGGCCCGGCGCCGTGGTGCAGTGGTTAAGGTCCTCGCCTAGCATGTCCGGATCCCATATGGGCGCCGGTTCTAGTCCCGGCAGCCCCGCTTCCCTTCCAGCTCCCTGCCTGTGGCCCGGGAAAGCAGTCAAGGACAGCCCAAAGCTTTGGGAACCTGCACCCGCGTGGGAGACCCGGAAGAGGCTCCTGGCTTCGGATAGGCATAGCATCGGCCATTGCGCTCACTTGGGGAGTGAATCATCGGACGGAAGATCTTCCTCTCTGTCTCTCCTCTCTGTATATCCACCTTTCCAATAAACAAAATAATAAAAATAAATCTTTAAAAAAAAAAAAGAAACTACTACTTATTTGGGAGGAAGAGAGAGCTCCCACTCATTGGCTGTTTCCACATGCCCACTGTGGCTGACACAAGGCCCCCCGCTAAGCCGGGAGCCACAAACTCAACCCAGGTCTTCCGTGTAGGTGGTAGAAACCCAACTACCCAAGTTCTCACTTCCACCTCCAAGGGTCTACATTAGCAAGCAGCTAGATTCAGGAGCAGAGCTGGGCATTGAAACCAGGCACTTGAACATGGGAAGTGGGCATCTCAGCCAGCATTTTAACTGCTGGGGTAAATGCCTCACTCCATAGTTTTATTTGTTTCAATTTGTTTTTGTTTTTCTTTTGAGAGAGATAAACACAGAGGGAAACAGATCAAGACCTCCATCTAATTTTTTTGAGTTCCAATTCCCCCACATTGTTAGCAACAATCCCTCCCTTTTTTATTTTTAATTTTTTAATGCATTTCATTTTTTTATCAATTACATTGTATTATGTGACACAGTTTTATAGGTACTGGGACTCCCCCCACCCACCCCTAACCCTCCCGCCATGGTGGATTCCTCCTCCTTGTTGCATAACCACAGTTCAAGTTCAATTGAGATTCCCCCCCTTTTTCAAAATAATAATCTATAGGCCCCGGAGCAATTGTCTAGTAGCTAAAGTTCTTGCCTTGCATATAAAAGCATCTCATTTAGGCACTGCTTTGTATCCTGGCTGCTTCACTACCCATCCAGCTCCCTGCTAGTGGCCTGGGAAAGCAGTTGAGGACGGCCCAAAGCCCTGGGACCCTGGAAGAGGCTCATGGCTCCTGGCTTCAGATTGGCTTAGCTCCAGCCATTGAGGCCGCCTGGGGAGTGATCCAGTAGATGGAAGATCATTCTCTGTGTCTCTCCTTCTCTCTGTAGATCTGAATTTCCAATAAAAATCAATAAAATCTTAAAAACAAAATAAATAGCCTATAAGCATAAAAAAGTATATATGAAAAAATTTTAATATGATCCATAGAGGCTATGAAATGCTATGTCTTTCTGACTTTGTTTTACATTTTCTCAGTGAGAAATGCCATTTTAATGACATTGAACATCTTCTCATGTGCTTCTTTGGTCCTTTCTGTTCAAATCTTTTGCTCGGTTTTGAGATCATTCTGACCTGCTGAGTGTTGATATGACTAGTTTCAGAAATAAAAATTACTTCCTTGCTTGAAGACAAGGTCCTCCGAGCTTCCTCTCCTGTAACAATCCCAGCTTCCTGTTAATGAACACCCTGGGAGGCCGCAGGTGAGGATCCAGCACTTGGCTTCCTGCCGTCCCTGCAGGAAACCTCCACTGAGTTTTGGACCCCTAGTTTGACTTGGCCCAGACCTGGCTGTTGAGGCGTTTGGTGAATGAATGAACCAGTGAGTGGAAGGTGTTTCCCTCTTGCTCTGTGTATGACTATCTTATCTCTCAAACAAAATACAAGTAAATGAAAAATTTTTAATGTAAAATAAATGCTGAAATACTAGTGGGGGCACAAAAGAGTTAAACATGATAAGAAAAATGTATGTCCCTTTCAGTGCCAGTAAATATATATATATATATATATATATTTAATATGTAACTAGTTCTTTCAGTTCTTTGTAGCTTTTTTGTGGCCTGCCCCATTGTGAACATGTATGGGATTGATTACACAGTCTTACCCAGATAGTAAAACCTCAGGTCAAGTCAGAGAGATACTCAAGTACTTGTTTTATGTCTTCTCTAACTTCATCTGAATTTCATCTTTTAAAAGAGGGAACGTTGACCTTCTCCATTTATTAAATGTTTCTACAGGAGCAACAGTGAAAGACATTTTATATATGATTAATTACATTTCACAAATATTGATCCAATTCAGAAGCATGATATACAAACTTACTGTATCACCTGCTTTGATGGAATTAGGTTTAAGACCATCTGAGTCTAGGATCTTTAAAATGTTGATATTGAAGAAACTTCTGCAAAAAAACACAGAGCGATGGCAGGTAGTGGTACATCCACGTCCCCTGTCACAGTCCCTGGGATCCTGTCCCCTCACAATCCCTAGGATCCCATCCCAACAGGACATCCACGTCCCCTGTCACAGTCTATGGGATCCATCCCAACAGCACATCCACCTGAGACTGGTAACTTGCCATTTTGAAAATTGTTTCCACAGTATCAAGTAAAAATGGTATATACATATGATGGAAGGAAAAAAAGGAAAGGAGAAAGGAAATGTGTGCAGCAGGGAGAGAAGATGATGAACTCTTATCTAAAGTCCTGAAATCATCAAGATAATTAAGCAGACTAGGCATGACTCAGGATAAATCTTGACAGGAAAACATAACTTCATAATTTAATGATCTGGGCCCTGCGTGATAGCGTAATGGTTAAGGTCCTCACCTTGAACGCACCGGGATCCCATATGGGTGCTGATTCATATACCAGCTGTTATGCTTCCCATCCAGCTCCCTGCTTGTGGCCTGGAAAAGCACTGGAGGATGGCCTAAAGCCTTGGGACTCTGCACCTGCATGGGAGAAGTTCCTGGCTCCTGCCTTTCGATCAGCTCAGCTTTGGCTGTTATGGCCACCTGGGGAGTGAGTGCACAGATGGAAGATATTTCTATATTTCCTTTTCTTTAAATCTGCCTTTCCAATAAAAAGAATGCATCTTTAAAAAACAATGACAAGATGGGTGTGCATGGGATGGGAACAGCAGAGTGGATCAAGCAGGCTGTTACAGAAGGATCTTGCTGGGTTAAGGGGAACCTGGGGATGAGGAAGAGCATGAGCCAGCTCCAGAATGCCAGAGACAGCTCTCGCTGTCCACAAAGGCCTAGTCCACATAGCTAAGGAGCTGAATGCCCAGAAACCCAATGATCATTTACCGGGTTCCTTTTCTCCCCCATTAAAGTTTAAATCAATTCTTGCTTTACCCAGGCTGCCAACTCCTCAAAGTATTTTAGAAATGGAATGATTGTGTTAGGATTATTTTTCCTCCAAGATTGCTTTCTTCTTTTGTCAACAGTTTTTGGAAATACCTGTAAGGAGACGTATTACATGTGCAGGGTAACAACTAGTTGTAAAGAGAACACTGGTGTGGCCAGCATGGACACCAGTGCAAGCAGCAGCAGGAGCGGCCCTTCGCCACTGCTGAACACTGTAGCTTCTCCTCTGCTGGCACTTTGGGCATGGACTTCTCAGCCTCCAGAGCCATGAGAAATAAGAGTCAATAGCTCGGGCCCAGTGCGGTGGCGCAAGTGGTTAAGGTCCTCTCTTTGAAAGCCCGGGATCCCATATGGGTGCCGGTTCTAATTCCGGCGGCCTCACTTCCCATCCAGCTCCCTGCCTGTGGCCCGGGAAGGTGGTCAAGGACCGCCCAAAGCTTTGGGACCATGCCACCTGCCCAGGAGACCTGGAAGAGGCTCCTGGCTTCGGATCAGCATAGCATCAGCCGTTGCACTCACTTGGGGAGTGAATCATCGGATGGAAGATCCGCCTTTCCAATAAAAATAAATCTTAAAAAACAAAAAAGAGTCAATAGCTCATCAATTTTGCCTGTAGCATTTTGTTTCAGCAGCACAAATGGATTAAGCCAGGCTTAGCCTTTCAGGCACTTACTTGGGACCCTGCACCAGTGTGAGAGAAAAGGAGGAATCTCCTGGCTCCTGGGTTTGTATTGGCTCTGCTCTGGCTGCTGCGGCTCCTTGGAAAGTGGGTCAGTGGATGGAAGATCTTTCTATCTTCTCTCTGTATATATCTGCATTTCCAACAAAAATAAAGTAAATCTTTAAAAAAAAAAAAGGCTCTCAGGCATTTTTTTTTTGTTTCCATTTTTTTTTCTTTATTTATTTTATTTTGACAATCTTTACATAGCTAATTAGGGTTAAAAAGGTTCAAGGGCTACAGGAAAGTGGATAAGACTATTATTTTTTCCATATTGTTTCCTTCATGTTTAAAGGGGGTATTAAGGGAGAAGGCCCACCCAATATCCTACCCCTCCCAGGACCCGGATGTAGGGCATGCTCTGAGGTTCTTGCTCAGGTGATTTTGATATTGCAACAGTTATGATTCACTGCCAATCTTGCCACTCCAAGCACTAGGAGGTCCTTAAAGAATCCACTGATTGGCATAGTCCGTCATAGTGTCTCCATTTGCCCCATATTTCACTGCCAAGATATAGCTGAGATGGTTGGTTGACCTGTTCTGTCTTCTCTCTTTTCTTGGTTTGGTTCTGAGTCCAGCATTTTGATTGGGGAGATCTCCAAAGAAACTTTGTCTGAGATGTGTTCAAACCAGATTCTTGTATGTGCTACAAGTACAGGGCCCGGCACAGTCCATCGCACCGATCAGCTGGTAGGCTCTCAGGCATTTTAAAAAGTTTTCTATAAGGGACATGTTGCAGATCCTGTGCATGTAAGAAGTAAGCATGAGTTGCTGTTGAGCCTAGTGGTAACACATCTTACAGTATCGGGTTTTGATTCCTGACTTCAGCTTCAGGCCAGTGCAGTCCCTGGGGAGCAGATGTGATGGCTCAAGTAGTCAGATCCCTGCTCCTGTGCCCCCCCCTTCCCCAGCAGACCTGGGTGGAGTTCCTGATCCCTAGATCCACTCTCAGCCCAGTTCTGTCTCTCAAAGAATATCTTAAAACAGAGACACAATGGACTAGTGCTGAGCTTTTGAAGCTGGTAGCCATGAGCACTAGCACTGTGGCTAGTCAAAGCAGAGATGTGCCATAAGTATGCGGTCAGCACACACCAGGCTCCAGAGGCACAACATGAAAATATTTACAATGCTCCATTAGCATTTTTATTGATTATGTGTTGATCACATATTTTGGGTACTTTTTCATCAGAGGTTTATAAATTTTTTCAAAAACATAATTTATTTAAAAGGCAGACAGAAGGGTGGAGAAAACAGAGACATACATTTTGTTCACACCCCAAATCCCCACAACAGCTGAAGCCAGGAGCCAGGAACTCAACCCGTGTCTCCCAGAAGTGTGGCAGGATCCCAAGTGCTTGAGCCGTGACTTGTGCTTCTCAGGGTGTGAATGATCAGCAAGTTCTAACCAGGGGCGGAGTGGAGGCTTGAGCTGCACACTCCAATACGGAATGCAGGCATTCCAAAGACTATCTTGATTGCTACGACAAATGCCTGCTCCTATGTTTTATGATGTTCACTATTCAAGTCTTTTGGATTCTTTCTGCTATCATAAATGCAATTTCTTACTTTTTTGGCAGCTCATAAAGTATAGATAAGGGTGCTGCTGGTATTCATACATTAGCTTTGCATTCAGAAACTTAGCTGAATCTTATTGCTTCTAGCAGTTTGGGCAGGGAGTCTTCGGGATTTTCTACTTGTAAGCTCATGACATGGCACAGAGACAACTTCACTTCTTCCTTTTCTAGTAAGATGGCTTATTTTTCTTGCATAATGGCTCTGGCTAGGACTTCAAGTACAATGTTGAAAAGCTTTTGACCCTTCACTATTGCATGTGATTCTATCTGTGCCTTTATTGTGTTAATATGGATTCCTCCCATCCTAATTTACTGAGCATTCTCATTATGAAAGAATGCTTTTTATGTCCTTTTTGCATCTATTGAGATGAACATATCAGTTTCTTCCTTTATTTTTCCAAGCATTTCCAACCCGCCACTCCATTCTTACTCCTCACCTTTTAAAAAGAAAAAAAGAGGGTTTTATTTATTTACTTATTTGAAAGTCAGAACAACACTGCGAGGGGGAGTGGCAGAGCCAGACAGCTCCTCCATCCACTGCTGCGTGTCTAAAGGGGCCACAGTGGCCATAGCTAGGCCAAGCCAAAGTCACGAGCCAGGAGCTTTTCCCAGTTCTCCCACACGGATGCAAGGATCCAGACACTTGGGTCTCCCTCTACTGCTTTTCTAGGCATATTAGCAGAAAGCTGGATTGGATGTGGAACAGCCCTACAGCATGTGCAGTGCCAACCTACAGAGAAGGCTGGTACAGGCAGCACCTTGACCCCCTGTGCCACAATACCGATGCTTATTTATAAGGTGTCACCATCAAGTGAATAAATGTAATGATGGCTTCAGTCTGGACATTGATGAACAGATTATGGATGCTTAACAGATCCTGAATAATGAGTTCTGAGTAGTAAACGTGTTCATGAACTAGCTAGTTATGTATTTGTCAGTGACACCCACACCCGAGTCAGGATTAGGCTATTTTTTCTACTCAGGAAATCCCAGTATTAAGTAGCTGGATCCTGGATCCTCTGTCACATTCAAGAGTTTGAAATGGGGTCTAGGACTGATGGTATGGTGTTCCAGGGTGGTATCTTGGAGTTCTTGGTGTTCCAGGGTGGTACTTTGGAGTTCCATTCAGCAAGACATAGTTCTCCAAACAAGCAAGCACATGTCTCAGGCATTCTCATTTTGACAGCAAAACTGGGCCCAGTGCCATGGCCTAGCAGTTAAAGTTCTCATTTAAAACTCTGGGATCCCATATGGGCACCACTTCGTATCCCGGCAGCCCCGCTTCCCATCCAGCTCCCTGCTTGTGGCCTGAGAAAGCAGTTGAGGATGGCCCAAGACATTGGGACCTTGTACCCGTGTGGGAGACCCGGAGGAGCTCCTGGTTCCTAGCTTCGGATCACTGCAGCACTGGCCGTTGCCGTCTCTTAGGGAGTAAATCATAGGACAGGAGTTCTTCCTCTCTGTCTCTCCTCTGTATATCTGCCTTTTCAATAAAAATAAATCTTTTTTTTTAAAAAAGCAGAATTTCCAAAACCTTAAGGTCTTTATCTTCAGCAAAAGCACACAGGAAAGATCTATCTCAAACCTGCGGTTGCAACTTTCAGCTCACGGACTGAACCCCGAAACTTTCGATAGAACTGTATTATCAGAAACACTGTCAGCCTGAGCTGGAAAAGAATTCACAAAGAAACAAAACAGGCCTTTGGATCCTTTGGATGCCCCCAATTCTATAAATAGGAAGCAGATCGACACAACCATTTACTCGCAAACACAAAACCCCCTTCCTGAACAAAGTGTGATTTGGAAGACGAAACCAAGAAAACAGGTGTCAGAGCCAAAAGCCATAGAGAATCGTCCTCAGGCTTTCAATGTGAAGCTGCAAACCAGTGCCCAAGTGGATATCAGAATTGCCGAGGACCAGACTTGTATGTGCCTCTGGTTTCCTGTTCGTCGGGACAGGAGTAGGTGTGTCTGTCACAATTATTCTGTCTGCCCCAGCATCTTACATTGGTCTTTGTGGCAAAGGAATACGGAGCTTTTTCCTTGTGGTAACAGAACTTCGGATTGACAAGTATATCCTTGAGTAACTGTGTCGAAGGAATTACACCCACGAAGCTGCGTCTAGACCTATTCAGAGAGTAACAGTCTGAACTTGGACTTGCTGCTATAACATTAGGGTTAAACTCTGGGACCTCGGAAGGAATGAGCTTATTTTGTATGTGGAAGAACTATAAATAATTGTGGCTACAGGATAAGTGGTAGTAGTTTTTAAATACATGTATAAATGCCTGTTGTTGTAAACACACTCACACATTCTTAGTGGGTTAAGCAACACATTTATTACCTTACATTTCTGTAGATGAGTCCTACAGGACTCAAATCAAAGTGTCTTACAGAGCTGAAATCAAAGGCTGTGTTCCTACTGGAAACTACAGAGGTTTCTACAGAGGAAACTACAATCCACTCCTTGCTTTTTGCACTTTGCACAGGCTGTGTGCGTTTCTTGACCCATGGCCATGCAGACCTGCTTCCACTATAACACCTCCTACTCTTATTCCCACGCTAACCCTCTTGCTTCCTTCTTATAAGGACCCTTGTGAGTGCACTGAACTGACACAGAAAAACCCAAGATAATTTCCTTATCTCAAGATCAGTAATTACATCAACAAATCCTCCATTCCATGAAAGTAACGAATTCACAGGTTTGGGAGGATTAAGATGTGGATACCTTTGCCAAGAGAGGTCATGACTCCATCTACACTACTCCTCTTTTAAAGAGATGACATCCAGTCCCAGTCCCTTAAATGCTGCTTGGATTTGGTGAACTAGTTATAATGAATCAAGTATAGCAGGAGTAATGGTGTACCTCCTTTCTTGAGCTCCTTTTGTATTAACTCTCAGAAACTGGATGGCATGTCACATAGAAACCCACGCAGTCCTATGGCGATGCGCAAGTGGTGAGAAACCAAGGCTTCTTCACAAATGGCATGGAATTGACCTTGCCAACAGCCATGTGAATAGGAAAAAGGGTTTTAGCCCTTTTGTACCTTCAGCTGACTATAGTCCTGGCCATCTCATGGAGGATTCTGAGTCAGAACCACCCTGCTAAGCTATTCCTGAATCCCTGATCACAGAAATTGTAAGATGATGTTTGTTGTTTTAAGCTGGTAACTCATGCCATAGTCTTTTAGGTAGGAATGGGAAATTAAAAACCTCTGATTACCATCTTGATCTATGAAGGCTGCTGAACCTCTGGCTAGTACTTCTGCATTCCAACTTGCAGGAAAGAAGAAAGGAAGAAAGGTTTCTTCTTTCAACTAGCATTGCTAGAAGTTATATGGACCTCTCTCATGTCTCATTGTCTCAAAGGATGCAGCACTTCTAGCTCTAAGAGGCAATAGGAAACAGTATTCATTCTAAGTAGCCATATGCTGAAGTAAGATTTAGGGGTTCAATCACTATGTAAGAAAGAGAAAACAGACAGTGGGGTACAACCAGCAGTCTCTGTCACGGTGGTAACTGTAAGGTCAGGAAAAGCAAAGACCAGCAAACCCCAGCACTAATTTCTCTCTTTTTAACCAACTATTTCCATTAGCCACCAAAGTGATATTTACACACCCATTACTCTGGCCTCTCCAAAACCAAACAAAACAAAACAAAAAAAAACATGCCAGTTATGTATGAGTCACTGGAAAACTCAACTAATACATTAGGTAAAACACAATCACGAAACTCTCCTCCCTAGAAAATTATTTGCAGGGAACATTGCTAATAGGATCATTTACAATGGATATTTTGCCTAAAGGCTCTTAAGTTTTCTAGATGTTCTCCTTGCATTCTTTTACACCATGTCTGGAAATACACTGATAAGTAGTCTGAAAATAAGGCTATTAAAAATGTTCCCGGACTGATTTCTGCAAGCTGTGGGGAGTGACTTTTACCTGCGCTACTACGTGGGTCACAAGGGTAAGTTCAGCCATGAACTCCTGGACTTTGAGTTGCGACCCAATGGGAAATTAAGATATGCCAATAACAGTAATTACAAAAATGATGTCATGATCAGAAAAGAGGCTTATGTACATAAAAGTGTGATGGAGGAACTGAAGAGAAGAATTGATGACAGTGAAATTACCAAGGAGGACGATGCTTTGTGGCCTCCTCCTGATCGAGTGGGCCAGCAGGAACTTGAAATCATCATTGGAGATGAACACATTTCTTTCACAACGTCAAAAGTTGGTTCCCTTACTGATGTCAATCAGCTCAAGGATCTAGAAGCCTTGTGAGTATTTTATTATCTTGTTCAGGATCTGAAGTGCTTGGTCTTCAGTCTCATTGGTTTACACTTCAAGATTAAACCTATCTAAATCAAACACTGGTGTGGACATGAGGGGGCAGAGTTGTTTTTAATTCACATCACGAGATTTTTCTGTATATCCGGGCAATTTTTAAAATAAATGATAGATTACAGTTTTTAATAAATACGTGATAAAATATAATTTTTGTTATCTTATAAAAACCGGATCATGTGAATTCTTTTCGGCTACTTTGTAAAACATTCATGTGAAATATTACAATACTAATAAACTTTACAAACAGCTATTTTATAGGAAACGAGAATAAAACATGTTTTTAAAAAAGTTCAAATAAACACTACCCAAAGGGAAAAAAAAATGCTCTCTCCTTGCAAGAGGTTGGAAGGACATCACTATGACATAAGCAACTATAACAATGGCAATCATTTCTAAACTCTTAATTCTCCTTTAACATGTAAGCCATTTTTAGGTAGCCATCTTAAGTGGAGTGACATAATTCTTAACCCTAATTATAGGCATCTGAGACTGCTTGCGCATATGCTTTAAAAAAATGAAGCAAAGGCCCGGCACAATAGCATAGTGGTTAAAGTCCTCGCCTTGAACACACCAGGATCCCATACGGGTGCTGGTTCTAATCCTGGCAGCCTCGCTTCCCATCTAGCTCCCTTCTTATGGCCCTGGGAAAGCAGTCGAGGATGGCCCAAAGCTTTGGGACCCTGCACTCACGTGGGAGACCCGGAAGAGCTCCTGGCTTTGGACTGGCTCAGCTCCAGCCATTGCCGCCGCTTGGGATGTGAACCATCAGATGGAAGATCTTACTCTGTCTCTCCTTCTCTCTGCATATCTGCCTTTCCAATAAAAATAAATAAATCTTAAAAAAATAAGAAAATGAAGCAAATTAGAATTATCTAATTCCAGAAAGTTGCATTACAAACTCAAATAAAATTTCTTAGGTGGCTTATTTACAAAATGTGTGCTTTCATTCTGATATATCAGTGTGAAAACAATGCACAGCAATTCACAATCTGCCTTTAATTGGCCTTTACATGGCTCTATCACAACAGAATTTAGACTAAAGAGGCCAAGTGTTAAAGGATTACAAGTGTGGTTTAACATAAAACATTTCATTCCATTGTCATATACTTTTCTCCATTTTCATTCATTTAGCCACAGGTACAAAGCTGAAAGGAATAACTCTATGGTCATATTATCTTTTATTTATTTGAAAGGCAGAGTGAAAAAGACAGACAAAATCTTCCCTCTGTGAGTTCATTCCTCAAATGGCCTCAACTACTGGCTCCTACATCAGGCTGAAGCCAGGAACTCCACAATGGTGTCTCACGTAGATGACATGGGACCTAGTATTTGGACCATCTTCCTTTGCCTTCCTAGGTACATTAACAGAGAGCTGGCTCAGAAGCTGAGCAGCCCAGACCTGAATCAGCCCTGCAGTATTTGATGCAAACATCGCAGGTGGTGGCTTAAACCACTACACCTGCAGCACTGGTGACCCCAGTGGATGCAGGTTCTTGTCCCAACTTCTCCACTTCCAAACAGAGTCCCTGATAATGACATAGGAAGAGCAGTGGGAAATGGCTTAACTGTCTGAGCCCCTGCACCCAACGTGGGAGAGACCCAGAAGCTCCTTCCTGCCTTGGCACGGCCCAGATCCCACCATTGTAGTCAACTAGGGGGTAAGCCAGTGGATAAAAGGTCCTTCTCTGTCTCATCCTCTCTCTGGGTAACTTTGCCTTTCAACCCGGGGCCAGCATTGTGGCATGATGGGTAAAGCCACTCCTATAGTACTCATATTCCATAAAGGTGCCAGTTCATGTCCCAGCTGCTCCGCTTCTGATCCAGCTCCCTGTTCATGTCCTGGGAAAGGAAGCAGATGACCTAAGTGTCTGGACCTCTGCCAACCACTCTCCTCTCTATGTAACCCTGTGAAATAACCTACTCATTTTGAAAATATTCTGTAAAGAAATACTCTGTATTCTGATGCTTGCTTCAGTTCCTACAATGGTCATCATTCTGCTACATTTGGAAACACGCTGGTTCTAAATTAATCTGCTGCTGCTTATTTCACCCAAAGAAACAGAAATAACCCAGGAGGCCTGGGGCAGCCATAGGCCAGCTCTTCTGGGAAAGCACATTTAATTCACTGCTGCACAATTCAAACACAGAAGGTGGTTAGCACATCAGGAAGGCACTGAGCTCATCTCAGCCAGGAAAACTTAACAAGGAGAAGCATCTAGAATTCATGGACGGCCTAGAAATATCCAAAAGGTAAAGAGCTGACTCAATATGACAACTTGACTGGAATGTTCAAAATTTCCTGTTATGATACATAGACCCTGAGATTGGACAAAAAGTATTCCCAAAAAGGAAGGATGGTACACAGTCCATTTGCACCACATAATCCGATGCTGGGATACCAGTTAGACAGTCAATCTGTGTGCGGCCAAAATTGTACCTGTGATCTCATGAGCACAGCTAGTTATCCCCACATGATCACAAACAGCATTGGTCTTCAACACCTATAAGCCTCATTCAAGAGGCTCAGAATAGATTCCTCCTCCTTTTCCCATTTGCAAGATGTTTCTCTCCTTTGATGGAGTTTCATTTAAGCCATTTGAAGAAAATATCCCACTGCTCTATTCATAAAGTAGGTCTCAGTAGCTGGAGGTCACAGGAAGCTTCTACACTTCCTGAACTGGTGATCGCCCCTCCCCTCTGTCTATTTATCCTTCTGCCACAGTCCCACCGTCAACAGTAGGAGGTAATCTACAGGCAAGACAGGGTTCAGGCATTTGCCTCTTTAACTCCAAGCCTTATTCTCATGGCTGACACATGGGTGGGCCGTTGGCTAATTCTTCTTTCCTAATATGTGGGTATAAATGTGTGGAAAGTGAACTAAGAAAAAACAACCAGGGTGCTTAAGTGCTACATCAGGACATGTACCTGTTAACAAAAGTTGGAGAAGGGGTTCTGATGGAAGGGAGGACACGATGAGACTGTCACAGGAACGTAAGAATGACATCTGCTCTTGGCAAGGCCAGGTCTAGCTAATCAATATCTAGTCAATATTGCACAGACTGTGTGTCTATTGTTATCGTTTAAGTCTCAGCTTCCTAGAATGTTGACCGTAAAAGAGACCTTCTAGATACGCTGGTCCAACTCCATTTTCAAACTGGAAAACTAAGGCATGGGGGAAAGAAAGTGATTTGCCTTAATTAGAGTGAAAGTCATCTTGGCTGCATCACGGAGGCCAGGACTTGGGTTTTTTGATTATCAATCAGAACACCGTTTATTGGTCTTTCTCTTTTTCTGGGGTGACAGGGTGGTGATTTTTACTGTTGGGTGGATGTCAACACTAATGGAACAATTGCTATTGTTGAGACAAAAGAAAAGTCCCTCCTCCTCAGGAAAGGTCCAGTGTGTCCATATTGCCATGCCCTTGGGCTTCTAGGAAGAGGGAGAGCTCCTCGCAGCCCCAGCAACTGAGCAGTGATTCAGTCTGAGTGGTACCAAGTGGCAGTGTGCTTCCTTCCACGTCTTCATGATTTTTCAGACTCTCCTTTTTTGTCATCCAATAAAATTGCAAACATAATGCAAGGATATCTATTCACATGTTCTTTTCAGTTAAGCAAACCTCATTGTGGTTTCAGGTGTCCCGAAGAGAAGGAAATAAAACTGCACCATGGCCCCTCAGGTTAAAAACTGAGTTAGAATGAGGTTGTCCAGCCGATAGGAGGAGCCACAATGACTACATGGCTGGCGCATTGTTCCATCCTGGCACTTATGCCCAGCAGACACTCAGAGCGATTTCTTCACCAGACGCTCAAGAGGTAGAAAAATGCAACCACTCCCAGGCCCTGGGTAGAACACAGGAGTAAGGGGCAGGGGTGGGAAGGGACCCTGGACCAAGGGCAGAAAACCTGCTGGGTCTCCCTTGGAAGAAAAACACTGGGTCAAGAGAGAAAGCCCAGTACACAGAAAAAAAAAAAAACATCTACAACAGCGAGGGCATGGAAGTAGGAGGTAAGGAGATGGTGCTGGTTTGATGGTGACAGACTTGAACTGCCAATGAGGCAAATCCAAAGAGTTATAATTAGGTCTCAGAGGATGCTGGCACATCCCTCAGACCCCATGTGGCCCTGAGTGGCCCTGCAGGCTTCACTCTCAGAAGTTCAAAGAATCAGGTGACAAAGCCTTATGACAAAGCCAGACTGAGGTGATGGCAAAAGTTACTGTCAGCACACCCCTGACTCCTCCTGGGGCCCCGGGGAAGAGGACATGAATGGAGACACTGAGGACACAGGTGGCGGTGACACCCCACCCTCATCGATGTGGCTGTTGGGAGTCAGACCTGAGAGGCACAGGCCAAACTCCAGGACTGGTGCAGCTTGGCCTCCTCGGGGATGAGAGGTCTCAGCCATGCTCTTTTCTTCAGGGATAAGGGGTGGCCAGGAGTGCTGGCTTTTCTCTGAGGTACTGAAGGACACCTGCTGGGCTCAGAACTCACCATCAAGCGAAGCAGGCACAATCCCTGCAGGTAGCATTCTGAGGACAAAGGCGCAGGAGCTGTGCTCATGAGGATGCCAAGTCACACATTCCCCTGACACACACACATACACACACACACTCACACACCATGTATTCGCCCACCCACCCACTGTCATCCATAGACTGATGGCAGAAACAGCCTCCACTGGCACGGCCTGAAGTACTCAGAGGATGGTCGCTTTGTCACTAAGTGCCCCGGTAGGTGATATTTGTGAAGGTGGACGTGGCCTCCTTATACAGCGGGTTGTTGGCCTGCAGAGAGAACAGAGACCTGTCTGTGGGGAGTCCTCAGCCCTCCCCTGCCTCCAGGTCTTTGAGTTCATCTGAGAAGTTTGCCTGTGACACCTGTTCTGGAATACACCATCAGGGAAGCAGATGGACACTCAGGGATTCAAATGAAGGACAGAGATGTCCATTTTGCCACTGTTCCTACCAGGCTAAGCACTGGCCTTGCCTTCTGGGCATCCCTGAATATTCTGGTACAGCTTTCCCCAGCCTTCCCACCAGCCCTTCTCTCCCCCACACTCTCTTCTGCCCTGCCTTCCCTTTTTCTCACAGTGACAATACTGGAAGGGATAGGCAAAGCAAGCGTAATAAAGCAGATGGTAATTACAACAGATAATTCATAATTTGTTTTCATCTCAACCTTCCACGCACTATCACAAAACTTTCCTGTTTTCAGAAAAACCTACTCGGTTTCCCAAAATATTTTCTAACAGAAAGCAACAAGTCCCATAACACTGAGTCATCCTAAGGGTGGCTTCAAGAAATTCAGCATACCCTTGTGCACCTCTGGGATACAGGATATGTCACACCATCTCAAGAGAAACATCTCAGCTTCATGGCTCTGCTGTTTACCAAGGCCTGGGGCCACCCTTCAAAGGGGAACAGACTTCCTGCCGAAGCATGCACTTTCAGGGAGTCAAGTAATAATGCAAAAGATGAACCCAAAAAGAGCAGAGTAAAATTAAGTCTATCCAGAAAACCCCTGATAAACGCATATTTGATCAGATTAAATTGGGATGAGCGACAGGGGCCTGATCTGGAGGCTTTCTTCTCATCATGTGGAGGAAAAGGAAGCCTTTGAGATGAAATGACATCGTGGCACTATCCTCAAGAAGCTGGCCTCAAAAGGAACTGCTAGGGTAACCTGAGGCCCTCCTACAAGCCGGCCATTTCTCTCTCTGTGTTCCGTTTCCATAACTGTAAAGTACGAACACTGCCCAGCACATAGGGTTGTCAGAGAAAGGGATTTAAAAAATGCTCAGGGGGAAATGGAATTAAAAGCTAAGCTTCTTTTGGTGATATATCTATGCTCACATTTTGTTTTTCCTAACATCATGAACTTTCTGAAGGTCCCACACAGAGATAATATGTAAAAAGCTTTTACAGAATTTTCTGGCATGCGTTAACTGCTCAGTAAATGAAATGTTGGCTATGAGGCGACTTCAGAATGTTCATGTCGCAGTACCGCTGCTCGGGCAGGTAGAGTACTTGCATCCCATTTCACAGCAGCTGGGTTCAACATCTTGTAGTGCATAGCCCAGGACTCAGCGGAGAAGGCTCCAGGGATTCAGTTTCTGCCATTTATGTGGGAGATCTAAACTGAGTTTCCAGCTCCCAGGTCCTACTAAGTCTAGCCCCGGCGAACTGTAGCATTTGGGGCTACCTGTTAAATTCATTAAACATGAAAATTTTGCATGATCTCTTGATTCCATTTGCCCAAGAATTTTTGTGTACTAACATATACAGACGTATACTAAGAGTTGAAATATATACCAGTAATGCCTGCCTCCACGGGAGAAGAGGTTTCTCTTTTCATTTTCCATAGTGTCCGAGCAGAGCTAGCTCGCATCAGGCCTCACTGACATGGCCTCAGGCCCCAGAGGTACAGAGAATCAGGAGGCTTCCAGGAAGGTTAAGGATGCTCAGAACATATCCCCATTTCCAGAACAGGTAACAACAGCCCATCTGCAGTGCTGGCTGACCCCAACTATGACCCCAAGCACCTGCTGTCTCCACTTGAGGATAATGGCTCAAGAAAGCCCGCAGCCCAGCCCAGCCCAGCCCTCTTACCGTATCCCATTTCGCTCTTGCTCGTTCTTCCTCAAATTTAGCAAACTCTTTCCGGTCATGGATGGTGATGAGCAGCTTCCAGATGAGCAGCGTGGCAAGGCCAATGAGCAGAATGGCCCCCATCACCGACATCAGGACCACCAAGATGTCAGGGCCCTTGGGACACTCTGTCAGGAAGGAAATGGGGAGCAGAGGCCTGTGAATCATGCCAGAATCCCTTGGACTGGTTATGAAAAGGTCTCTTTACTACTAAATAGTAGTAGTAAGTACTTACAAGGTCTACTTATCACTTATTGAATTCTTTATTAACTTATGATTATAAAGTCAATTGAACATATATCATCACCAATTTGACACTAGATTTTTTTTTTTATCATTGCCTATACCTATAATGCCATGGTACACCTGAATAGCAGAATGTTAAGCTTCTGTTACCAAAGGACTATACTACTGTAACAATATGAAGGAAAATGGAAAGGGAGGAAGAGAGGGAATCCCTATACCTATAAAACTATCACCGAAAATAACAACAATTTAAAACTTGAATTAAAAGAAAGCATGTCATTGCAAAAATTTTAAAAAAAATAAGGAAGGAGGAGGGCAGGTAGCAACAAAGGAAAAATAAAAGAAGGTTGGGAAATATTATGTTCTTAAAACTGTATGTATGAGAGCTTAGTGTGGTAGCCTAGTGGCTAAAGCCCTCACTTGCATATTTCGGGATCCCATATGGGCGCTGGTTCTAATCCCGGCTATTTCACTTCCCTTCCAAGCTCCCTGCTCGTGGCCTGGGAAAGCAGCCGAAGATGGCCCAAAGCTTGGGAGATCCAGAAAAGGCTCCTGGCTCCTGACTTGGGTTTCAGCCTGGCAAAGCCCCAGTCATTGCAGTCCTTCAGGAAGTAAATCAGTGGATGGAAGACTTCTCTATAATTCCATTCAAATAAGTAAAATAAATTCTTTTTTTAAAAAAATGGAAAGATCTAAAAACATGAGAGCCTATATTCTGGCAGAGCAGCAGATAGCTGGTGCAGAAAAGCACTGGTCCCTTTTGTCAGGGTCACGTTTAGTTTCCCGAAATCTGCATCCCTCTCTGTCCTTCCCTGAATGGAGGCAAAGAGTGACTTGTCGTTGTCTGGGCTGCTGTATGCTCTGCAGCCAGCCCGCCTGGGTCTGAGTCCTGGCTTACCGCTTACTCCGCTGCATGACCTCTGGGAAATTACTGGGCCTTTCTGGGCTTCTGTTTCCTATTTCTCCATCATTAAAACAGAAAAGTAATAGCACTGACCTTTCGACTTTGTCATACAAGGAATGGCTAAGTTCACCCCATTTAAGGAACTCAGAACAGCGCCTGACACAGAATGAATGCTCAAAGAGCCAACCACTATTATTACAGGTGTTCCTCGTGGGTGCCACCCTGGTTCAGATGCTGATGTTCATGAGGCTGCTAACCTAGCAACTTTTTCAGCATTCTCAGAGAACAGGCCTCCCGGCCATAACAATATTGTGGGTTCTTTCTCAGACATTTTGGTATCTAAAACCCCAAATCCGTTGAAAGCTGACTTCTGTTTAACCCTGGTCAGCACCCAACACAAACAGGCATATGTCGGGCACCAAGGGTCAATCTGGGTGTGTCTTGCAGAGACCTTCCCAGGAGCCTGCAGTGGTGGACAAGTGACCTACTCTGGCAGCCTCAAGTGGATGAAAGCAGGTGTTTGTATGTGTGAGGAGTGATGTACCGGGAAAGGAAGTCATCCCCACAGCCCACACCATCTCCCACCTTCTTCTCTAAACATACACATTGTGCTCACCAGACACCACTCAAAAACAACCACCACCACAAACCCAAGGTGGCAGCTTCCCAACCCTCCAAATTATAACCTGCCTGTAACAAATGGTGCCTGGAGAGAGGAGCTAAGGAACCAAGAGTGTTCTCTGGAATGAAGGGCCTCAGTTCTTCTGGAAAAAAACCATTGTGAAGTCTCCAGGAGATTGGGGTAGGGCAGCCCCCAGGACAGGCAGAACCTCAGGAGGTCTTTGCAGGAAAACTGTTAGCCATTTGCCCTCAAAGGGCTATGTGGCAGACTTCCTAAAGCAGCGACAAGATCAGGCAGTCTCCGGGGAACACCCTCAGCCAGAGCAGTGGGCTCATGATGAGTGGCCCAAGGGAAGACTAGGGTTAATTCAGCAAACAAAAGTACAGACAGCCCGGATAAATCCATACTCAGACAGACAACAAACTACTTTGTAACCTAAGTAGATAGCATATATTACATTCTACATACTATATTTTACCCGGCAACTCTATCTAGAAGTGATGAATCTCTAGGCACGAGCCCGTTCCACACCGGCCAATGTTAAACCCCTTGGTTACACCCTCTTGCTGCCCTGCGGTGGCTCAGCCCTTCGGTGGGGAGCATCTTAGTAAGTGTTGAAGAAGAGAAAGAGAACACTTTCCTCCTAAGCTCTGGGTCCCTGGCCACTGCATTCTACTTCAAGCCAGGGAAAGAGCAAGGCGATGAAATAGCAATGTAAGCCTGGGGATCTGGGGTCCCCTTCCCTACAACGGAGGAGGGGTCTGCTGCAGCAGCAAGTCATCCAGGACAAAACTGAGTCAATGTCTCCAGCCCATGACTACGTCCCATAGTGAGCCTGTTAAGAGCAATGCCTCCAACTACCCTCTAACCATCTGGCCTTCCCCTGGAGGGACAAACAGCTACTGGCAGCCGCCTCACTTGATATGTGCTGTAAAGTGTAGAATTTCAATTTTTAATTCCTTGGACTTAGATGAAATCCATACCTACCTCCCTACCCTTCCTACGCAGCTTATTTTTGCTCTTTCCTCAATGAGTAAAAGTCACTTTTACATATCCCCCTCACCCAGATGACACAGTAACTCAGCTCTATAAGGTCAGGCTTACCCTGTTCTACCTAAGAGGGATATGAGTGGAAATCCCTGCCTGATCTGACTCCCTCTCCCTGGGGGCAGGAGCAGGGCCTCACCTGGCTCTTCTACCACATACAGGATGGACTTGCCACTGGAGTCTTCGTAGTACTGGAATCTGACAACACAGTCATCCTCATTCTTGTAGGTGCAATTCACTGCATCCTTGCCAGTGTCCCCTAGATGGGCAGAAAGGTAGAAGAATGAAAATCAGGTCAGTTCTCAACTCCTGTCCTAGGACTTCTGAGCACATGAAGTAAGACGTCTAGATTTGAGACTCTGGCAACTGCTACTCAGTGATCAGACTGACACATGTCATCTCTCACAGACCCTTCCAGCTCTCAGTCCTTCCCCTGGAAGGGAGATGCTGCGATAGCTTCCCACAAAGTCTGGCTCTTGCACATGCCAATCCAGGGTGTTACCGGGCCTCATCAATTCTCTTTGTCAGTTAAGAAGAACGACAGCTCCACCTCACAGAGTGGGTACAGAATTAAAGAGTCCTGACATTTGGTGGGGAATTACTATCTTCGGAGAGATGCCAACCCCCAGCACCACCTGATGCCTCACCGACCCACATAAACATAGCAAATGTGCAGAGAGCAGCAAAGACCACCTCCTTCACAGTACAGGCCAGAACAATTGCAGGTGAGAGTCTTGCTCCTCTCTTTGCATTTCCATCTGTCTCGTTCCAAGAGGGGATCCAGAAAGCCAGAAGGTCTTCAGGATATATATCATGGTTACAAGTCCATAACTGGGAAAGCTTTCCTCCCAATCAGCTATGCTTTGTACAAAAGCCTGGGCATTGCTTTGCACTGAGTGACCCTGACAAGTGTGTACGACAAACGCTTCTCATAGGCAACTGCCCAGATCTAGATCTCAGTTTCTGCATCTGTAGGTGGAGCACACTCTCCTCCTCTCCTTGGGAAGGTGAAGTTAGGGCTCTCTGATTTACACGCCCTTTAAAGCCATGTGCAAGTGGCAACTGAGAGAGCTTGCTGGTCATGGAAATCTGAGTGCAGGAGGACCCTCAGGAACGCCAGCAGCCACCCACGCCTATGTGCAGGAAGCCTGCACACTGCTCCATGCAGGAACTGCCTTCGTGTCCCAGACAGGAGCTGCGGTTGAACCGCATTGAGCCAGATGGAGCCGGGATCTCCACCCGGGGCGTGGGCTGCACTTACTGAGCTCCTTCACAGACTCAATCTCGTCGCGGCAGTAGCGGTTGCAGGTGCCTTCCTCGTGGAGGGTGCCGCGCTCAAACTTCGTACACTCCACACAGTCCCTACAAGAGCACAGGACAGTAAGGAAGGTGATGGAGGGGCAAGCTATAGGGTGCTCCAGCCCAGCTCTGACCTCCATGTATCCACAAATCTGCTCCACTTCAGGAAAAAAAAAATCTGTGTGTATCTCTAAGACAATGCTGCAGGCCTGGAGTTCAAGGGAAGCCCTCTTCACCCTCAGGCAGGATGCGGCAGGCAAATCTCACCAAGTCATTCCCAAAACTCCTTCATGTCCTGTCACACTCAGGGCCAAGCTAAGTATGACAAACATACAGATTTTCTGTGAGGACTGATCACACAATAGAGGGAGACTTGGTGCAAAATGAAACTGTCAGGCCCTTGTGCAAAACTTCCTAAAAGTCTCCAGACAGTGGCAGTAGAGTGTTAATACAAGCACAGGGCCCTGCACAGCTGCACGGTGGGACCACCGTGACTCCAGCCCAGCTTAAAGGAGTGCGAGGAGTGGCAATACAGACACGGCTGATCTGACCCACGGGTCTGCTCTGGTGAGATTCCCCTCACACAGGCCCCCATAACCCAGCCCCTGTGCACCCCACAGAGTGAGACCTTCAGCACTGGGTGTTTCCCAGAAGCAACTGCTTTCACCTTCCTTCCCAGTCACAGGATTCAGCATGTCCCTTCTTCCCCCAGGAGTGGGCTTCCCTGACGTGTCCTGCAGCTACTGCTCAGCCCCTGCACAGCAGCCCTACTCTCCCACCTTCCCCAAGGCCTTGCTGGACAGCGAAGAGTTAGCCTGGTGGCTCAAGCAGGCTCCTCTCACTGAATTTCTGGTTAAGTAACAGAGAATCTGACAGCTGAGGATTCTAGTCTAGGGGACTTCCTCCTGGCCACCAGTCTCCCCACTCACTTCTTAAAGGTGCAGGCATCTGGGCAGGTGGGACACTTCTCGCAGGTATCCCCATAGGAGCCTGGCTGGACGCAGACGCAGCTGCCGCATTCGCACTTGCCCCGGCCACTGCACAGCAGCCCATTGCTGGACAGGCAGGTGTCGGTGCGTGTGGTGCAGTTGCAGTAGTAGCCGGTCCAGTCAGAGTCACACAGGCAATCCCCACAGCTGCACTGGCCATGGCCTGTGAACACACAGTTCCACTGCTGAAGGCTCTGTCCCCGAAGCCAGTCTATAAACAGCCACTCTGCTCTCCCCACCCAGACAGACAATGGTCTACCAGCAGCGAGCTGGCTTACTGTAGGGGAGCCTGACCCTGCAGGGATAAACTCAGTTCTCTGGTGTCCCAGGTCTGGCAGGATTTGATCTGAGTCCCCATAGAACAGAGGAATCTCGAGACCTATGTATCTCAGGCCTGGTCCTGCATCCCTCCTCCTTCCCAGCCAGCTTCTAGTACAAAGACAAGAAACCAGCCCTGCAACCCAGAGAGCTGGCACAGCACCAAGCCCACAAAGGGCATTCAAGAAGATAACAGCATGGCCTGGTGCTGCCAAGAGGTCTCCCTTGGCCCCTAAATGCTTTCCTGTTGCCCTACCATTGGGCTACTCCCACCTCTGCACTCCAGAATCACAGCATAGGGCCACAACCAAGCATCTTCAAATATGTTCTTTTTCTTTTTGAAGTTGTAGGTGCAGTTCAACCATCTCTGGCTTCACCCACATGACCTGTCTTTCTTGTCTTAGTTCTCTCAATCTGACCTCTGAGGTGGGCCTGGGCATGTAGCTGAGCAGCCTAGGAACAGAAGAGAACTGTATCTCTTTCCAAAGATGCCCATGGCAGGGAGTGCCAACAAAAACCTCAATGATGATGATCACGCCGGGAACGTCTGTTAGATAATCTGTAGCAAGCACCATGCCATGTTCTTTAGTACAGAGTCCTATTTGCTTCTCATAGCAACCCTGCCTAAGGCCACTCAGCTTATAAATGGCACACACGGGCAGAAGTCACTCTTCAGATCCTCACTGCTTAGCCTCCGTGCAGCATCTGTTTATAAATAGTATGGTTTTCTACAAGGCTTTTGTAATTTACAGAGAAAAATCGCTGTATCCAGCAGATGGGGATAGTTAGTTTGAATGCAGTGTTCTCAAAGTGACACCAGCAGAGGAAGAGAGACCAAACGTAGCAAGTAGAAAACCTAGCAACTAGGCTTGATACCAACGATAAATTTTGAAAACAGCACATCTGAGATACTCAAATGTACTGAACTGTGGCATAGCTGATAAAATCATTGGCTGCAATACCAGTATCCCATATAGGCACGGATTCATGTCCCACCTGCTCCATTTCCAATCCTCTCTCTACTGAAGGCCTGGGAAAAGTAGCAGAAATGGCCAAAGTGTTTGGGTTCCTGCCACCCACAAGGAAAATCTAGATAAAACTCCTTGTTTTGGCCTGGGCCAGCCCTGGCTGTTGTAGCCATCTGAGGATTGAACCAGCAGACCAAAGATCTCTCTTTAAGACTCTCTCTCCAAATCTCTCTCTCTCTCTCTCTCTCTGGGTGCCCTTTCTCTCTCCCACATACAAAAGGTTCCCCCATGACAGGGTTCACAAGCTAGTTAAATTCCCAGAAGCACACACACATTCACTGTCATGCTCCCTGGTTTGTGTTATGACAGTTTAAACAGTTTGGAGCCCTGATGGGGAGGATCCTACAGGTGTGGAGGGATGGAGGGAGCCTGGGGTAGGATGGACAGCTTAGATGCAGGCTGTCTTCCTCTACCATTCATTTAGTGAGATTTTTCCAGGGATGGGCAAACATCTGGACCATGGGCCATTTGAGGCCTGCAAAACCATCTGGCCTAGCCCTGCCAAGGCAACCACAGGCAAGAGTCAACATTCAACAAATCTACAACAGCCTAATTTTTTTTTTTTGGTTGATAATTCTGTATGACCCTCAGATGATGTTATAAATATCCAAACAGCCCTTGGCAGAAAACAAGCTCTCCACCCTTGCAATGTTGGCTGCTAAACACTGCAGAAATGTGACTCATTTTACAGCCCCCGGACCAGGAAGACTCAGATGAATAAGAAAAATCTGACTGTTAATCAGAGGAAAGGCAGGGGACAAACGGGAAGTAACCTGAATGGAAACCACTTCACTGCGAGCAGGTGGCCAAGGAGGTGGAAGAATGGGTGGTGTGCGGCCAGGCTCCACAGTGACACAGCAGCGTTCTGCAATGTCCACATAGGCATTCAAGATTCAGACACACCTCAACTGCCTTGGAAAGAAATGGCTGTTTCTCAGGAAGGAGGCAACCATACCCCAGCTGCCCAGCCACCACAGGCACTGGGCACTAGGAAAGCAGAAAGCCCTAAAGTCCTGAGGCTGGCCCCCTGCAAGCACAGCTGGTGGTAGGAATTCCTATTCAGGAGTCTTACGGGGAAAATGGAAGACAGGGAGGGAAGTGGGCTGGGGCAGAGGCTAAAGCTGACAGGAACAGAGTCCAGGACAGAGACTTCTTCAGTGTGACCACGTGGTGGGCTCCAAGGCACAAACTGAGGTTCATCTGGAGGGAAAAGGACCAGTCTCAGGTGACCGCAGCAGCCACTGTCCAGCATGGGGGCAAGGCAGTTCCTGGCAGCCAGGGCAATGTTCCCAGGCAGTGATCAGCGGCCGGGGCACCGCGGCGTCCACTCTGCCTCGCTTTTGGCCAGGGCTCCCAAAGGGGGAAACACCAATATGACAGAGGCCTGGCAGCTCTCTGAGGCCTTGGTCTCCTCGAAAATCCTTGTCCCACAGTGTTTCCTTTGTGAGGCTAAACAAAGCGACCCTTGATAGGATGGTCTGGCGGGCGGCCAGGGGCAAGGCTGGGAGTAGAAGTGGCAGGCCTGAGTTGACTCGCTGACCTCAAGCCCTAGTAGGGTCAGCCTCTAACAGGAAGCCACAGTGTGGTAATATCACAGGACTGGAACCTGTCCAGCAAAGCAAGGCTGAGCCTGGGTTCATAGGAAAGTCAGAGGAGTGGGGTAAGAAGTGAAAAGGAAGAGGGGAGGAGCAGGGAAGGCCAGAGCCTGTTTCAGGCATGCACTCACCCCCTCTCCATGCAGCTAGTCCTCCTGGGCTGACCCATCACTCCATTCTGCTCCTAAGGAGCCAGGCCTTCCTCTGAGAGTCATCCAATGTCCACCCCCACCACCTCCATGATGCCCTCAGCCTTCCCTGGTCCCCAAGGGGTCTCTCCAGTGGCCTCCTGTGCCACACCCCAAGGCCATCTCACTTCTGGGCCCGACAGTCTGCCATGTTGAGAACCATCCTTAGGTAAGTTGAGAACAACAACTAGGCATCTTTCAGGCAGAAAGACTCAAAATCATGATTTCCATTCTATAGCCAGAGATGCTATAGGGCAGGCCCGTCCAACAGAACCTCCTGCCAAGTTGAAATGTTTTAGCTTTGTTCTGTGTACTGTGATAGCCACTCACTACATAGATGGCTACTGACCAACTGAAAAAAACAAGTTTTTAAATTTTTAAAAATTTTGATTAAAGACTTGTTTATGTATTTGAAAGACAGAGTGACAGAGAGAGGGGTAAGGCCAGAGATCTTCTCTCCCCCATTCCACTCCACAAATGGACACAACAGTGAGGGCTGGGCCAAGTCAAAGCCAGGGTCCAGGAACTCCCTCTGAGTCTCCCACATGGATGGAAGAGACCCAAGCACTTCGCCCATTCTCCACTGCTTTTCCCAGGCCATTAGCAGGGAGCTACATTAGAAGTGGAGGAGCTAGGGTGCAAATCAGTGCTCGTATGGGATGCTGCTGTCAGACACAGCTATTTAATCTGTTCCACTACAATGCCAAGTATTAATTGCTTTAAATGGTTTTGTGCAGGTAAAAGCTGCCATATTGGACAGAACTATAATCTAAAAAACAACAACAATATTAATAGTAGCAACAGGGACAACAACATGAAGTCAACATTTAACAAACCCATAGCACTTTCTGGACATGGTTCTACGTATATAGATTCACTAAATGTGCTCCAATCTCTTGCATATATAGCACAATTTTTCAAGTCTCTTAGGATTAAGAAAAATCATATAAAATTATTTCTAACTTTCCATCTATTTTGACAGCACATGTTTTCAAAGTGTATGACTTTCAAATGTTTGGTCAGTGATATTGTTAATATAAAAAAGGATCAATCCTAACATTCAAGAGAGTTAGAGCTTTTGACTGAAAACCTTCACAAAGTGGGCAAAAGAAAGACAAGGAAATAACCATCTTCAACCTGAGGTTCCCCTCGCCTTCCCACTGTGTTCTAGCAGAGGACAGGGATCCCAGAAGCAGAGGCTCTGGTGGGGTGGTCATGCTCTACAAGCAAGGACACAGGAGCTGAACAAAACTGTGGCGAATCCCATTCCTGCCTCCCCGTTGGCGTAGAATGGTGTCTGCTCAGCTCTGCCCCCCGGGGCCACCTCAAGCTCCCACCTATGTGGCCAGGGCTACCGGAGCACGTGCGTGCCTGTGGCAACCGGAACAGGAGCTTAAGCATCTACTTACCCGAGCACATCTCCCCCTTGTAGCGGACACAGGAGAAGTCATCACACTCACAGTACTTGCCCGAGATCTTGCCAAAGTCACTGCTGTGGCACACACATTGGCCACAGAGGCACTCACCCCGCTGGCTGCAGGCAGGCTGGCCCTCCTTGGGGCTACACTCATCCTGCTGGGAGGGGTGGTAGTCCTCCTCGGAGCACTCGCACTGTGAGCCCAGCCAGCCGGACCCACAGCGGCACACCCCACACTCAAAAGTCCCATTGCCGTTGTTGCAGCGGTGGCTGTGAGGCTCAGCCCACGCCTGGCAGGCACAGTCACAGTCAAAAGTCACCTGGACAGTGAGGCTGTCCTTGAAGCCCACTGGCTTGATGGTGAAGGCCTTCTCCTTCTCCTGGGGGCAGCCGCGCACCTTGGCCTCAATGCTGAAGCTCACCTGGATGGAAAGGATGGAAGGCAAGATCGCATTCAGCACAGGTGGGTCCAGCTGTCCCAGTCACCCTGGGAGAAAATGCTACTCTTAGTCTCGCCAAAAGAGAGCCCAATGGGGAGTGCCTTCCTCAGCTCTCCCTCCACCAGGGTCTGCAAGTCAGACACAAGGAGAGTTCAAAGGCGGTGACACACCCCGCTGGAGGCAGACCTGGTTTACAGGTATGGGTTAGAAGGTTGGTTTCTCGGCCACCTATGGAACATACCAGCTCAAGCAGAATAGAACCGTGTCCCTGGAAACACTCTGCTCTAGCCAGTTAAGTGAGCCACACTGATGACACATCAGCACAAAGCACTATGCTCATGTTCCCTTTGCTGTTGACTCTTGGGCAGCTAAAACAATGCACAGCACACAGCGACCTCAGTAAGAAGTTGCAGGTGACACTGCCCCTTTCCATCAAAGCAAAGGGGAAGGCATCACCTCGAGGGGAGGCCGCAGGCTAATAAGGGGAAGAAGGTCAGAAATATTTCTATGTGTGATGAAATGTGTCTTCCCCAAGAGAGGAAACCAAAAGGGTAAATTTTAGAAAATCTAGATGGTGAAATCCACTCCACAGAGAAGAAGCTGGCAGCCACAGAAGCCTCAGAAGAAAAGGCTGGCATGCTGCAATGACCTGGAGGACAAGGGTGCAAGGAAGGGAGGATGTGGACACAGGCCAGATCAGCCCTGCCCAGCCCACCTCACCGTGTCTCCGATCTTGAGTCCCACACAAGACTTGAGGCCTGGGATGACCTCATTGTTGAGGCAGGTGGCGTTGAAGGACAGTGACAGCTCCTCAGGAAGATCGCGCACTTCCAGTTCCACTTTAGAGCGGATTTTCTGGGTAGGAAACAGCAAAGACAGTGAGGAAATGAACCGAGAGGAAATGGACCAGTTTCACCCCCCAGAAAACTCCATGTGATGGCCCTGGGCTCACACTGGCAGTGCCACATGCTCAGGTTATCCCAGAAATTGCTGGGACACCCCTCAGAGTCTGTTAGCTGCTCTAACAACCTTTGCCCTCTGCCAGTTCCCACTTGTGCCCAGGTGAGTGTGCGTTACGGCCGGCTGCTCCACGGCGAGAGTTTGAGGGATTGAGGCACCGACTGGAGACCTATGATGGTGGAAGTCTCTCCCCAAAGCCTCTCTGAGGCTTCCCTTTAGTCCCTTTTCTCTTGACCTTTCACCTACTTCTTGTTTACTCTTTACCCCACACTCTCATTAGTACATATTGGATACAGCTGAGACCAGGTGCTTCTAGCCCCAAGCCCACTCCCTGTAGTACTCGGCTTAACTGGCTTAATGAGTGCTAGTCAACTCCTTTTCCCACAACAAGTGTGGATGCTAATCCAAACCAGCTACATATACCTCCCACAGACTGCATACACACACTCAAGAGAAGTGGCCCAGGTCTGGCTACCTGGGGTAGTAGCAAGGTCATGCTTACGCAAGCTCCTCCTCCCCAGGCGTGTATCCCTCTTTCCTTTGCTGTAGGGCCCCAGATGTCCCGGATCCTGCACCCCATGACTTCAATTAATCCCCACACCCATTCCTTTCCACTTCCTCTGGACTCTGCTCCCCCTGTCAGGGCAGCTCCCTGGCACTTCTTTCAGGGCCATTTCCTTCTCAGAAATGTTTCCACCTCATCCCACCTTCCAGGACCTGGCTTCTGAAACACAAGAGAAAGGCAAGAAGGCTGTGTGTGTCTGGCAGGGGGACAAGATGCACAAGCCATGTTAGGAAGGGGAGGGGCATGACCCAGGGTCCCTTTCCCAGCATGCGGCTCCTACCCCATAAGCATCGACGATGAGCTGGAGGACGTTGCTGGAGTCAGTGGACAGGACCCCCACCGTGGTCCCTGGGATGAGCTCACTATAGTTCTGGAAAGGAAGACAAAGGTGACCAGAGTGTACTGAAGCAAGGTAGCAAGCTCCCAAATCTCTCCCCCATCAGACTGACCAGATCGTTCCCTTGTCTCCACCAACAGACAGATCTAGAGGTTCTTCATCCCGAGCACAATCACAAGAACGCTCTCCCCGTCCTCATCCCACTGAGTCATCCTCTCCACTCCCCACTCCAAAAAGCAACCTGCTCCGCTTAGCAGGCTCAGAGCTTGAAGATGGGTTGAAGGAGAGTCTTTCACGACTCAGGCCACCGGCTGGCTGGCTGGCTGGGGTCTACCTGCCACAGGACCTGCTTCTAGAAACCCCCAAGGCATGATCACCTGGTAGAGGTTGACGACCTTTTCAGTGACAGCAAAGATCAAATTGATGTTCTTCTGGGATAGCTTTTCAGTCATCAGGCCCAGAGAGGGATAATCCTAGGGGGAAAAGAAGAAGAAAGGGGAGGCCAATGAAGAGGAGAGTACATCACTGCTGACTAATCTTTCTTGCTTGGCTGACTTGGGCTGTGGCCCAGACAGCAATGACCCTAACTGGTACAAATGCACTAGTATTTAATGAACTAATCATGTATCATGTGTTATTAGTCAATACATAAATTCTTTCTCCACAACTAAACCAAAACCTTCCGCAAGAGAGGACCTTATGGAGTCCCTGGATCTCCCTCAACCCCTGGTGCAGTGACTTCCATGGACTAATGTCAAGGTTTGCTGACTCATCCAGTGTTTGATCTGGATATACCTGATTCCAGGAGAAGCCAAAATTGTGAAGAATTGTGAACATGTCCATGGAACCCTAACCTGGCAGAGAGCTCATGACATCATCTGGCTCAGTCTTCTCCCCTCATGTAATTGTACTTAAATAAAAATATTTTTACTTATGTAAAAGAGACACATAAATACTCCATCTACTGGTTCAATAGCCAAGGTGGTTCAGCAGCCTACAACACTTGAAGTTAGTCAGGCTGGGGCTGGTGCCATGCCTTAACAGGCAAGATGTACCTTCAAGCGCTGGTATCCCATATGGAATGTGTGTCCCAGCTGCTCTACTTCCCATCCAACTCCCTGCTGTGGCCTGGGAAAGCAGTGGAGGATGGCCCAATGCCTTGAGACCTTGCACCTGTGTGGGAGACCTGAAAGAAGCTCCTGGCTCCTGGCTTCAGACAAGCTCAGCTCATGCCTCTGCAGCCATTTGAGGAGTGAATCATCAGATGGAAGATCTTACCCTCTCTGTCTCTCCTTCTCTCTGTGAATCTGCCTTTCCAATAAAAATAATAAAGCTTTTTAAAAACATCCAGGCTGAAGACAGGATCCCAGAACTCAAGGTCTCTCACATGAATGGCACATTTACAAGCAGGTGGGCCATCACCTACTGTCTCCCAGAGTGTCCATTAGCAGGAAGCTGGAATCAGAAGCAGAGCTTGGAGCTAACCAGACACTCAAATATGGCATATAGGCATCCATCCAAGTGTAGTCTTAACTGGTGTGGCAAACGCTTACCCTTACATAGCTGAACTTTTTTTTTTAAGATTTATTCATTTTTGAGAGGAGAATCAAGATGGTGGAATACATTTAAATAGACAGAGAAACATTAGCCAGTATGAAGTACAGAGGGCACATTTCAGAAAATAGGAGAAGGACAGAACAACAGCAGAGGGGTACCTGGAGACTGACAGACACAAGGAAGCAGCAGACACAATGGTGTGGTGTTGCAGTGACTGATACTCCAGCGGCATTCAGCTAACGATGATCTGAACTCCACCAGCAGCTGGAACTGCATGAGCAACCAGGTGGGAAAGGACTTCGACTGGGGGAGCTCAGGAGGTGAGCCCGGACAAAGAACTGCCCATCCTGCTGGTCTGTTTGATTTGACCTGGAGCAGAGACAGAGCACCAGATCCCAGAAAAGCAGTGTGGGGACAGGGTGGATTTTACAACCCAGTCCATCCCCTGGAGTCAAGTCAGGTGCCATTTTGTTTAAGCTGGCAAGGGCTATGGACAGGACTGTGCATGCACTGAGCTGGGAGTGAACTCATTTCTGGCTCAGTGAACTGCAGGGACGTGGCAGTCTACAGGTTCCACCCAAGACAGATATGGGCAGCCCTCAGACCTGACAGCCAGCAGATCAAGAACTGTAGTAGTAGTACGTCAGGCAGCATTTTGTACACTGTGGCAATAGCTTTAGGACTGCAGGGGACAACAGTGAACTGCGCACCGAGCTCAGTGCATTACACTGGTCCCACAGGAAAATAATACCAACTATGAATTGTATGGGCCAAAATATTCCATGTGGCCTCCAGACTTAATGGCCAACAAGTTCCAGCAAGACCAGCACAACCAACAACCTAGCTATATAGGACACCTGGTGTCTCCCTAATCCTCGAACCTGCTCCAAATGCAAGTGGGAGAAAAGTTGTACAGACAACGGTCCAGCCTAAGCATGGTGTCATAGGAAGTGGAGACTGGTGAGCTAGGAGCTGGGGCTATGGAGACCATGGTGGAAATCTAACATAGGAACCCAGACCTGGAACTCGCTGGAGGGAGTGGCACAAGTAGCTGCAAAAAAAGAGCCGAGTACCAGCTACAATAAGTAAAACTGAACTATAGACCTCTGGGTGACAGAGCTTAGAAAGCTGCCCCAAGGAGAAGAAGCTGATAAACAGAAGTACAATGACCAAGAGCAAAAGAAGAGACAAAGGCAAAATGAATTTAACTGAAGACTCCCCTACAAAGGAGCAAAACCCTATGCCAACCTCAGAGTTAACTGAGGAAGACATTGAGAAAATGGGGGACACAGAATTCATAAAACTCATTTTAAAGCTTTTGATTAACAAGGAGAAGCACATACAAAAGTTCAAAGAATTTAAGGAAGCAATAAAGCAAATCAAGGCTGATATGTCGGAAATTAAGAACACAGCAGAGCAAATTTAAAATATAATGGAGAGTCTCCAAAATAGAATGAAGCAAGCAGAAGAAAGAATCTCAGAATTGGAAGATATTTCCTGTCATCAGGGGGAAGCAAACAAAAAGCTGGAAGCAGAGCTGGATCATTCCAAAAAATGCATTCAATAATTGAAAGACACTATTAAGAGGCCAAATATAAGAGTTATGGGAGTCCCAGAAGGTGCAGAAAGAGAAGCTGAGTTTGCAAATGTATTTAATGAAATAATACACGAAAATTTCCCTAATCTAGAGAAAGAATTAGGAAACAAGATCCAGGAGGGCAGAGAACTCCCAACAGACTTAATCAAAAGCGATCTTCATCAAGACACATGATAATCAGGCTCTCTTCAATCAAACATAAGGAAAAGATCCTTAAATCTGCACATGAAAAAAATCAACTGACATATAAAGGAATGCCAATTAAACTCACAGGAGACCTCTCACAAGAAACTCTACAAGCCAACAGAGAATGGAGTGACATATTCCAGATTCTAAAAGCAAAAAATTATTGGTCCAGGATAATGTACCCATCAAAACTTTCCTTTGTCTTTGAAAATGAAATAAAATTCTTCCACAATAAAAAAAAGTTAAAAAGAATTTGCCTCTTCCAAACCTGCCCTACAAAGGATGCTTCAAGATGTTCTCTTGACAGAGAAGAGGATAGCACCCACCAAAACCAAAGGCAAATGAGAAGAACATTCCAGTAAAATGACAACAGAAAACGAAATCAATGAACAACCCATTCCTAAAATGACAGGACCAAATTACCACCCATTCATATTAACCCTGAATGGAAATGGCTTAAACTCATCAATCAAACATCATAGATTAGTAGACTGGATTAAAAAACAAAGCCCATCTATTTGTTGCCTACAAGGAGACACATTTCACCAACAAAGATCGGTGGAAACTATATCTCATGGACTTTGATTTTTTTGTTAGTTTCATCTCTTCAAAACACTTTCTTCTGATTAAATCTTCAATGACTCAAAGATCATTCAGTATCATTTTCTTCAAGAAGGCTCTTGATTTTCATTTTTTCAGCGACACATTGGTCATTTAGTAGCATGTTATTTAACTTCATGGTGTTGTTAATTTCTTTTTTCTTCCTGTTGTTGATTATGATTTGTGGCTTTTCATTTAAGGGGATGTATAGTAACTGTGTAATGGAGACTATCATATTCAGATGTGAGGATACAATGCAGTATGCATCTCTACTTCCAGACAAAGATGGACTCCCAATGAAACTGTTTACTATATCTTGACAATAGGATGCTGGACTCTCTGCCATTGTCCATGCCCACAATGATGGACATATGACTGTGTATGAAGAACTATACTATAATAAGTATATAGGGAGTGTTGAGGGAGCGAACTGGGGAGCAGATAAGGGAAATCCCAGGGCTATGAAATTGTATCACAAAATGATAATAATAAAAAGAAGCAAAAAAAAAATTATTCATTACTTGAAAGATAGATTTACAGAGAGAATGAGAGACAGAGAAGTCTTCCCTGGATGCTAGGAGGCTGCTCATAAGGCATAAGGCAGTGAAAACACCACTCTCAGAGTCAAGGCCTTTCAGTGGACTGTACCCTGAATGAAGGTATCCTGTTGATACAGGGCAAAGACAGCCTGAAATCAACCCTTGGACCCTCCCAGGCAAAATGCTGCCTGGATTGGGGCAGCTCTGGCTACCATGCAGATGGACCATAGCAGGTGCCTGAACTCTCACCATGGTAGTAGAGGCAGAGTAATAGTTGTCACCGCCAATATGACACTGCCCATCATTGGGCTGAACAATGCCTGCAAGCCTTCCGTCTAATGCAATATGTGTCTTGGCATCCGTGGTAAACACCAGCAAGTGGGATGCATCATTCCTCCAGCCAATCTTTTCCTGTTCGGAGAAATAAGGCAAAGGAGACAAAACAAGTTCAGTTACTGGTGAAGAACAAAGACCAAGGGCCTCTCTGGCTGCAGGGCTGGGCAGATTGGAGAAGGCTCTCAGTCTCATTTCTTGGAACCCAAGATGGTGGTTTCCAATTCAGGTGTCTCTGTGCTCCAGTCTCCTGGTTGATTAGTTCAAGCAGCCAAATGATACCTTCTCCATTCCTGAACAACTTTCACAATGACAATCACAGTGGAAAGCCACTGGTATCTGCACAGCTGGCAGGGTTCAAGGAAATCGCATTTGGACATCTGCCCACTTTGCTGAGGTAAGCTGACCCAGCCTCGACTCCAAAGTAGCTGCAGAGAAGGTGGGAAAAGGGTCTCCCTGCGAAGCTTCTAGGACCACTGAGCTCCAAATTAATGGCAGCTCTGGCCAGGGAGTGGAAAGAAGCAAAGGATGCACCTCAGGAGTAGCTTCTGACTCACCCTACACCAACTTCTTCATCTGTTTCACACCAGAAAGCTGCAGGGCTAGCCACTTCCCCATTTTGATCTCCAACCACAGCTGGAGCCCCAACACTCACATCACAGACTGTAGCCTGCATGATGGCATCAAAGCCCCCCTCTGGGGCATCTCGGTTCCGGGATACACTCTGCTTCTTCACTTCCTCATTGAAACGGGTCACCTGGTCAGTTAGCGTCAGTACATGTTTGTAGCCAAACATGGGCAAACAGGTGGTCTTCATACTGCAGAGGACAAGAGATAATTTAAACAGACACAGGGTTGGGAAATGCAGCAGAGGGAGTGGGAGTGAGATAGGGGACAGACATGTAGCGTGGCATGCCCAGGCCTGGTCCACATAGCCACATTTACCCAAACAGTTCAAACTCCTCAAGTTAACCTGAAGGGTCACATCACTTCACCTCCCACCAGCCTATAGGTAAGAGAATGAGCTATAAACCAGACTGCCTGAGTCCAAACCCCAGGCCCTCGCTGGCCTTCAAGGTCAAGGGACCTTCAGCAAGCTTCCCTAAAGCTAACCTTTGAGAATAGAGCCATGACAACACCTATCTCCGACAGCTATTGCAGTGGGGCCACAGTGACTTGATGCCCATAAGTACTTAGCCAGAGGGAGGCTGTGGCTGTTGTTGCTATCACCTTATGTTTCACACTTTGCTGCAGTAACAATAAGTTACTGTAAGCCAGTGTCCACCAATAAGTGAATGTTCCTGAGCCATCAGTAGATGATGCTAGAGGATGCCCCGGCCTAAGAATTTATTTCATCAATAATTGACATCCTTACTGAGGCATCTTGCAATCTAGACAGAAGGTTAAAAGCTACATTGTGTAACTCTGAAAACTAAAATATATGTTCTGGGGCAGACATCCAGTGAAGCAATCAGAACACTGCTTGGGACACCCACAATTAAGCAATTAAGCAGTTAAGACACTGCTTGAGACTGCTTGGGCAGCCCTTATCAGAGTGCTGGGGTTCAAGTTCTGGCCCCACTGCTGATTCCAGCCTCCTGCTAGTGCATACCCTGGGAAGCAATCGACAGCTCAATGCTTTGGTCCCTGGAGATCCAGATGAAACCCTTGGTGCCTGGCTGCAGCCTGACCCAATCCTGACTGCTGACAGGCATTTAGGAAATGAGCCAGTAGATGCAAGAGCTTTATCTGCCCCTCTCTGCCTTTCAAATAAAAATAAATAAAATATTAAAATGAAAAGTAAATTCACATCCTATCAGTAACCAATATTTTAAATTATTTCAACACATGTTTTTCACTATGTTAATGAAATAAGCCATTGCATTGTAAGCCATTTCCACTCCTTCCTATTCCTTTAGGTCATCATTTCTTACATTTTAACCCAGCATGATGCATAGCCTCAATGTGAAAGACAGCAAAAACAATAATAGAGTCAACTCTTCGGAAATCTGAGCATCTCTGTCGACTTATCCAAAAGTTTCTTTCCTCCATTCTCTTTTGCCTCCTATTCATTTGTAACCAAGTCCCAAAAGATGATGTATTTTCTCTCTAGGTCTCCAAACAGCCTTGGTCTCAGCCAGTACAACTCTCCAAGTGTATAGGCCCATTTGCCAAATGAGAAGCCCAAGGCAAAAAGGAGCTGTGCTTTAGCAAGAAGGCAGTCAGCAAGGATACCCCAGACTTAGAAATAGAAACCAGGACTGGGATGTGCACAGGACAATGAGCACTGGTGCTCCCTGGGCTTCTGCAGGAGGAACTCACTCATAGCAGGGGTTTCTGAGGGCCTCTGGCGGGGAGATGTACATGTAGGGTGACACAGGCTTATCCACGAAGGCCCCAAAGCCAATCCGCAGGTTGCTAGTGAGCTTGCGCATCTGGGAGGCCAGTTTGGTACCCAGGTTTTGGATGCTCCCGAGATCATCTTTCATGGAATAGGACAGGTCCATCAAGTAATAGATGTCCACAGGGTAATCTTCCACTTGCCGTACTTGGATGGAGAAAGTTTTCGAATCATCTGGAAGGCAAGAGGGTGTTGGTTTTTTTCCTTTCTCTGAAACCCACAGCATCAAACACAAGCCTTAGACAAAGTGGATCACTTTTAGAGTCTTCTTGATTTAAGTGGGCAATCAAAGTCAATACTTGAAAAGGTCCTTAACCTAATCTTTTGTCTCTCCAGAGGTATTCTGCCCCATTTGTCCTCTCCATGCTTCCATCCCGAAATGCCCCTGAGAAAGGGACCCACACATCACTTGCTCATCCTATTTCTCATTTTTCCCCAAACACAAAGCTATCAGCCAGGCAAAACAGGCAAAGAAAGAAAGAAGAAACAATTTTTTTTTTGTACCCACCATGTCAGCAGGAGTAAAAAGTTTGCTTAAAGTCAAATCGTTAATACAAGGTGGAGCTAGCCTCACATTCAGATCTGACACAAGGCCCAATACCCTGCATTTCCTTCCACTTTCTTGCCCCCACGCGCCCTGCACCCTCTCCCCCATCTCCATCCTGAGCTACTTCTGCAGTATTTCCCTCTCAGACCTCCACTTGTGCCCTGCACCCATCTATCCCAGACCCTGCCCCTGGACGAGTCCCAGGCCTACCTGGCCGCAGCCGGAGCGCAATCCTCTGGGGACTGACTTGCGTCACCTGGGCTCTGTCTCCAGAACCCTTGTCGCTGAGGGGCCTGGCCTCCAGGATCTGGGCCTCACTGACCGGGAACTCGATGGACTCCGGGGCACAGTTGTCCTTCAGCAGATTCTCCTTCAGGTCACAGCGGGATGAGCCAGGAGGCAGGGCCTGTGAGACATGAGCCCATGGGGAAGCCCTGCACCGCAGCAAGGCTGGCTCTCAGCCCCTCCCAGTGTATTACATTCCGCCCAGCATGTTGCAGCTAAACCAGCAAAAACAAACTGCTGTGTTCCTTTCTGGAATAAACACCTAGGACTGCTGCAGAGAAAGGGGAAATTGAGGAAACAGAAATACTGGATACCTGTTCACGCACTGAGGGTTTGTACAGAAAGATGCCTGGTAGGCTAGCACTTTTCAAATGATGAGCTGCAATTCAAGTATTCCAAAGCCTATTTAGCCAATCTCTACCATATTTGATTAAATAAAAGGCAACAAAATAGAAAATATCAAAGTGTATGAATGGTGTCAAACTCAAAAAGTCCGTGTATCTTGGGAAGGGGATAACATGTATAATAATTAATGATGTATGATGTATTCTTTCTGTTGGTCTAGTTCGAAAGCATTTGAAAGTTGCTGTGTTAGATGCTAGCCAGGCTGTGAGTTCCAGCAAGGCAGGCACCGTCTATTCCTTGTTTCCTCTCTGTCCCCCTACCCTAGGCTTTGCCACAAAGGTAGCATGCATGTGGGAAGAGAGAGGTGGGGGAGAAGGGGCCAGTGCAGAGAGCCAGGGCCCAAAGCACAGCAAATCTCAGCATTGCCAGTTGCTACATACTAACTAGTTCTTTAGGCAAGAAACCCAAACTCTGCAAGCCTAGTTTTCTAAACTGTAACACGATGATAATAACAGCCTCTGTTTTGGTACTTGTAGTCACAAATCACAGGTGCACAAAGTCACCTGCCGGTACCCAGGGGCTAGGAGGAGGGAGATGGCAGTTACTGCTTTACAGTCTCAGTTTTACAAGATGAAGAGTTATGGGGAGAGATGGCAATGGTGGATTTATACTTAACACCACTGAACTGTACACTTAAAAATGGCTCAGACTGTGAATCTGGGACCAGGCATACAGCCCAGGAAATGAAGATGCCAGCCAAGACACTGGCACCACATGAGCATGCCTGGGTTCCTCTGGTGGTTCCAGCTCCTGATGCTGGTGGTGATGGCTCCAATCGGTAGGTTCCTGTTGGAGACCCAGATTAGTCCCTGGCTCCCAGCTTCAGCCTGGCCAGCACGTAGGGAGTAAACCAGAGAGCTCACTCTTGCCTCTCAGATGAAAACATTTTTTTACATGGTAAACTCTATGCTAGGTCAATTTTGCCACAGTAAAAATTACCAAAAAAAAAAATCAACGAATAACAGCCCCTTTTTTGCAGTGATACCAAAAAGAAGTTAATAAGACTGCATGTAAAACATATCTGTGTAGCAGAGTGCCTGGCATAGAAGAAATTAACTATTAGTATGAGATGCCTGATAAGTAGTTCCTGGATAAATTAATCATCAACCCAATTCCATGAGCATGGGAAAATACCAATTAGCCAGGCTTGACCAAAACCTTTCCTATCATCTTCCTCCACCCAGAGGACAAACTGAATCTCCTTCCTAACACCCTGAAAGTAGTCCGCCAGTCCCCTGGAGCGCTGTGTGTGCTGACGCCCAAGCACTGGTTAGGGGACATGTTGTTCTAGAATAAACATGGAAACCAGGAAGCAGGTTCAATCCCAGGTCTGTCCCGAAGCCACGTGGTGACTTCAGTATTCCCCCGCTGAGCCTTGTTTTCTTTCCTCACCTGTCCCACATGCAAGGGAGAGGACACGCTGCTGTCCGGTCCGTCCTTTCCTGTTTGGGCCTCCAGCGAGCTGAGCCAGCACTGTGTGGACACCTTTGTATGAGGGCTCTTTGCCAGGTTACACACACTGGCTGGGAAGCTGGAAAGCCCTCCCTGGTTCTATTTCACAGAGTCTAGACCTTCACGCTCTCCCTTCATCCCCACCCTGCTCACAACCTCACAACCACTTCCAAAAGTCAGCTAGGGGAACCATTCCAGCCCAGGGCAACCTGTGTTCACACGGGCATGGCGCAGGAGCCGCTTGCCCCTGGGAGGGACTCCTCTCGTGGATTCCTGCAAAGCTGAGCACTGCTGAGCGGCATGAGCCACAGCAAGGCATGGGAAGCTCCAGGAAGCGAAAGCAGCTCACAGCCTGAGTGGCGCGGCTGGGAAGGGCAGAACCGAGGGACCCATGAAAGTGTCTGGCTGTGATTACTCTCTTAAGTCTTACTACACTCAGAGTGAGAGTCACACAGAGAGGCAGGAACGCGGGAGGGCAGTCTAGGAAAAGCACACAGGAAACTGGAGCCAAGACAGGACAGTGAACGGAAGGGATGCAGGACCTGCCTCCTCAGCCCCAGGACACGGCCACCAGGAGCAGCCACACTCAACACCCATGCTCCAGGTTTCTCTCCTTCTGCCCTTTGACACGTGGAAGGGCTTGTGCACCAGCATGGGAACCAAGTGACCCACAATGTGGCAAGAAGGCATAAGGCCCACCCTCCAGCTGAGAACACCCCATCAGGCCTGTTCCCAGACTCTCCTCGACTCTGAAGGACAGGAGATCCCCCCTGCACCAGCTCTGGGTGAGGACAGAACAGTGTGGGGTGGGGCACCTCCGGGGTGGAGTCTGGCTGTCCCCACCCAGCACTCCCTGGGTAAGCAATCTCTTACTCAGAAAGCCCCAGTGTAATCTCTGCTTCCAGCTGCCCACGGCACTCTAGCATGAAAAGCAACCAAAAAAGGCAAGGATCAGAGCAGTCAGATGAGGAGGCAGTAAGGAGCTGATCCTTCCCAGGCAAGCCCAGAGGCTGAAGGAAGCCACAGGGAATGGGAGGCCCGGCACTGAGGGGGGCTCCTGGCTCCTGGTTTTCTGCCCTGGTGGCCCCAACTGAAGACGGATTGAAGCACTAAGGCTTGCCTGAGCGTCCCCATGGTTTGTTTTGAAAAATAAACACTGGAAAACAAAAACTGCACGGCTGCCTCCCCTTGTGGTCATTGACTTCAGAGGTCAGGGGTTAAGGGTGTCACAGGCCTGCTCAGCAGCCAGGGGCTCCCTGAGGGCCTCCAGTTCCAGGAGGAGACCATGGCAGCGACCTCAGTGCACTTGGTTAGTCCTCCCTCCAATAACCCAGGAGGAGAGACTTCCAGGTGACTTAGAAAAACTGCTGTGAAGCTGGACCTTACACAACAGGCTCCGAAGAGCCACGCTCCAGGGGAAGGTCCCAGAGAGGGGAGGCGCCAGCCTGGATGCCTGCCAGAGCAGCTCCTTTCCCAGGAGGGTGACACACGCTGTTACTACCATGTTCTTTCAATCTTATTTTGGAGCCTGGGGAAGTACAGCATGAGTAATCACCATCCTCCTGCCTGTCTCACGGGGCTGGCCAGGGGATCAAGGAAAGCTGGGACTGTGAATACCTCTTCTACATGGAGACAAATACACCCAAATTCTTCCAGAGATGGAATAAACTCAGGAATGCAAATATAAGACCACTTTTTTCTACAATGACCCTTGGATTGCAGCCACTACTACTGTTTTCTTGGAGGGCAAGCATCAAAATGCCCCTATAGCTTTCTTCACCCCACAGAGTGACTCTTAAAATGAACATTTATCTTTCAGATTAAAAATAAATAGAAAGAAGGGCTGGCATTGTGGCATAAGGAACCCAACTCCCACGGAGATGCCAGCATCCCACATGAGTGCCACTTCAGGTCCTGGCTGCTCTGCTTCTGATCCAGCTCCCTGTTAACGTGCTTGAGAAAGCAGCAGAAGACGGCCCAGATACTTGACCCCTGCCACCCAACATGTTCAGACCAACAAGAAGTTGCAGGCTCCCGGCTTCAGCATGAACCAGCCACAGCTATCGTGACCATTTGAAGAGTAAATCGGCAAATAGAAGATATTTCTCTGTTACTACAGCCTTTCAAATAAATACATTAATCTTTTTTTTTAAAGATACTTAAAATTTCTGTAGTGATTCCTGAAAAAAAAAAAAATAGAAAGAGCAGCAGAGAGTGTTAATGAAGCCGTGAGAAACTAAAAACCTATAGTGACCTAAACCTTTTCCCTGAACTTTAGAGAAGAAAATGAGAAGGAAGTGCCATTCTGTCTTTCTCTATTTTGCTAAACATAAGCCCATTCTTCCTCTTTTATCCTTGAATAGCAGTGTGATCCCCACCTCCCAGTGTGCACCCGGGCCTATGTAAGAACCCCAGGAGTAGATACTGGCCAAGCCATTAAGACTCCTGCTATCCACACCCCCGCAGTGGTGATGGCTCAAGCAATGGGGTTCTTGCCTAATCAGGACTGATATGAACTGAGCTCCCAGCTCCCAGCTGGAACCCTGCCCAGTCCTAGTCCCACTGTAGACACCTGGGGAATGAACCACTGGATGAGAGCTAGCTTGATCTCTCCTCACTCTCTCTAATCCTGCCTCCTTCCTTCTCAAATAAAGAAATACTTTTTTAGAAAAGATTTCTAGTATTTCCCTTCACCATATGGTCACCAAATTTAGCAACTATTGGAGGTATACTTACACTAAACTTTATATAATTCAACATGTTGTTTAATTCAGCTAGGCAGTCTGCATTAATTAATATACCCCAATCTCCACCCACCTCAACCCAAGGATCAGATCCTTCCATTGGCAATGTTTGTCAAGCCTACTATTGTGACAGCCCATGCTGATGCAATAGTTCCAGGGTTCATCCTGGAGACCTACACTGTTGACAAGCATAGCAGGCAAGTCTTACCACCTGGTGAGACTGAGGAACGAGGTTCCAACTCCTGAGACCACAATCACAAGTGACCCTAATTCGTGTCTATGTGCAGCCCTCCAAGAACACACCCTGTGCCTGTGGGCCCAAAACTCCAGGCTCATCCACGCTGGCCACGATTTCCTATGACCCAGCCAAGCGCTTGCTCTACACACCCAAGAGCTGCCGGCCTTTAGGACCAAGGCAGCGCTGAGCCCAACCAGTTGTTTTTCCAGGCATTGCCCGCCCGGTGTGAAGCAGGGGACTGCAAATCCAATCACCCTCCTAATCACATGCCAGGTGGACCTGACCATTCACCCCTGGTGAAGTCAGTGACCACCGTAGTGAAACAGCGTGCACAGAGGAAGAGGGCAAATGACAAAAGCAGTCGTGTTCCCGGTACAGTGCACGCCTCCCAGTGACAGTAGTGTCATTCACTCAGCCCTGCATCCCCTGCTTCCGGTTCACATTCTACTCTCCCAGGGAGCATCTCATTCGACTTTCTCTCTCAATTCTCCTCTCCTTAATTTCCTTTGATCCTAGTCGTACCCGTTTCTGCACCCCCCTCTCCCACCCCTCCCACCCCGCCCTGGAACTCCTCATGATTTAATCCTACAGGGTCTGCCCAAGGGGACAAAATTCCCCACAGAAATGTAAAATGAATGAAAAAAAAATCAAAGGTTGACTTCACACACGCAGTGGAACAGGGGTCAGGACACAGGCTCGAGAACATCGTCATGCTTATTACCATAGCGGAGCCGCAACAATCTCATGGTGTATTTTCAAACCACTAGAAGAGTCTAGAATTTCCCAACACAGACAATTCACACGCGCTTGAGTAGATGGAAACACAAATTCCCCTGACTTGAATATTATACACTAAACATGCATATGACATTATCACACAACAAGCCCATTAACATGAACTAATATTATGTGTCTGTATGAGCTTTTTAAAACAGCAGTGGGTGTTTGGTGCAGTGACTAAGGCACTACCTGGCATGTTAGACTGGATCCAAGTCCTGAGTGACGGCCACATTCCTGATTCAACTTCCTGCTAAGTGCACCCTGGGGGCGTAGGTGATGGTTCAAAGGGTCTCTACCACCCACGTGGGAGACCCGGACTGAGTTTCCAGCTCCTAGTTCAAGTCTGGCCCCTGGCGCAAACCTGTTGTAAGGTGTTTAGTGTGTATAGCAGTAGCAGGGAGCTGTCTCTCAGTTTCTCCATCTCAGTGCGTGTATGTGTATGCCTCCCAAATGAATAAACAACTTTTGAAATAAAGATAAAAAGATTCACCTCAGTCACCCATAATTATCCCACACTTGCATCTTCAGAACGTGGCCTTGTGAATTAATGGTTTTGTCAGTCAGACCCCAGCCCACCTAAGCTGCATAGCTAGTCCCTCTGCTGAGCTAGAATCATGGTATGTGGAGGCAGTGAGCGGGGGAGGGGAGGTCAGTAAGGCAGATCCTCCAAGAATTGGGTTTTATTTCTTCCTTTACTCTGGGCCTACAGATGATGCCTGCACTGGCCTCTTGTGCTGAGTCCGGAGGAGGGAAGCATCCCTTGAATGCAGACCTTCTGCCATGGCACCCCCTCTGCTGCAGGTGACAAAGGAGGCCCCAGCGCGTCAGCTCCCCCATTCTTGCAGGACTGGTTTCCAGAATGGTAACTTCCTTATAAAAGAAGCATATGGCCCAGGAGAAGGGAGGAAGCCACATTCCCCTGCAGCAGCCTGCTCAGCCCAGAGGGGAGGAGAACCTCTGGGGGTGGAGAAGAGAAGGACTCATCCAGCCCCAAGCTCACACCCCATGGCCCCAGGGAGTGTTTCATTCGCTAAATGAAGTCAGTATGGCCCAGATGTTGGACAGCTGCCTCTGGAAGTAGTTCCCGTGCTCAACAGCACAGAGGCCAACGCAGCGTGTAGAGCTGGCCTGTGCGCTCTGGCCACCCTCTCCCAGCACGAAGGCTTCCTCCCAGTGTGCACCCCTCCTCCCAGGCTGCTGAGGAGGCTGCCTTTTTAGGAAACTCAGCTGATCAGGAAGAGGAGCAGACAGGGAGAGTTAGAGGCTGGGTGGCGGCAATCACAAACCCGAAGAGCACAAGGACAGGATGGGGAGAGTCAGGGCAACTCAGGTAGCTGAGCTGGATCCAGGCTGGGAGCTCAGGGTAACACCTGCGGGCCCAGGCCTGTGACTCAGCCCTAACCTCTACAATCACTGGGATGCTCTCCAGCCACTCTCATCCCTCCCCCAACCAGCTCCTGCCAGCTCCAGATTCCTGTCCCAGCCACAAACACAGTCATTCCCTCAGACACACTGGATCCCCAGGGCCCCAGACACAACAAACCCTCTGCCTAGACACAGCCAACCCTTTCCTGTCACCCGCCTAGCCTCACCAGGACCCAACACCTTCACTCCTTGACACCTGGGAGAAGGCAGTAAGTTGACAGAGAGCACAAGACAAAGCATGGCACCTGATCATCAGAGGGAAAGGAGGAGATGACCCTCCAATTAAACATGCCCCAACACCTGTGCGAGGCTCTGCTTCTGCTTGCCTTGTAGCAAGTAAGACAGTCCCCCTTTCTTTGAGATGCAAGGCCCAGTTCCCTATGGTGATCCACCCCAACCAAAAGCAAGAAGAGAGGCCGAAGTGCAATGGTTACAGGAAGGTCAGAGGCCCCGTCAGGGGCTCTGCAGTGGAGATAAGACCGCTTTCCCAGCAACATCCCCCGGGCAGCTGCTCACCATCTGTGAATGGAAAGATATTAGTCCACCCTTGCTCAGAAGGGTTAAGTGGCCTGTGTGTTTGGAGGGGAATGTTCCTGCACAGAAACACCTCGTCTGGGAAACAGCAGGGCCAGGTGTCTGTTTCTTACCTCATCTGAGCACCAGGCACACACGGGACTCACAGCCAGGCACTGCTGGCACGAGCTCACACCTCGTGTGGTACAGATGTTGGGCCCTGCAACACAGACACATGAGCATCAGCCCCTCATCCCATGAAGCGACCCAGCTGCCCCGAATTTCTCTTCTTGGCCAAAGGCAGGTTCACGGCTCTCAGGTGCATACAGACCCACCCTAACTTTGCCACAGACTTTTACCTGCACTTTTACCTGTCTATGGGTTAGGAAGGAGAGTGGCTGGTACAAGGAGAACATCATCCTGATCGCACCCAGGAGACTGAGGCTGTGGCCCAGATGTGGTGGTGCCCCACTGTCTACTGTAACTGAGAGGAAGGCTCTTGGCGGCAACTGGCTTGACACCTACACGGTGCAGGTGGAAATCTGAGGCCCAGAGAAACAGCATAATGTCCTCTCGCCAACCTTTCTAGAGCTACTCACAGCCACCAGCCAGGGCATCCAAAGCCCTACTACACCAACAAGAACACAGCCTATGCATGGCAGGGCTGGGGTCAATGGACGACTTCAAAGGTGCCATCCTGTTGGCCTGCTGGGAAGGCAATCTTTTGGCAATCCTTTCAGTCACCCCAGCACATATACTCTGGCATCTTTATGTAACTCTGGGGTGTATACAGAAAAGTTAGCAAGAGCTGAAGGACAGGGAGGCTGGGCCCTGGGAGGAAGGCCTGTGTCTGAATTCCGAGTGCCCCTCTTCCTAGCCATGTCATTCACAAGGGAGCAATCCTCACACTGTCAAAGGACAGAGACAATCAGGGGACCATGACAGCACTGAGAAGCCCTGGCAGGAAGCAAACCACAGGCATCTGCTCGGACCAACACCACCATCCTCCTGCGTCACCAGCTCAGGAGGATGTGCCTGCGCTGCCAGTCTCAGCTGAGTCCCATGCTCCTGCGGTACGGGAAGGGAGGCCCCGCTCAGCAGGAGCAAGGGCATGAGGATGGTTCATTCCTCCCCTAAAGCCAGTCACCCTAAAAGTTCCTCTTTCCAGTTAGTTTTCTAAAGGGACTGGCCTCTTGCTCCCCAACTGACAATACCAACAAATCTATTTTTGGAACAATCTTCCTGACCACGGGGTACTTTTCCAGAAGCCCCAAAACAGAGTGACGCACTGTCTCTATTTGATGCAGTACGATTGAAATTCCTCCCTCCCAACACTGGGACAGAAAGCACAATGACCTACTGGCCCAGGGTTGCCTGGTTTTCTAGGGATAACTACCTTTAACTTTTACTGATTAGGATATATTGCTTGTATCTAATTGGCAGAAAACCAGTAATAATGAAAATAGCTCTTGATAAGAATAAAGTTCTGGGGCCAGTGCAGTGGCTCAATAAGCTAGCCCTTCACCTCGTAGAATCGGCATCCCACACGGGTACAGGTTCATGTCCTGGCTACTCCATTCCCTGCACCATTCCCTGGCCTAAGAAAGCAGTAGAAGATGGCCCAAAGCCTTGGGATCCTGCACCCATGTGGGAGACCCGGAAGGAGCTCCTGGATTCAGACTGGCTCAGCTCTGGCTGATGGAGACACCTGAGAAATAAATCAGTGGACATAATTTCTTTTTGTTTTTGCTTCTCTCCATAAATCTACCTTTCCAATACAAATAAGTATTTTTTTTAAAAGAAAGAGAATAAGGTTCTGATCCAATGATACTGAACATGGATTTCATTCTGGTAGAAAAAATAACCTCCAAAGGTTAAAGTTGATTACTTTGTAGAACATTAACTAATTTTGAATCTACTAGCTAGATGCATTTTAGGATTTCTTTGACTAATCAAGTATCAATCTCTTTGGAACTGGCTGCAACATCCTATTGGTTTCCTCACTAATTAAGCCAAATAAAACTTTGTGATACATGTTCGTTTCTTATCGGTATGGGACTCATGCCTTTAACCGGAAATTACACTTCAACAATAACCCCTTTCGGAAGAGGGATGAGAAAAAAAAGTAGACATACAAGCACATGCCTGAGATCCCGAGTCCCCTGCTGAAAATGGGGCTGAATGGGGTCGCATGAGGATCTCAGCAGCTCTCTGCCTCCAGCTCTCCAAGTACCACATTCCTTAGTATTGTTTGTGTACCCCTATTAATGACACTGCCACTGGACCTCAGATGCCTGAACTGCCCCACCCAGGTCAGCTCCAACTTTGCCCAAAAGAGATGTTCCCTAATGAGGTATTTAAGTGAACTGAAAAATATTGAACCAGGAGAATTTTGTTTGGAAGTAACCAAATCTATTCCTTAAAACCATGCATAGTATTTCAAATTAAATATGCAATGGGTTGCAACATTTCTTCAGACAATGTAAAACTTCCATTGTCCTCCCCAAAATAATAGGTTATGCATAGAAGGACCTCCCTGGAACCCTAGGTTTCTTCAGAGCCTTAAGTCTATCTTACTTTAAAGGCCTTTCCCAGCTACAGATAGGATAACACTGTAAGGTCAAGGGCATTATCTGATGCTCCATATTGCGATTTAGCTACAACTTGGGTATGCATGTGCAATGACAGAGGGCTGGGAATTATGGCCCTGGTTCCACGGTCACCTCTGATACAAGGCTGTCCCTAGCTATGCAATTTCTGTACAGGAGGGAAGGTGGTTCATGTGGCCAGATCCAGGAAAGTCAATTGCAAGCCAAAGCTGCTGCCTGCAAGAGCGGCTGGACCGTAATCTTAGCTTCAACGATTGCTCTCTTCCCAGACGGAAGTGGACGCAGGCCACCTTTATTGCCTGATCAGAATGCTCTGTGAGGAACACAGCCTGAACTATTTTGGTATTTCTCTTTCTTTTTAAAGATTGCATAGACGTCAGCATCTGGAGGGTTCATTCTGAACGCAAAGCCATGAATGTTCACTGGGGGCAAGAGAAGCACAAGTAGTCTGCAGGAAGAGCTGAAAAAGAGAATGATGAGAGATGTGGACACTGTCAAATTAATTTCGAAAACTTTTCCCAGACTCTGCAGTTAGCCACCCATTCATTCTCAAATTAGCATTTCCCTATGAGTCCTCAATTTGTAGCCACAATAGAAAGCCTTGCCAGATGCAGAACAAATAACAGCAGGCCCCTCCCAGAGAACTGCTGGCCCTGGCCCCAAAGGATGAGCTGAGCTGCTGGGATTTGTTCTTGAGGAATCCACGCCTGGGAAGTCACCATCACCCAGTTCCCCTAATCTCCTCTTTTTAATGAACCACAGGTGGTTGAGTTCTTGAGAAGTGGTGATACTCCCCCCTACCATGACATCCTTAATCAAGTCCTGCCACCAAGGCAAGTTCCCTGGAAGGCCTTGGTTGGAAGGGGCTGACTCATCCCGAGTGTCTACACTGGGCCCATGCTGACTCAATGAATGCCTCTCCAAGGCGGCCGCTCCCTCCTGGACAGAGTGAAGGATCTTGGGCCTCTGTTTCTTGAACAACTCTCAGCCTTTGTTTCTGCTCAGATTCCTGCTGGCCCTGAGTCCTGCGGAAGTAGATCCTCACCAGAACAACATTGAAAATGGAATGACTGCTACTGACCGGTCAGCCAGAGCAGGGAAACGAGGAAGACCGGGCCTGGGATTCCTTCCATCAGACTGAATGCATCAATGCCCATTAAACTGTGAGTGCAGCAGCTGCCACACAGAAAAGACTCCATTCACGCTGTTTGCTGGGGCACTGTGGCTTTCTTAGAAGATGCCATGCCAAATGGACCTTCAAAGTGTCATGCCAAAGCAAAATGATCAATCCTCAGATTGCTTTTGAAGTGGAGTAATTAGAAATAATAACATTTCAAAATAGTAGGGATAGCCGAGAAGGCCAATTAGAAACAATAGACATGACCAGCCAAGAAGGCTGCCTGGAAAGTAGAAGTAGAAAGCTGTGGTTTGGCACAGCAGTCTGATTCACAGACTCAAAACAAAAACAGACGGTAGGGGAAAAAACAGGAGAGAAAAAAAGGGAAACAAGGATGGGAGTTGGAACCAGTGGAAGTCATAATGCGTCAATAAAGGCTATTTCGAGGACATGTTGTCCAATGAGACGGGATGTCATACTGCAGGGATGTGCCACCCTAATGAGGCTTGGGAAATCCAGAGAGTGCAAGGTGTTCAGTGGGCAGGCAGGCCTATCTGGACCACAAACAACAGGTACATCTCTCGCATTACCTGCAGTGCCAGTCTGGGTCCCTAGTCCTGCTATTGGCCTTTGACTGGTCAAATCCAAATTAGGTCCATGGGGACACTGGGTGACTCAACCAGGCCCTGATCTTCCATTGCAGTCACCTGGCTGAGTGAGTCATCAGACAACAAAACATCTCATGCCAACTGCTCAGTGTATGTATAAATGGCTTCCCTACAACAAGTTACTAAGAAAGTTTATTTTGTTTTTGTTATCTCCTTAAAGATAGCACAAGCTCAGTGAATCAAGGAAGGAAAGAAGAGATATGAAGGTAGAGTTCAAGGTAATAAATATATTTGCCTTCGAAACAAAAAAGCTCCAGTGAGCAGTGCCCAAAGCAGAGGGGAATCCAAATTGCCATTTATCACCAAATCCAAGACTGGATGAAGCTTAGCTCCTGAGTTTAGAGATTGTAAACTGCTATCTTAAAAAGTGCAGCAGGAAACAGGCATTCAGCCTGGGAGTTAAAAAGTCTGTACATCTGGGAGCCGGGACTGTGGCATAGTGAATTAAGCTGCCACCTGCGATGCCAGCATCTCATGTGGGCACCAGTTTAAGTCCCAACTGCTTGCTCCACTTCTGATCCACCTTCCTAATAATGACCTGGGGAAAACAGAAGAAGGCCCAAGTGTTTGGGCCCCTGCCACCAATACAGGAGACCTGGATGAAGCTCTTGGTTCCTGACTTCAGCTTGGCTCAGCCACAGCTGTTGTAGCTTTCTGGGGAGTGAATCAGCATGTGGAAACTCTCTTTTTCTGCATATAAAATTAATTTATTAAGAATGCATCAGAGGGCCCAGCATGATAGCCTAGCAGCTAAAGTCCTCACCTCTCATGTGCTGAGATCCCATATGGGCACCAGTTCGCATCCCAATAACCCTGCTTCCCATCC